AGTGAACATTGCCTAAATCAGTCAGCACTGGGTAAGACGACGTTTTGTAAAGCATTTATTGAGCAAGCAAGCAAAGCAAGGGCTGATGGCTGGCAGCAATGTAAAAAGACAAACAGAGCCAACAAATAGCACGGGGCGGGAATGAGCCTTAATTTAAAAGCTACGAGTGTGCGTAGGGAGGCCGGATGGCTAAGAGTTTAGATCGCTGGGCTGGCACCGTTGTGATCCTACATTCGCAAACCAGACAGCCAACCGTAATTAATCTGGCTTCTCAACTTGTAGAGAATTCATGGATTTCAGCCTGGATGCCAATGACTCTAAAACAAACCTCGTCTTACCAAGTTTGGTTCCCCACTCAATTTGGCTAAATTACAGCACTGATGATTAAGAATATCGGTTTTTACTCTTATGTGATAAAACATTACTCTGTGGTAGGGTGGGTGATTAAATGCTGCCCCCTACTGTGGTGACCAGATGTCACTACTGTATAGTTATCTTAGAAAGTAGCTCTATGATAACCACTTCCATGGGCTAGTCTCTTATAAATGGGGTTGTACTCCACTGTGAGAGCTACGTATGGATTCCTCGTCTCTTGACGCAACGCCGATAACGTAATCGAGATAAAATTGCGGAAAAAGTCAAAACATTTATTTTTAACATGTCAGCGCATGACGTCAGCATCTCCATTTAGGATCTTCCCAGAGTCGCAGATGTGGAGTAAAATATCTGGAGAGAGACCGAGAGAAGGCCTCAATAGCAGCTGCAAAGAGCACAGCGCTGGCAGATATCAAACAGCACAGGGTGGCATAACTACTAGAAACACGCAGGTACAATGCCACCATTAGCACCACCACACCCATAGAATACTGCCACTATTATACTACCCCTACACACACAGATGCAATCAAGGTCAACAGGTGAACACAGCCACTTATGTTGATGCCAGCACACCTCACCACGTCTTCCATTCTTCTGTTAAGATCCACCAGTTGTTAAACATTCACCATCTCCAAGGGCTGCTCTTAGAGTATTCCACAATCTGGCTTCAGTTCTTTCCCTTCGTTGCTCAATAACCTGCCCTCATCCACCCTGCACACGTGTCCCAGACATCACAACATCAACTTCCCGACAACACCTACATGTTATCACATTCTAATTAACTAAACTAATTTTATTTTACCAGGTAAGGGCCCACTGAACTACATAGCTCTTTTTCTGAAGCGACCTGGCCACAATTAATCGCTCAACGAAGTGGCTTATCATATGGAAATGTATAGCAGCCAAATACAGATAGACCCCGAGTTACGATGGTCCGACTTACAATATTTCGATCTTACGATGGCGATAGCGATACGACAAATTGTAAAATATTTGAAATTTTGCGCGGCAGGCAAACGCAGCAGCGTACGAGGTACGATGCTGTACGTTGGGACGCTGCCGGGATGTACGCATCTCCCGCCTTGTGCGATGCAGATAGGATTGTTTCCTGAAAAAACTTTCTATTAAATTGCAGAATTTACCTTTTTTTTTCTTAACATTTTACTGTGCAATACAGTATTGTCATTAATAAATACATAATGTATATAGTTTATACAGTACGGTACTGTAAATTGCTCTGTTTTGCTAAATTATCACCATTCTTTAAGATTCCTGGGTAGGCTAGGCCATCTTCGACTTACGATATTTTTGACTTACGATGGGGTCGTCCTAACGCATCTCCATCGTAAGCAGAGGACTACCTAAACGCATGTTTCTAAATGTGAAAAACGACTAATGTACACTTTTTTTACCCTATTCTGCCATGAACGGATACATTGATTAAGCGAACCAGGTACTCCAAAACAACGTCAAAGATGCTACTGGACACAGTACAAATAAAGACAAGAAGTGCTGATACAAAACCGGAAAAGGTAGAATAAATCCTGTTGGGCCCTAACAAAAATCCAACCCCTTTGTGTCATTTATTATTTATTTTACAAGAGTGCTGCTCTATCTCCTGTTAACAACTGGTTTTTATCTGTCCTGAGTGACATGGATGACTGGACCTTCCTGGAGTCGGTTTTGTGGACATTTCAGATTAATAAACAGTCACCCCTCTGGACTGAAATGCAAACTCAACATGAAAGGCTTTGACTGTGTAAGTACACAAACATACACACACAAGTTCACGCAATGTGAAGCACCGTGTTGGAAAACTGGTGCAAGCCAGTCCAATGAATGAGTCCCCTCTTTCAATAACTAAATCCATGTGGGATGGATGTGCAATACTTATACAGCTCTGAGCAAATCCACTGCTAAACCAGGGCCTCCGCCACGATTGTGCAGGTCGCGGGGGTTGTTTGACCATACTTCAATTCGCTGGTCAATCCACGTTGGAAGTGGGGAGCATAGACATAGGAATATAACAGTAGTACAACAATATATTGTGGCCCACAACAAAGCCCTTGCTATGCATGGTGGTCAAGCATCCAAGCACTAATCAGGCTCAAATCTTCAGGATCTGACATCCAACGAGATCAGGGTGCATTCTTGATGATCTGGTCATAGGCTTCGTTATTAGCCCTGTATATTCATGGATTCTAATGTGGCATTGACATGTCAAGGTCTTGTGTTAAATTCGGCATGCAAATTCATCTTCAGGACACTTAATATCCTGAGGTCATATGGCTGTCCATGAAGGGAAAATGAAGCTGCCAATTTGGATTTATTTCAGTGATAATCGCATCTTACCAACAACTTATTAGTGGAAGCCACCTTAAAAATAAATGTAAATTGTTATTATTATCAAGTTTTGGAAAACATACGTTGACATTTATTGTTTTTGTCTGGCTTACGACAAGTGCGTCATCCATTACCACGAGCTACGCTGGGGCAAATGCACTGCACATCTCATCCCGTGCCGAGTTTCTCTGGGAGACGTCAAATGTCACGCGTTAAAACGGGACGGGTCCCACGTTTTACACGGAGGCTCATTTACACAGAGGCTTATTGCCTCTGTGTAATATTTCCAGGACATGCAGCCAGGCGCTGCTTGCACAACCACGTTCACGTGGGCACCACAAAGCCCCCAAGACCAGCAACACTGCAACCACTGCAGACAACACTGCATTGCCTGGCGCAAGCACCCACCTCTACAAAACAAAGGCTCCAAGAATGCTATCTCGCCATCTGGGAGTTGGTCAACATCTCATACAATGGAGTATTATGATAAGCTTCTATCAGTGCTGACCCGAGTGAGGACTGAGTGCAGCGTGTACATACAAATGAGGTGACTAAGGCTGCTTGTTTAAGAAAAGGATTGCTATCAGAAGGCAAACTTTCTAAACCATCTCGTAGCTAACAAATAATAATATTTTTCGATTTAAAGCTTTTGTGACTGCAGGGATTCATCTTCTTGGCTCTTTCGGTAAGACAGACTCTGTCTTCTCGACAGACCTGTTCTTCACCTGAGGACGGCTGCTTGCGTTGTGGCCGAAACGTCGTGAGAATCATTTTATTATATTATATTTTTATTATTTTATTATTTCCATTCTACGTGACTTTACCGAAAGAACCAAGAAAATAATAATATGTAGCCATTTGGCAAGCCACTCCTGGATGAAGGCCTCACCACTCCACGTTGGGAGTGGGCGTTGTTTGACCATACTTTACCGTTCTGGTCAATGAAGATTACACCACTGCTTCACCGCATAATCACCTGTTGGACTCAAAATGACTTCACCTTCCACCACCAAATATAAAAACAGTTAACAGCCTTATTAAGCTATTTCACGAAAAATAATAATCATTTCATGACAGGAGTCATAAATAATCAGCACTGCTGAAATCTCGGATTCAGCCACCTGTGATTAAAAGTGGTCGTCACGAGTTGGGAGTTGTTTCAACCCGGGTCATTTGGATGCCAACAAAAACACCAAGAAACACCCCAAGATATAAACGTTATTTATAGATGCGTTTTAAAGTTATAGATGCTAAGGGCTGAGATAGTTTATGCAAAGCGCTGTCATGCCATGTGTGAATGGAATTGCATAAAATCGAGTTTTTGCAAGTTTAGTTTTTCACTGAATTTTACTCATGACCGATATGCAATGAGCACTCTTTTGAAACCACAGCATGGGAGAGGGTTCTATTAAATTCAGAAGTAGCAGTATGAAATCATCTTCCGGGGTCATTCTTTAACACAAGGCTACAAACTGCTCGCCATGGGAGTTCCAAATGAAAATGCCGTCATCTCCTTACTTTGAAAAATCGACCTTTCAATGGGTTATAACCATGTTATAAAGGTCACCTGTGTATCGATCTACATGTAACCAATAAAACAAGACCTTTTTCCCTCTGCCAATGAAATCCTGCTTCTCTCTAGAAAATAAATATGCCCGCTATTTATTTCTGCACAGCGTCGAGATGTGGTCGCCTTTAAACAGTATGTACACGTACGTACACGTGCAGCCTTATTTGTCAATCCACTGCTGGATGAAGGCCTTCCCAGGCCATGCGGCTCATGAGGGCTATTTGTTCACAATGCTGGCCAGTGTGCGTTGGTGAAGGCGGACAGCGTTGACGTAGGAGAATAGAGAGCACAGTACAGTGCAGCAACTGATTTTTCAGCACTGCCCTCTGTTGCGCACAACATAGTCCCATAGATGCCGATCAAAAATAAGAAAACAAAAAACAAGTGCTGTGAGCGAGCATCTATGAAAGCCGGCTAGGCGTGCCAGAGGGTGGTGTGGTTCGCACCACGCCCGGCCACCCTTGTCTCCCCAGTGCCGATGTTGACACACCGTGCCAAGAACTCATCTAAGATCAAGTCGATTACAAAGGCTACAGCCCACTAACTCATTGTGGGCTTTGACAGGTGCTGACATCAGGGGTGCGGACATTGCTTACCGAGCAGCAAGGGTGAGTGCATTCTCATGAATAAATGGCAAACAACATTAGAACGAGACAAAAAAATCAACCCCAAGGGCGCTCGCGGAGCGACGAGCACGGGTGGTACGCACGGGTAAGCGGCGAGCGTGGCGAGCTTGATGAAGATGTCTCTGGCGGGGCTGTTGCCCGTGCTGCACGTGAAGGACATCGGCGGCGGCAGCCGGTGCTTGCGGCAGAACTCGGCGGGGCTCTGCAGGAAGGAGGCGCCCGAGAGCGAGTCGCGCAGGTCCGCCTTGTTGGCCAACACCAGGCACGGCACGCGTCGCTCCGCAAAGTGCTGCTGCTCCGGCGCGCGGGCACAGTTGGGGGACGGTGGTGGAAACACGAACGTCGTTAAGTGGAGGCAGGACAGGCGGCGCCACCCGAGACCTCGGGTCTCAGGCAAACGGCCGCTTTGCAAAGAGTGTATAGCACAAACTGCAAAACGTTCATTTCGCAGGAACAGGCCAAACACCCCGCATTGCCGGACCCTCCTCTGAGTGGGTCTTTAGATTGTGAAGCTTTCCTGGCTAAGTTAATGACATTTCAAAATATACGTGAACAAGTTAAATTACTCCAAAAACAAAAAAAAACATCGTATTGATTCCTAATTTCTGGCATTCTGTAAAAAAAATACATTTTATTATCATATATGCTATATTTACAGATAGGTTAAGAATGCACTCAGATATTTCTTTTACAAGGCTAATGTGGGACAAAAATACAGCAACAGCCTTTGCTGCATTTTGAAAAAAATTCACCCATAAATTTGAAAGTGAAAAACAGCGTTCCAAATTGTAAAAACTTTTGAAACAACATACAGACCCGCAAGTGCGAGTTAACTCGCAGATCGAAAACAAAGGTCGACATTCGGCAAACCAAACGGCAAAGGGACGCACATGGACACAGCCGCAGCATTCAATGCACCCCTCTGGCTCTCAGCTGTTGCTTTTAAAAAGCATTCGTTGTTTGAAAATAAAATATGCCACATGTGCAACTAAACATGCCACATGCTCAAAAGCCTTCCTAAGTCCCAGGTCACACGTGCATGGATACTTCAAATTGTTTCATGTGGAAACGAATATGGGAAGGAGGCAATATTTATTTCGTTAGCATTCTCCACAATGGCACTTAATGATTACTTTGTGTTGCGTTGTACAGCTTTCCATAAAACTAGGACCAATTTCTTACATTAAGGGTCCTTTGCTATAATGGGTAGAAGTTTTAAACAAGACAAGAGGACCACAATGCACTTCTACAGGAAGTACTGTTTTTTTTGCAAATATACAACAGCAGCACAGTGCCCTTCACATATTCCAGCCTGCACTTATAATTTTCATATGATGGGTTTTATCGTCATCCACAGGTAAGAAACATCAGGCAGTTCATCAGTATTGGTTCAAGCAGGTCTAACTCTGCTGATGAGACGGTGATGTCAAAACCAGTCCAGCATTTGCTTGTATTGGAACTAATGCAGCTGAAAAGATGCACTCCCAGAAGGCTGTGCAGCCAATAGGTTGTGCAATCTACTTATTTTATGTTGAGATACAAACGAGTTATTTGCTGTGCATGGATCTAGGATTGGTCTGTCAATTAACATAAATAAAAGGCAATCGTGACTTGGGTTAACAATGCCCCTTCACTACAAAGCTCCAATCATTTTCTTTTAAAAATATTTCAATGAGTTCCCATCTCAAAACAAGTTAGGCTGACCACACATTGCATTGTCCGAGACCGAAGGTGACTCATTCATTGTTTAACACAATGTCGGAGGTTACACGACACACGTAAGCAGCGGGGATGAAGAGATGACAATGAAGTTCTGGAGGAGATGCACAAGGGCGTACAGTGTGAGCGGTGCCAGACAATCCAGTTTCGTCCCCACCCACCCCCCCCAAACTCTCGAGTATGGAGACATTACCATCCAACATCGTGGCAGGGGTTCTTGTTAATTCATCACCTTTGACTTATTCATGAGCCTTACACAAATACCTGGATCATACAAGGAGGCAATTTTATGACACCAAGTAAAGTCCAAACAAGCTATATTATAGCCCCAGCTATATTTTAACAAAGGCACAGTAAGTGAGAGATGTCACTGACAAACACCACAACAGGGAGGTCCTTTTTATCAACATTCCCCACGCTGTTTGCCACTGCTGCATCAGGACAACCAACGTCATATCAGCAATAAGTCACCAGGCATGCTGGTTGGCTCAAGGGCAAGGGAACACGCACACATGCACAAATACGTACACACACATACGTACAGACACACACAAACACAGCCTCATCTACATGTGCCCTGAAGGACACATTGTAATTAGGGCTTGGCAACGTGCAAGCCAAGCATTTCCAAACAGCTATGCACACATATAATTGGCAAGTGTCGGGTTGACATTAAGGCCGTGGCTATGTTCTATTTGTGCCAAGACGAATCTAAGGGTCGAGTTTACGTTGAAGTTTCTTTTATGGCCAATTCTCCAACGGGGTCAACTGATCGGCAATCCGAGTCATTGCCATGCGTGGGCTTTTTGCGTCATTAATTCCCTACGAGCAATTGCTGCCAAGGCGTTATTGAAGGGATATGAGCTTGAGACCTCCAAAACACTGGATGGCTGTATGGCGTCGAGAATATTTAGAGGGGGAAAAACTGGAAACGCTGAAGGAAAAATACCTTCACCATGAGAACTGGAAAAAAAAATCTGCCAGAGGCACCACTATAAAGATCAATCAAGACATCCAACACAAAGAACAAACTCTCCGCAATTTGTTTGCACCGAGTTTTGTTCGGCAAAAATGTCCGACATTTCGCTCGACAAGCTGAGAGCTTGTTCAGGAAAGGCATTCCCGGTTCGTACAACATGGCGCAACGGCAAAAACTGGCAATGGGAGTGAAGCGAATGAGCACCCTACCTTGAAGACGGTCGCGCAGTACTCGAAGGACTTGGGGTTGTGTGCGTCGTACAGGAGGCAGGCCACATCGCACGCCGTGTCGGCTGAGGTCAGCAGATCGGACTCCGTATCGATCTCATGCAGCTTCACGGCAATATTTTCAGAATTTTATTGCATCGGGAAGGGGGGGGGGGGGGAGAGGGGGTAGAGGGGGTTTGGAGTGAGTGGCAAGGGAATCGTAGGGTAGAGGTGAAAGGGGCAGTGAAGGGCATTCGTTTGGATTGTGGCATTGCATGACAAGTGTGTGCGAGTATGCGGTTGTTTGTGTGCGCGGGGGAGGAGGAGGAAAGAAGATTAAATGTGTTACATTTCTATAAATATACTCGCGAGTTCTTTTTTGTAAAACGCGAGCATGCTGCAGAGGACAAGGCTTTCCAATCAAGTACACATTACATGTGTATAACATTCAACAAAGAGTCACTGAGTAGTTGGCAGATTTAAATTGAGCTATTCATGCATTTTCTCCACGGGGGAGGGGGTCAAACCACATTGTGCCATGACGGGGAAGTGAAGTCCATAAACACAATAGTATTTTTCCACATGTACATTTTGCAACCAAACGTGTTAAAGTAAAAACAAACATAGTTGTTTAAAAACCTGGCTAATCTCTCGCGCTAATCTAATCTACCGTGTGCGCCACCTTCCTCGTAGAGCAATGCAAGGCAATGCCCTTGAGATGTTGGCGCCTAGTGACGGATATGTTCACTAAATCAATCAAACGATAGAGAACTCGAGCGAGGCGATGCGCGGGTGACATTTCATCACCACAGCGCAGCAAACACATTTTAATTCCCTTTTAGACCCCCCCCCAATCTGCTGGCTCAAAATAAAAATAAGTATGAGCAGAACTGTGTGACGTAGGCAACTGTGCTCCCTAGATAAAACTAAGCTTTTTATAAATTCAGCTGGAACAATTTTATACCGATACCCACAGAAGCAAGAGCTCAGCTTGATGGGATGACGCTTGCTAAACGCTCGATGATGACATGGTTTATGTTGAGGCCAGTTTCGTCCCGACTTGCCCGGGGAGTTACAAAACCGTCACACCGCAGAGGGCTGTCACCGCCACTGCAAACAATAGCAGTGGTTAGATTGTCGGCCAAGTCCTGCCTTTAATCAGGACTTGAAATAATCCCCTGGGTTCGAATGACACGTATGTTTGACAACTGCCAGCCAAGTGAGGCCCTAAACTTCGTAACAGCTGGTTGTCTATTCGTAGAGATTTTAATGCTACTGACGAGCTTGACCACTACTACTAAGCATTCACAGGAACCGCGTTTGTTCGGTTTGCGTGTTTTTGATCTCTCAAGCTTGTTTCTCTCCTGCTCATTTCAAGAACAAGATGGCATCGTGGCCAAAGCCGTTGATGCCACCACACCTCGCCAACGCTCTCAACCCTCTAGCCAGATCCCGCAGCTGCTGCACCGCAGACACGGAACCTCCCCGATCTGCCCTCACAGTAGACCACAATCTGCCCTTAGGTCTTCCCCTTGGCCGCCGGATACATGGAGATCACTCCAATGCCGGTCTCGGAAACCGTGCCCTTTTCCATCCTGCTCTTTTCACATGATGCACACAGTGGGTTTTAGCATGCGACACCGGTGATCTGGTGCAAATTTCACCCACGTAAAACATTGGCGCCAGCATTTAAGAGTTATGAGCGCGAGATGTCGAATACCATAACCTTATCTAAAGGCATGTTATTACACGTTAAATACCTCCCTACACGCGTAAAATGCAAAAAACGTGAAGTGAGGCAAGATAAAGTGTGTATTTTAGACAGATATATTTAGAATTCTGAAGGTGTTGTCTATTGTGTGAGCTCAGCAGTGCATATCTTAAAATAGTACACATCCAGTTCATCAACATATTCCAGTAAAAATAAAAGGCTCAATGTCATGTATTAGAAGTAAAGAGACAGATAAAACTGTGTCTTATGTAAAGACACTCTTGTCAAAATGTTTTCATCGTGTGATCTACAAGAGCACTGCTGGATGAAGGCCTCTCTGCAGCCTTTCGGTCATGCGGGGGTTGTTTGAGCATACTTCACCACGCTGGTCTGTGCGAGTCAAAATAAAGTGAAAAGAACCGGCTCGGCAATCACTCGCCACCGATGTTGACCGTGGTCGAGAATCCAACTTAGGATGCCGGGATCACAGCACAGCTTCAGTACCACCGCACCATCCCATTGTTTTAAAGTATTTCTTAATACTCTTTGGTTCTTTCGGTAAAGTCACGTAGGTATAAAATCAAATAAATCACGACGTTTCGATCGCAACACAAGCGACCGTCATGAGGTGGAACAGATACAGCAGGAGAACTGCTGTATCGAAATGTCGTGATTTATTTTATTTTATACCTAAGTGACTTTACCGAAAGAACCTAAGAGTATGGATTCCTGCAGTCACGAAAGCTTCTAATCAAGTATTTATTAAATCCAATTTTTTTTAAATGTCCCCACATCTAAGCATTCACCATCTATTTCTCACAAAAGCCCAGCATTCAAAAGTACAATGAAAATGCTGCTCATTAAAGTATGCATTTTTTTCAAATGTGGCATATTTAGATTAAAGACCATCACAGTCATCCAACCGATGACTGTGATGGTCTTTAACATCCGCTCTTTGTCAACAGATGGCACGCTTTGCTAAAGCCCAGCAGAAATGACTCAGCTACTGCTGAAGCTACTCCTGTTGGGCCGAGGCCAAGCAAGCCAGTATGAACTGGCTCAGTGATGAGTGCAAGATCTACCCCTTTTTCCGGCTTTGCTACATCATTTATCTCTCTCTCCTAGTGGCACCGCGCCCACCCATTACACACAAATCTCTCTCTCCGTCTAAAGGCAGACAAGCCGGTTACACGAGTGAGCCATCAGACGTGTGCGAACTGACGTTTTTTTTTTCATAATTTAAACGCGTCCAGCCAGGCACGTTGTCAGTGCGGTAATGGCATCAGTGGTGATTATGTCCCAAAAGTCAATGTTATTTTCAAAAAACTTTTCCTCGGTTTATACAGAAACGAACAAGTCGATCTGCAGTGAATGGGAATCGATAGTGGAGTGTTCAATACACACAGCGATCAATGACTCCGGTCTTGGGGAACTTTACAGTGCGAGGCACGTTCAAACTCGGCTGCTAACGCCACGTGCCATTTTTTGTATCCATTCGTCACCATCATAAGCCAAGATTAATCCAATGAGCGAAGAACGCCTCTTCAGGCCATCTCTCTCACAATCCAGCCATGTAACAATCTCGCTGGCACCTGCAAATGAGCGCGCTTTACCTCTCCATAACCTCAGTGGACGTCCTCTCGGATGCGTTCCATTCAAGATGAATGATAGATTGCCTGCCCATCTCTTGTTACAGTATTCTGAAACATCGGCCAAAATCCTATGCCAACTAACTTTTTAACAGTTAGAATGGCTTTAATGTACTGATGTTCTCTAATCCACATGCTCCTCTCATCTACCTGCATCCAGCACCCTAAAATCCAACCATCAACATCTTTCCCTGTGCATTTTATCTCCCAGAATCACATTTTTTGTACGTTGGTCTCGTGGATAATTGAATCCCAGGTTACCAGCTGTTCCAAATGGGAGTGAATGCCGAGGACGTGAGGCATGACGTGGCTCTAGGTGCTGCGATCCACACAGGCTTGACTGATGCATGACTCCGGGTTCCTCTCTGAAGGTCCTGCAGCACGCGCGTCACGTGCCGTTGGCACACTATCACCTTCGTCATTACTCAAAGCATCCGGCGATGATTAAGCAGGTGCACACACGGGTCACCAGTGCAATCTCTACGCCCGACGCAGCTTGCATGAATCACCCCGGAAAGGTGTTTGGGAAGGAGGGACGGACAGATGGAAGAGGGAGTGGAAGAGGGAGAGAACGCGGTGGGAAGGGAAGAAACTTTCACCCGGGCGAGAACAACCATTACTCACCAGCAGGTACTTTTCCTGTCCGTACACTTGCACCGAGTTTATGGCATAGAAAGAACAGTGATCGCTTCTCAGTTGTTTCTGCTTCTGCACGGTAAACACACGCAGAAACAAACATGGAGGAAAACAGTAAATTCATGCATCGTGATAAAAACCAGCACAAAGTTCCCTGTCGTTGAACTGAACACCGCAGTTGCAGGACGCGCTCAGGAATTTGTGTGGTCAAATAAAAAAAGCCTCACTGAAAAAAGCACACGTCAAAATCACCGGGAATGTACCCGATCTCATCAGATCTCGGAAGATGAGCAGCGATGGAGCCTGGTTAGTGCCTGGACAGGTGGCCGCAACGCACAGCAGGTTATTATACGCTGCGGGGCTACGTTGTTGTGCTTTATTGATATGCTCCCACATCAATGCTCCTCATCTTCACAACCCGGGGAGGCCCTCATTCGGCAGTGGACAAATGGTTTGTACTTGTACAATGTAAGAAGACATTGGCATACTGGCTTCACATTGGATGCAATACTCTGTAACAAAAAGCTCTATAAGATAGTTAAATGGTGCTCCGTATACATGTGGTGACGGGATAATGCTGACTTCATATGCGTTAATGAAACTACTGTACACACACAGGTGTATTACCTCATCGCATCTTTGAATGGATTAGGAAAGCATGCCAAGCCTAAACTGCTTTACAAATGCAAACCATATATATATGCACACACACATAGACCATTAGATCATTCCCCAGCCAATGTTTTGTATGAGGTCAAATAACACCCATGCAACATTTCAGTGCATATGCATTTGTACATCGCAATTTTAGATAATAGCACAGCTTCTCAATTAGGCCATTATACCCAAAGCATGACGCTCATCAGTGTTACAAATAAAAAAACTTAATTTTATGACGCAGAAAAACACCCCACCGCTTTGGATTTTCGACTTGGTGGTGAGATGTTAACTGCCTCGCCTGGTATACAGGAGGTTGTGGGTTCGATCCTGTCCCTGACATCTGTACTTTTGGAGTTAACATGATCTCCCTGTGGATTTTCTCTGGGTCCACTGGCTTTTTCCTCCACATTTATAAACATGTGTTTAGAGTATTTGGCTACTATAAATTTCCACAAAATAAGCCACTTCGTTCAGCTATAATTTGTGGCCATGTTGCTTCTAAAAAAGAGCTACACAGCTCAGTGGGCCTTTAGAACAAATTAGTTAAAAACGAACTTGTTCGGTAGCTCACTCTATAATAGTGGTGGCTAGAGAGGCGCTGTGCATTACGTAAGCTGGCGTCACTCGCCACATTGCGCGCGTGTCCCCAGGCGCGCTGGCAAGTGAGCAGAGGGCGGGATGAAAGCCGGACGCCCTGGGCATGCGAGCTTTATTTGTTTGCGTCATCGTCGCCGGCTGCATTCGTTCAGCAACCCCCGCCCCAGTGCTCACAAGTCACAAACACCACTCAACATACTACAAACAAGTACTGCAAAGAGACACTGCAAACAAAATGCAAAATCATATATAGACCAGAAAATTGCAGAAGGCAAATGAAAAAAACGGGATTAGCCATTTACCGCACACATCAATAATACAAATCTAAGTCCCGTTCTGCGTGTATGTGCACGCTTCTGTGTCTTTGCAAGCGATCCACGTAGTGACTGATAAGGCCAACTGCTGGTGCCTGATGGTTGCCACCAACTAAACAAATATTAACGCACCGTGTGATTTGAACGTTCGTTCACTTATACCGAGTGGTTCGATCGCGAGTGAAATTCAACTTGATTCAATTATAGATTCCATGACTTTAGGAATCAATAATCGATTCTAACATCGATAAATAATACATTACAAAAAACGATGAACACCCCTAACCAGGACACATGAGCAGAGGGTTTCTGGGTCATTTCAACGTGTCTCTCCATTTGGGAGACACAAACAAGGGTTTTTACGAGCAAGCTGTTTTAACAGTGCGAGGAACACAACTGAACAATCCAAAACAGAGGACTTGTAGCGCACCCTGCTGTGAGAGGCAAGAACTTGCACTGTTACCCTCAAAATACTGCGCTAATTCAGCTTTTATCATTAGTTGCTTTATATATATAAATATTCGTATAGAAATAAAAAAGGTGAAAGAAAAGAGCACTGAAACCACCAAAAAGCAGAAGCCAGTTCTTGAGTTCACAATTAACTCCTGCCTGGTGCGTGATATTTCTGCACATTGTGAAAAACATACCAAGCAACAACAATATAGCATTGCTTTGAGCTTTGTTCAGAGTTTGAGCTTCAGAGAATTTGATTTGGAATTGTTTCCATTTATAAAAAAATATATAGGGTTTCCGCTCGATAAAATGTCGTTATATGCAGGCCATGGAAAATCCACCCAAGTTATTTTTAGTAAACACAGTAAAGCCGCTCAAAGCCTTCTCACGTATGATGGGGGAGTCGATCTGGAGCATTTATAAATTCACATCGATGTTGGCGAGTGAACCAGTGGATGGGTAGTGGTGGCGCAAGCCTGTAATCCAGCACTGCAGAGGCGAGAGTTGGCAGATCGCACAGTATGTTTTGAAGCTCCCCTTCCTGTGGGGATTGAGGCACCATACCCTGGGTCACCAGGAGAAGGCAGTACAGCAAGTGGACTAACTGGCATCTGTTTCCATCTGTACGCCGATAGAGTATTGCCCCCTGGCACGCGTGGGGAATTTTCTCTGGGTGCTCTGGTTTCCTCCACTTGTATCCAACACTCATTAACCGTTTCCCGTTCTTCCGATTCCGTTCCGATTAACGTACGTCTAAGAATCAAAAGTAAAAGGCCATGCGGGAGGGTGTGTGGCAAAGTTTGGCGCCAGCTATCATCGGGTGCGGTGGTGTCGCAACAGTTCTCTGCGGCGAGTACAATGTCTTTAATAACAACGGCGCTATGCCTCTCTAAATAAAATTAAGGCTGAGCGGCTTGCGCGTTCCGAGATTCAGCTGTGAACGGGACCCGCCCTCCAACTTGCAGACATCTCGGAACGGGAAAGGGTTCATTGGCTGAAAACATCTTAAAATTTAAATGCAATGCAGGACTCTCCTAAAAATAAAGTCCTACGAGTCAGTGTGGCAAAATATCGAGATGGTAAGTGGCGTTACCATGTCATACGGAAGGCGCTATTTGCAACTACAATTAGCACGGTTGGCTATGTACGGTGCGAAAGAGGTTCAACAAACATACATGTCATTAATTGTCCATGAGCTACTCACGATGACTGAACGGATCAAGAACAACAACGGCAGAGGCAAGGGCCACTCTCTAACGAGGGACGGGTGAACACAGGGACTCACGGCCATGTTCCTGCCCAGGGAGGCCTGAAGGAAAGCGCTCTTTCCTGATCCGCGGGCGCCGATGACGTGGCACAGAAACACGCTGCGCTGAGTCTGCCTCTTCTGCAGGTCAATCTTCTTATCCCTCATCACTGTAAATAGGATAACGCACAAATTCAAGGCCTTTAAAAAAATTGGGTAACACACATGGTAAAAACAAGTTACTAAATTTTTTGTCTCAGCTAATTACTTTTTTCTCCAAAGTGCTATTGAATGGCTACTCCTAGATGAGATAAACTTATGGTGTGCTTTATACCATTCCGAAGACATTTATGGACATATGAAAAGGCTGTAATAAATCCATCACAGGATGAGGGCCTATCTATGCCATGCCAGTTATGGGGCTTATTTGAACATGCTGGGTCAATGCAGGTTGAAGGCGGGAGACAGGAAAACCACATCAGAAGAAGGGTGATGAACATGGAAGCCCAAGGAAGGGTAGAGGCTGAGATGCAGGCCTAGGAAAATGTAGTTTAAAGTGGTGATCCAGGATATCAAAGACTGTGGAGTGGATGTGGCAATGGCCCAGGACAGGAATGAGTGGACCAGGCATGCAAACCCCACGAGTGGGGAGAAATTTCAGGAATAAAAAAATAAACATAGGAGCATAGTATAGTACAACATAACCTATTGTCAATTAATGTATTTATGAAGCTAGAAATCTACAATGATGATGCTGATAATAAAAATCTACGGCACCAAACCAACCCAAAGCGGAGCAGCTCACCCACAATGGCAGATGTCTGCGTCTCCTGCTCAGTGAGCAACGGGTAGCCCAGGTACCCCAGGTACTCCAGGCAGTGACGGACATCCAGGTAGGCAGTCAGCCTGCCACAGACAGCCTCGAGTTGCATTATATGACAAAACCACCAGAAGCATAACATTTGCTACGTCGGAGATATATATATATATATTGGAGGAACACAAGTAAAACAAACCATGACATACTATGTGCACCTTGGACGTTTATTGAAAGTAGACCGGGATTAATGTTATTAAATAAAAGCTGGGCAAGAGCAGGTTGGAGTCCTTTTGGAAAGCTGACGGTGATAAATCAACATAACTAAGCGTTGAAATGTTTTTAATCAGTGCGTCGTACCAATGTAATAATTCAGAAACATGTAACAACCTAAATGAACGTGATGATGTGGCATTAAGGTGGACAAGTGATTTGAACATCAACCTGCGAGAGGAAATTAAAGAAAAACATAACCATATTCTTGGTTCTTTCGGTAAAGTCAAGTGACTTTACCGAAAGAACCAAAAATATGAATCCCTGCAGTCACGAAAGCTTTAAATAAAAAAAACCATAACCCTAAAATATTTCTAGATTTGAAGCTTTCGTGACTGCAAGGATTCATACTCTTAGTTCTTTCGGTAAAGTCACGTAGGTAAAAAATGAAATTAAAATTAATGAAAATAAAATAAAAAAATAAAAACAATAAAATCACGACGTTTCGGAGGCAACACAAATATTGGACACAACTAAGACACATTAACGTTAGCCCTCGGGAGTGTCCAGATTTCTTAACGCATCCAACGGTGCCACCTGCAGGATGAGCCATGCTGCTTCAATGCCGGGTGAGTCAGCGTGCGAGTTCACACACACGTGCACACACGCGTGCACAAAAGATCCCCCGTATAGCCTTAACAGACTGTAGGGACAAGTGCTGTTAGCGAGCACCTATGAAGGCCGGAACGGTACACGAGGGGGTCGGTGGCCAGCACCACGCCCGACTGCCTTTGTCTCCCCAGTGGCGATATTCACACACCGCATCAGGTACTCATTTCAGGCTGAGTCGACCTAGGGGAGGCCCAGGACCGGTTCAGATAATCGTCACTGGTGTTGGCCGTGAGCGGGAATCGAACCCGGGTCGCCAGGTTCATAGCGCAGCGCGCTAACCGCTACACTACACACGCGTGCACACACACTCACGTCCACTGCGCCATGTATCCGTGCTGGGTGATCCAGCCCTTGTCGTTGGTGGGGACCGTGCTGTTGACGTCGGGACCCCAGGGCATGTACGGGAAGACGCCGAACAAATCCTTCAGCTCTTCGGGGCTCAGCGCGCCGTCGCCATCCTGGCCACAGACCGCGAGAGTGCGTCGTCCATGTAAAATATGTGATAGTTAGGCACGTGACAACGTGTCGTCTCGCCGAATAAAATCGATTTCCGCAGGCTGCGCTGTGCCTTACCAGGTCGTGCTTCTCAAAGATGCTCTGCAGGAAGAGGTAGGCGCTGTGGTTCAGCTCTGTCGTGCAGTCGTGGGGCACTTTAAGCCTATCATGGGGAGAGACACTCGCTTGACTCTGCTTATAAAACAACTTGAGACTGCTGAGGCTCTCGGAGCCAAGGGCTTAGAGCCACGAGCAAGCAGTTCGCAATTGTCTAAGAATATCAGTTCACGTTAATGCGGGGGAAGGACTAATGCAGCAGCAAGTTGGGCCTCTGTACCTTACCAAGGACCAAATAGGACTCAAATACATTTACTGGGCCAAACAAGGACAATAACGGCAAAAATAATGAGTGTCGACCAAGCATTAAGAGGCCCATACAGTGATAGAATTGACTAAATGCACTGTAATGATAAAAAAAACAATCTTTCCAAGTCAAACACAATCCCTTCGAGTACACAATCCCTCGAGTACCCGATCAGTGCAGCTAAGATGCTCGCAGTGATAGATAAATATCGTTTGTGGGCCGTTTCGCAGTGGTATGCCTCAGTGGCCATCGGCTTGATGAAATTATGTTGTGATCTCAGCCTGTGTACCGTAGGTTCTCCACCCCTCACGTGTGTTTGCGCTTCTGTAGAGTGAGCAACAGGTTCATGGAGGTCTCATTGGAGGCCCCTGCGGAACCGGTGACCACACCATACGCCGTGTGCGCCGTGTCGGCCTAAATAGCACTTTCCCTGACATTCTGTGTGGGCCGTAGGTTACCCACCCATGCCCTAATTAAATTTTAAACTCACGTGAAAGCTTTCAAGCGAGATCAAGTTACGTTTGCGAGGGTTGTCCGCTGTCGGGCAGGCTACCTTGTGGCTTTGAGTTTGTGACAGCAAGCCCAGGGGCTGTGTAAAAACTAAAACTCACAGTGGGTGCAAGTAGTCGTCCGTGAGCTCAAGGTCGTCATCGTAGCCAAACCGTCGCAAAACCGTCCACGTGGTCTCGTGCCGCCCACGCTGGATGAACAGCGTGTGCAAAAACAGGAACCCTGTTGTCGGCAATTTCAAGGGTTAATGTTCACAATGTATGAAATTATAACAACAGAATAATGACGATTCTAAAGCGCTCCAACATGGCAAGCCATTATAGGGCTGCTGTAATAAACATTAACGTGGTCCAACCAATGGTGCAAACAAGAAGATTGGAAAAAAAGCATGCATATGCCAGATTATGTAACGCTCTCCAATGTGTGCTGACTTTGTAACAACTTGATTAACAGTATCGAACATTTGCTGAGTCCCTTTCGCTATGCTTATAATACAAATAGTTGGGCAACCCTTACATAAATTTAGTAACTTTATCCTTAAGTTTGATTCATATTGGTTCAACGTTACAAGAGTTATCATACCCCCCCCACCCGCCACCCTAATTAAGGAGAAACAGAGCAAACACAATCACTTTTAACCGAATTTGGAAAGCGTTAAGGATGATGGCGTGGTGAAAGGCATCTCACCCATGAGCGTCAGACCGTTCTCTGCCACCCCGTCCGTCGTGTTTTTGCGCACCACGTTTTTGACGTCCTCCAGGGCCTGAGGCGCCAGCGGCGTGTTGAAGCATGTCCTCTGAGTGGGTCGGTTTCCAAATGTATAAACAAAAAAAAATATTAGGAGTGAGAAACTTATTTCTATATCTAAAGCAGTTCAAGCCTTCCAAAAATCACTTGACTTCTGTGTGGCCACCAACACTCCGAATCACTCTCCCCACTCCCTGTGAAAACAGACGCTGCTCTGTGGAGCGTCGTGGCCCTCATACAGCCTCATCTTTTCCATTCTTTCTCTTCTCTCTTCCAGTAGCTTTTTTATTTTTTCCATGCCATATATTCTTGAATCTACACCCCTTCCCATCGTGTCCCAGGGGTACAAAGTTGCAAGTATGAGTCCAATCGCAGATTTGATTTGTAAGGCACGTGTCACGACGCCTGAAGATATTATAAACTGAAGATATTATAAAATAATATACATTCCATACATTGAGGATAATCTACACCCTTTTGTCAATTCAATGCTGGATGAAGGCTTCCATAAGACGTTTTGGTCATGAGGATTGCTGATCATACTTCACCACACTAACATTTCATGAATTCATATTTATTCTTATGCTGACCATATACACATCAACATGAATGTATAATAATAAACTACATTCATAATTCATGCCAATTCTTTGATAAATATTGGCTGCAACATTGAGGCCAATGCAGCGCATGACCGCACAAACAGGACAATAAATTATTCACAACGCAAGTACAAATGTAATTGAATCACGACTACAAATCTCATTGAATTGTTGGACAGGCAAGGATAGATCATGACATTCGTATATTACTGTGAATGATTCAATGTTGATCATGGGTCAAGTTAATTTACTTAACGTGAAAACTGACAATGATAATTTGACCATCAAGCCTATGCTGCCACTTGCCTCGACAGGCCACCAAACTTGCACACCTGAGCTTCCTATTACTATATCGCACATTACATCGACGAGCACCTGGAAAAAGTTGAGTTCGGTGTCATTCAGGACTCCGTCGTTGTCCTGGTCCGAGATTCTGAAAATTCGTGTCAGGGCCTTGATGCATGCTGGTTTCAGCTGTGGATGGAAGCGATGCATACAAAATTCAGACAAGATTTTGTCAGTAACTGTTCTACACTGTCATTAACTGCCACGTGTATACAGGTAGTTCTCTACTTACGATGGAGATGCGTTACGACGACCCCATCGTAAGTCAAAAATATCGTAAGTCGAGGATGGCCTCGCCTACCCAGGAGTCTTAAAGAATGGTCATAATTTATCAAAACAGAGCAATTTACATTACCGTACTGTATAAACTGTATGTATTTATTAATTACAATACTGTTTTGCACAGTAAAATGTTAAGTAAAAAAAAACAAGGTAAATTCTTAGCCTACCTATATGAACTGCAATTAACTAGAAAGTTTTTTCAGGAAACAATCCTATCTGCATCACACAAGGCGGGAGATGCGTACATCCCGGCAGTGTCCCAACGTACAGCATCGTACCGCGTACGCTGCTGCGTTTGCCTGCCGTGCGAAATGTAAAATATTTCACAATTTTGTCGTATCGCTATCGCCATCGTGATCGAAATATCGTAAGTCGGGGACTATCTGGATATATATTGCTGCACTGCCATCTCCTGCTTACAATATAGCCCTGCAGCCCAAAGCAAACTTTAATCTGCTACTTAGCTTCCTAGACTTGATGAAAGGCACATTTTGGGCGACTTGGACATAGATATTGCGCAAGATAAAAAATAAATAAAACAAGGTTTTATATAAATAGAACATTGGCTTCGACCATAGACTACATTAAGACGTATTTTTCTGCATGTCATTCATTGTTAAAATACATATTTTACAATAAAACAGGACTCGTATTTAAGGCACGGGCTAAAAAAGTTCACGCATTCCACTACGAAAAGCACTACCTGTTAAAATATTCTGGCACAAAACACAATTAGCGTTGCTGTCAAGAGTTACAAATCACAACTGTGCTAAGGAGAGAAAACTATTTCAGTGTGAGACAACTTTCAGTGTAGAGCTGTAAAAATGTATCACAGACTTATTTTTTGTACCAGAATAGATAGGAAGACAACGTCTCCTCTTTTTGCGGTCGAATACTCGGGCTCATTAAATGGCAGCCGCTTCTACAAGCCCCGGCCAAGTGTAACACGCTCGATGAAGCTGTTAAAATCATCAAAAACGCTGTCCATCACCTCCCGTCCAGCGTCACACTTGAAAACATAGCTTAGACTCTCCCCCCTGCCCCACTATTTTTTGTCTTTTACAATTAGTCCAGCAATGGAACCAATATAAGTCAGTGTTTGATTACTTAAATAATCAGACAGCTTAGCTGAAGAAACCATGTGCGGTGCCGAAGGCAAAGAGAGGAATTGGGAACTGTCAGACCTCCTTGTCCTCGGTGCAGTAGAGTGGGGCGGTAGGATGCAGTACGGCTTTCTGGGCGTAATAGAAGACCTCAGAGATGTTCTTCAGCGTCTTGGCTGAGCACTAATGAAGCAAGAACAATGCGCCTGGTTCAACATCCATTCAACCTCATCGGTCATTTAGCCAAAAACTGCATACTCACATTCATCGCATCTTATTTTTATATTTATAGAGCGCCTTAGCTCAAGGAGTTTTACATCATTGAAAAACTGTAACAACAATACAGTCATTTAGATAGCGCGATAAAGGAAATTGCATCTCAAAAGACTTTACGAAAATGAACAAAAACTACAGGAAGGTAGTAAGATGGTGGTGGGAAGAATCAGGGCAGACAACATAGGAAAGATGAGAAAGCAACACCGCAGCACATGCCGGAAGAAAGCAACTGGGGCCCAACAACAATGGGTCCTGGCAACAGCAATGGGCACCAGTCCCCAGGCCACCCCCCCAAGGGGCCTCAAACCCAATAAGTCCCAGTCCCAGGGCAATGCCCTCTACAGTCCAGCGGTCCACAACATTGGGTCTTTCCCCCTTTTCAAAGAAGCTCTCCAGCGACGTTTATTTTTTACTCATTTTGGCTAGGGTTAGTTTGTAAGCTTACCAACAGTGTGACTGAGACAAGTGCGCATTGCGGGAAAGAGGCGTGGACGGAAGTGGTAAATAAAATAATGGGGGCGGGCCACGCGCAGACTCACCGCTCACCTCCTGCTGTGCGGCCTGGTTCCTAACAGACCACGGACCGGTACCGGTCCGCGGCACGGGGGTTGGGGACCCCTGCTCTACGCAATGTGTGATGTTTGCAATATTTTTTGTGATGTCTCTAAAGGTGCTCTGACTGAGCGACTGACTTAATTTTTTGTTCTCACTCACGTTAACAAAGCTGAAAATGTATGTTAAAAAAAACACATCTATATATCTAAAAAGATAGTATTTATTTAAACAAACACGTGCATTTCTGTGGGTGCCAACACACACGTGGTTACATGGGACGCAGGGGTCATAATCTCAGTGTAATTGTTTGAGAAAATTGTGATAGGCAAAGCACTTTGCTCGTAAGGAGAATACGGCAGCCAAAGGAGAGAATGCATATTAAGAGAAAATCTACAGTGGAAATGGAGAGATAAAATAAATCGGAGGTGGTGGACCAGTTGCTACATTGACGGACCATCAAACATAAGCTCATCTTGAGGAGGCTTTCATTCAGAAGTTGATTGCTGATAATACCGAGAGCTAGAGTGATGGACGCGTGGGTAGTGTCGGAGACGGGGTGTATGCGTTACCTCCACGCAGGTCTCAATCTCCGTGTACTGGTTCATGATAGGCAGGATGGCCTCCATGGTGCTGTGGTCCACCACGTCAGACTTGTTACCAACCAGAATGATGGGAATCCTGTGGAATTAAGTCACGGCCCGGCAGGCAAAAAATATGATCAATACCTTTAGAATTGGTAAAAAAAAAATCAAGCGATTTACATTGGCAGTAATGCAGACCCAATTTGTGTAAAACATTTTCTTTAACAAATAATGTATACCTATAACAATGCTTCAGGTGTGGGGAGGTCCTCATGCAGCAATGGACTAACAATAATAGTTTCTGCCCCTGTCTCCCTGCGCTCAATTTAAGCCTACTATATACATATGGATAGTTTTATTTCTCCAAAGCAGCATTGATGACAAACGCGGTTATCGATGCATTGTTGTGCCTTTGCACATTGGTAGCAATCATATTTTAGAAGAGACAATTTTTTTATGGTACGTTAAAAGGCAGGAAGGACAGTTTTGATGACAGAATGATTGGCTATATTGTACTTTGGACTGCAATTAGTTCCATAATCTATCTTTACAATGATGTATATCTGAAATTTCAGTGTTACCCCTCATACATGTTTTTTTTTTCCAGGAACATTGCTTTCTTCCAACATTCCAAATAGCAACAAGCTAAACTTGAGTGAATTTCAATAAAGTGCATACATTCACAAAGTATGACATTCACAATATACTAATTTTCAAAACATCTCAATGCAGGAACCTTCTGAAAAGTATCTGAGTGACACCATTCTTGGTTCATGAAGGGCATTATTATTGTAGGAAGGAAATGCAAGTCAATACTTTAAATTATATTGTGCAAACAAAGGCTGCGATGAGTCATTATATAATGGCAAGTGCATTTGTGGGTCAAGTCTGAGAATAGGTGCCAATCACAATGTAGAACACCTTATGCACATAAATACAAACACCAGTAATTAAGCAAGCAACATTTTCCGGACCACAAGAAACGTAGAGAAATGTCACACAAGCGGAATAACACTTTGCAATGATGCATAGCAGACAAGAAAATCACAGTAGTAAACCATGCAACATTGCATTCCACTACAGTAACACAATTATTTTCCTGGAATGTTTTTTTTTTACAACTTCGAACATGTGGTGTCAATCAGCATATTATAAATAAAGGGGTATTTTCAATTTATTATGATACCACAAGGGCATATTCACAGCTGGGCTCATATGCATTTGTGTCTCACCGCTCATCTTTCTCAATAGTTTCATTGATGAGAGGAACCCATTTACTTGTGATCTAAAAGAAGAACAAAGATTTCATTATATTTACTTACTAAAACGCATGATATAAATTCAGTGCAGGCTTAGCAAAAAACAAATATCAAAGCAAACCAAATAATGAATTGGGTGTACAGTAAACACGAAACAATATAAATGATTAAAGAAAAAACATTACGGAAAATTGCACTTGCCTTTTCAATGGAACGTTCATTGTCAACTGCATACACAATACAGATTACATGTGCCTGCAAGAAGCAATACAAACAACATTGTTTTGGCCTTGCAACCTTTTTACAAATACACACATAGCAGTGGTGATTCTGATGATATCCAAATATTCGTGCTCGTTTTGAGGTTGAATGCTTTAACTCCATTTAAAATAAAGTAACACTTTGAGATAAAATCTGCAGTTCTAAACAACACCAATTTTAACAATGTGCAATGCTACCGACAAATTAACCCACACGTTACTCCACTAGGATTATACATAACAACCATCACTCCAGGTCACTCTTGCAATTGAGACTATGCTGGTCTCTTGGGTTCTCACCCAGTTAAACAAAATAAATGTTTTACTTTTGTATAGAGTGTTGGCAACGTCAGAATACACTTCACAGTACATGGTGATATAAAACACATCGTTTGTATCGCTTTTCGCTTCCTAATTCCAACCGTGTTGCACAGATTAAGCGAGTGAACAAGGTGGGGGGTTCAGCTCAGCTGTGACCATGACCGAATTAACAGACATCCTCACAATGGAGTGTGTCTGGCAGGTGCTGGAAACTGTATTTGGACTTTGCAAAGTCTGTACATAACCTTCAAGTTACATAATAACCAGGTCAGATGCTCATCATCAGCAATAGCAGAAGACTTAAGAAGTTATTTATATGAAGGACATTAAGAGCTAATGCTATCCTAATCAGTCACATGATCCAATCTTGGACTAATCCTCCCAAGAAAAAAGTAACTCAATCGACTGTGTTCTCTACAAGTAAATGCTAACTTTGGCAACGGATAACTAAATCATGCAGCATAACACATTGAAGATAGCTTACCCTTAAAATTTCATCTTGCAAATCATCATCTGTCTGTTCTGCAGCTGCCAGAGAAAAAGGAAAACACATTAACTTTTTTGACAGAAGCAGTGTAATTAGTTTCACAACTTTGCGAGAAAAGTCGTCAACTTGACAACACGATCTCAATATAGCCCCACCTACCGGAATAGTCAACAATGTGTGTGGGCACTTTTTCTGGCGTAACGTCGGCTGGAATAGTTATCTCTTCAGCGCGGGCCGGCACCTGAAAAACAAAACAAATCAGGCCAGAAGTCAGCGTTTGAAGGTTATTGTCACCACATCTTTGGTCGCATACCACACGCAGCCAAACCAGTAAAATCTGGACTCAACTACGAAAATAACTTCAACGGAAAGAGATATTTCTAAGAAAGGTAACGTATTGTAGGTATGTGTACGTAAATTACGAGTAAAGTGCTCGGAAATGTTTAGCCGTTCGTGTTCATCTCACCTCTTCTGGAAACTCTTCACTCACAAGGGACATAATGAGTGAGGTCTTGCCCACCTTGGCTGTACCACGCATGCGACAAATGACAAACATGCAACAATGAATTACTGGGGGAGTCAATATAGACGTGCACGTAGAGCTATTGTGTGTCCACTGCTGGATGAGGGCCTTCCCACGCCATGTGGATCGTGGTGATAATGTAAAGTACACGAATACAGTACAATAGATTTTGCTGCACCACCCTCTGCTGCTCACCACGTAGCCCCCGCAGAAGCCTACAACGCCTGTCTGATTTATGCATGGTCGCTCATCCAAGTCCACTCAACCCTTTGAAGCTTTCAAGACCGGGCGAGAACGGACGCATTCCAGATCAGTTGGTCATTGGGCATGGCAGTTAATGTTCGTTACTGGACGCAGGACGAACGACTACCTAAAAATGTAATTTCATTCATTACATGCGACAATTACACAACTTATCTGTCCGTAAAAACACGGCGTTCCAAGTTTTTCCACACCAATATCACAGCGACGTAAATGATTGTGCTTCAACGCGTGCATTACAAAGTGTAAAGCCAACGATGCACTGCATCGATAACATCACGTGCGTGCACCGTGTAAGTACAATAAAGCTTGTTCAGACATGCAGACAGACGATGGCTCATCTTCGACTTATCTTGGCTTTAACGTAACAAGCGTTTAGGCCGAGTCAATTGGGTTTTAAATGGCATCTCAGGCCGCAGTAACAACCGCTTCTTAGCTGTGTGCGTATTCTTTATATAAAAATAACTTTTTATCACGGGCCATGATCTATCCACTGTTGAAAGAAGGCCTTCCCCACGAACTCCGCGTGCATGTCCTATGGAACACGTAGCATTCCTCAGAAGTCAATCCCGTCGTTTATTTATGACCATTAGCCATCAATCATCCCTTTCCGCCCGACTTACCTAACTCACAGCATATATCAGACCTACGTAAACTGTAAAGGATAGACCACGGTATACACGATATGCTTTACAATAATTGCTATATTCCCTAAATACATAAAGGAATAAGTGGACGGTATCATATTCAGGCACAATGTAACTGTTTAAGACACTGCACAAAGTTTGTTTCCAATCGATAGAATAGTGCTAAAGACAATATAGCAAAGGGGGTGAGCCGAAACGTCTACGTTGATTTTACTCTCAACTAAAAAATATTTTGATTCGTTACATGGGCAACGTAAACTCACAAAAGCGGGTCCAGCGAGTTCAAATGTAAATATTTGTACAACCGACTCGACGCATTGTGGGTGCATGAATACTGCAAAGTATGGGCACAAACGCGTTAAACCTTCCATCGTATAGAAAGGCAACCGCGTCACACAGCACGCAATTAAACTGTTCGCGGGGCAATAAAGTTCACGAGCCAGTCAGTACACGTTTCCACGAGTGGGACAGGCTGCTACGCCCCACCCTGCTCAGCCGGGGACACCGACTCCAAACCCCGCCGCTCAACTAGGCCACAACGGAGGCTGCAAAATTACGACCGCGAGGCCTACCGCCAAACGGCCCGACTCGCGACGGTCACTCACGCTCTCCCACGAGCAGGATTCGCACATCCTTCTTCATGGCTCCCGGTCGCTTTGCTGGGGGGGGAGGGTGGTGTGGGGACACGCCGTGCGGGAGCAGAGTTGGTTGGAGGGGGAGATTTCGCGATCGTCTCCCCAACCGCGCGCTTCAACGGAGCCCGCGCTGCGCGACCTCCATGTCTCCGCCGCCGAGACGAGGTTGCCGGCCAATGGGAGCGCGCCGTTGTCGTGACGTCACGGTGTCTCGCGCGGGGTCACGACCTCCCCCCGCCCCTCCCCCCCGTGGCCCCTCCCCCACCGGTCAGGGTGGTGCTTACGAGCGCCGCGACACGTGCGTGGTTGAGGCTGAGCGCGTGCCGTGCAGCACGTGTCTCACCACCCCTACCCCCCCCTGCACAGCTGTTCCCGCTCCTCGACTTACGAACAAATACGTCACCCCTTGTTCGTAAGTCGAATTGTTCGCGAGTGCAACTCGACTCTAAACACGGGGAATTGCTTTAAAGGTTGTGTAACCTCCTCTGGATGCCACTGGTTCGTCACGTTCTGCATATTTAGATGCCACCACGGACATCTATTGTACGGCGGTTGAACTTACAACTCTCGGTCAAAATAGGCAACTGTACATATGGACAGGTTTATTGGTATCTATGAATGTTCGTAAAAAGAGTCAATGTAGTGGAAGGACAGGCCCCGACTTACGAACGGGGTTACATTCCTGGGCCCTGTTCGTAAGTCGAGTCGTTCTGGAACTCAGCGTTTAATAATTTAATTGTACTGTACGTAACGTTCAGTGTTATAAAGTGTGTTATATTCCAACTAAAAATGTATTGTTAAACTTTTAAACTATAAAAAAAATTGTACATTTGCATGTGATATTGTAATGATTACTATATAGTAAATAAAACGTATTTTCACTTACAGTATCTTGAGTTCTGATGCTGGCTTTCTTGTGGGGAGCATTTCTAGAAGATTCATTACATCTCACAGAGCCGAACAAAACACATTCCTGCGGAGGGAGCTGGTAGGAACGTTGGGTTGCTCGGTCAATGGCCAGGGTCAACGGCGGCGTGGTGTATTCCGCGAATATGCCCGACTGTGAGGGTGGGCACAAGCCGGCGTGAGTAGGTTAAACGTTGAGTTTTATAAGGGCACCACGGGGTGACCAGCCCCTCCCCACCCAGCCCCACCTTCCCCACCCTCCCCTCCCAAATGGTTGTTTGTGCTGGGTGTATTGAGAACCAGTCAGAGGCGAATCTAGAAACCTCCCAAGAGGTGGAGGCAGACCCAAAATGCCAATATATAGAAATACGGCCCATTCTAATTTTAATACTCCATCGTGAACACCCCCCTTCTCCGCTCTATCCGGATCCACCAGTCGTGATGCATGGGTGATGGTGAAACAGGCATTGCAGACCAAAGAGCAGATGAGCAGATGGCGAGATGGTGGGAGACTGTCAGGGCAAACCTTGAAGGTTGCGGGGGTCTCCTGTTGCAGCAGCTGCGGGATCTGACAGAGGGTAGAACAATTATTGCCGAGGTGTGGTGGTGGTGGCATAAGTGGTTTTGGCCACAACTTCCTTGATCTAGTAGAATTGTGATCAGAGGGGTAACGTGGAAAATAATATAATCGTTTTTTTATAGAAATATAAGCTACAAGACACACCCCAAACTTCTGCCCATTACAAAGATGAAAGATCCCCCCATAAAGCCTAACCGAGATTTTGCACAAGTGCTGCTAGCGGGCACCTATGAAGGCCAGCACGATACACGAGGTGGATGGTCAGCACTACGCCCGGTCGCCTTTTTATCCCCAGTGACAGGCTTACACATTATACCAGGTACTCATTGGAGGAAGATTAGATCCAGGGAAGGCCCAGGAACGGTTTAGATTATCGTCACTGGTTTTGGCCAGGAGTGGGAATCGAACTGGGGTTGCCAGGTTCATCCTGCAGCACACTAACCACTGCTCCACCAGTGGTAAGCGCACGTGTGCCCAGTACGCATCTGGTCACACACACTTACACCGGATTAAAGACAAACCTATAGGGGTGCCTCTTATCCAAATAGGCAATTTATAGGCATATAACTTCACTGCCGTATTCATACATCACCCGGTTGGTGGAGGTTGAAGCATACACGTAGGACCATCGTGCAATACAAACGTTCCTTTTGCTGCACTGCCCTCTGTTTGCAATGAAACCCCACAGACGCCTATAACACCTGTTTTATGCATGGTGATCACTAAATAAAGCACGATCCAAGCTCAACCCAGCTTCAACTTTCTGTTTATAAAACATTTATTACTGCCAGATTTTCACTCCAGAACGTGCTGTTTATTTTTTATATAGAGTTGTTACTCAGTAGATGTTACCGTGTTATCTAACAGGTGCAAGTTAACTCAACACAGCCAAGAGAATTGAGTAAAAAAAATACTTTAATCATACAACAAAGTTAACTGCATTCGCAAATATATCGTATGTACACATTCCGTATGTTGATGAAGCACATCAGCTGTTGTTCCACCAAGACAGCAACCCGAGCCCTGGCTCACTGATGGAAGCCTGCACACAGTCAATGTGAACGCAAACATGTTACTGCACCCACCACGGGTGCCATGAATAGCACACGTGTTTAAAACCACAATACAGTATTCCCTCGTTATTCGCTAGGGATATGTGTTCTGGAGATGCTCGTGAAGAGTAATTTTTTTTGCTGATGATTTTAAATTACCTGGAATACAAAAGCTATTAAGTAGATTTTAAAAATCATTAAACATTTTTTCTAATAAAAAGTAAATACAGATATGAAAGTATTAAATAATTCTTTATGCATCAACTTACCTAAAAAGCATAATGCTGCGCTATTACACCACTTTATCTCATCACATTCTCTCTCGTCACTTAATCTCCTCACTTTCTTCCTCTCTCTTTCGATGCAGTGAATAGCGTTCCAGATGCGATTCGCGGATAGCCAAAATTGCGGATAGCAAGCTGGTGAATAACGAGGGAATACAGTACACGTGCAAAAAACATCCACAGGTATTCAAGCCCGTTCCAGTTTGCAGCACACAATCGACACGAATAGTCGTTTGTTAATCTGCTTCTGAATGAAGCCACAAATCCACACTGATCAGCAAATAGGGTCAAATAACCTGCATGGCCCATGCACAATCTGCATCAGAAAAAAACATTTCTTCGAGACCATGTGGACCACATTTTATATAATCTTGTGCTTTTTTGTATTCATTTAGCTTACACGAAAAAATAGTTTTCTATTCAATGCACTCTTTCCCTCTTTCCGTTATAAAGCATGTCAATGATTCATAACACAATCATCTGAAAACTTGTTTTTGGAGGTTATGCAATGACACACGTGTTGTCAATTGTACTTTAATAATGGTCACGGGTAGCTTGTGTTGCAGCGAACAATCGAGGAAGCCATCCAATAAACACTTAAGGCCCTGGTATGATGAAAAACATTGTCCGGAAAGGCCTATTGGACAAGGGAAATGTTACTTTATTTCAGTTTGCGGTGGACAGGTGGCTCAGAGGTCAGAGAGTTGAACCGGCACAGCTGAGATCATTGGCTTGAAGCCGTGACTAAACTGGGTTTTCAAGTGTCGTGCGTTGATGGTCTCAGCCAGATCACCAATGACTGCACAAAAATCACATTACATTGGTGTTTCACTCAATTGGCTAATGACCGTCGTGCGATAAACATTACGCTGGGTGGCACGGCGGGTTGGAAATGCTGTTCCCTACGGTGTGGATCAGAGTTCACTTGAAGGGTTCTTGAGAGGAGCTGCATAAGATCAGCTTTCACAAATCATTCTTATACACAAAGGGTTGCACTGATCTACGAGTTCTGAATACATACTTAATTTAATGACTTGATGTCAATTAGGAGAAAATAATGTTCATATATATAATTAGTTTATTCTTTTATTGACACTTCGACCACTCAGCCAATGCCACCCACCACTTACTTGTCACCACTTTCCCATCTCTAAAATAGGTTGAAGACCAAGGCATTGCCCAGCCGAAACAAGGTGTATTTTAAATTTCGATTTAAAGCATTCGTGACTGCAGGAATTCATCTTCTTGGTTCTTTCGGTAAAGTCACGTAGAAGGGAAATAATAAAATAATAAAAATAAACATAATAAAATACAATTCTTCAGACGCTGTCTTCAGACTCTGTCTTTCCGACAGCCCTGTTCTTCACCTGACGGCTGCTTGCGTTGTGGCCGAAACGTCGTGAGAATTGTATTAAATGTTTAATTTTAATTATTTTATTATTTCCCTTCTACGCGACTTTAACGAAAGAATCAAAAAGGAGGTGTATTTTGTCCGTACCGTCAGCGAGTACGGTGCTTGCTTCTTCTGGAAGTCCTCGGCCGGCACGGAAGCCGCACCGGACCCCGACGTTGCCGCCGCCGCCGTGCCGTCTGCGGCGGCCTCGGGGCCCGACGGTGTCGTGTCCACGAAGGTCTCGTCCATGACGCGGAAGCGAACGTCCTCCCCAACGTCCATGAAGAGGTCGTGGGTGCCCTCCTCCGTCTCGTACTCCCACACCCACACCTGCTCGCCGTCATCGCTGCGAGCGTGCGTCAAGGCAAACGTGCGGCGGGAACGTGTCCGTGTGTGTGTGTCTACAGTCAAATCTTAATTATCTGGGTGAATTAGTCGGTGAGAAGTGGCCCGGATAAAATAAAAAAACATGTATATTAATCTAACTGTGTAGGATTTCACAGTTGTGCTGTACAACTGTCCAATACGTGTTCAGCTCATACCATGTGTTTTTCATCACCATGTCCGATGTTTCGCTCCACGTGTTGGGAGCTTCTTCAGCAACAAAATTATTCCAAAACTGAATTATGCAGTTTGTTCTGTCCTGAGACGTCAGACATCATCCTGAACAACATGGGGTACAATCCAAAAACACCGAACAGCTATAAGGCTATAACAATGTAGAAATATTTACTTGCGTAGAATGGGGTGAGGTGATAGGATGTAATTTGTTCTTGTTGATGTCACGTAGGCTCTGAGTCACAATCCCCAGATCAGCGAGGAACAGTTCATGAGCCAGTAGCGTGTGCGTGCGAGGACATCTTATTTATTTATTTACTCTACAATACTCCGTTTGGTAATAATGGTTGTTTGCAATTTCAGCACAATTGCCAATGGTTGCTATGAATTAACGCGACTTCCATTTGCGTCGCTAATTATGCTACTGTACACGGTTACAAAAGTCCCTTGCAGGATATTACCAGGATTACACAATTATAAAAACTAGCTCATACAAGTTGTATTGAGCTGGTTGGCAAGGGTGAAAGACGAGATACCAGAATTTCAGTTGGCTTCAAGAATGACGTCTCGAGAAGGATACAACTTGGACGGTTGCTGCAACGACTCTGGGGGGATGCGAATGTCATCGAAAAAACCCAGCGACACTGAAAACAGAACAAATTCACATATGAAATTAGAAAAATCACGATAAGGAATCAACCTAACTCTAAACGTAGGCTTTCTCGACCAATATTATGATTGATAATTAGTCACTCTTGACTCGAGATCTGAGCTGTTAACCTACGGATGCTTGGATGCAATCTCCAGCGAAGCGTCATTCACCATTTTAAAGTTGTGAGATAGCTTTTCATCAACAACACCGGTGCTGCTGCCAAAGCCGTAATAAATGTGGCCCGTTTGATTCACGTGACACTTTAAAAAAATATATGAATCAATCTTTCTGTTGAAAGATGTCCAATTAAATGTACTCGAATTGCACACCTCTGTACAAGCAGCAATGGACAAACAGTACGCCAGTAAACCATAGCTGTTATATTTGGAATACACCCGACATGAGGATTTCTCAACTCGAGTTCTTGCAACCAATTATGGTACGGCTTTCCAAGTTTACAAAGTCACCTCCGTTCAAATGCAAATTAAGTATTTATCGGAATCAAATGTAGGGTGATTTAATCATGCTCCTGTCTATTTCTGCACTCTCACCTCACTCTATTCTCCTCTCATCTCCCTACTCCCTTCCATGCCCTCTCTCTTACCTGTCCCTTCTCATCTTACTCTACTACTCCCCTTCACGCAACATCCACTCCATCAACAAAAACCTTGTAAAATCCCGCAGTCAACCTTCGCCCAGTGAGGTCACTCATTCTCTTATGCTGCCGCCACATTCTAGAATTTCCTTCTCCCAGCTGTCAACTCCCAGGCAGCATCCATAAAAAACAAATCTTCTGCCTACGATTGCCTTCATAAAATAAATATCCCCACCGTTTCTGTCCAGCGCCTTGAGATGTGTTCACTTTTATATGCTGTTTAAATTGCAGTTAGATTATACTACAGGTGTAAATGCCGGGTGACCAGGACTGGGCATGCGAATGTGAAGACATGAAGTTGTTCAGACTCACCCTGAACCCCCTCTTGACTGCAACACTTGATCTTGCCGATGATGATCTCATCCAGAAATGGGCGGAACACCACGAACCGGAAGTGAACTGAGGGACACATAGCGGCAGTGTTCACATCAAGGGGCAAATGTTAGCCTTGGTGCATGTGTGTGTACTTTGAAAGTCTCCAAGTGTACCTAGTCTGGCACAAGCGCCATGGGGACACCACCACCACTTAAGAGGCGAACGCCGATTTTTGTTGATGTATGTTGAACTTCTTTCGCACCGTACGTAGCCGTGCTAATCGGTGGTGCAGGAAATCGGAGGTGCGATAAATGTGTGCGTGAAACGGCACCTTTGGTGTGTGATGCGCCATCGCCAGGGAACACGAAGGAGTCTTCCATCTTCGTAATGTCGTACAGGCAGACGCACAGCCCCACGTTGTAAACAACCTGCCGGAACAGCAATATCTGCTCATCTCCAATCGCTCCTGCAAGATTGTCTGCCTAAACAAATGCTGATAGAAAACAGTGGGTCAGTAGACCTCCTGAGCCTGTGTTCTTCATTTGCAAGGCCCGCGGGCCACTGGGGGCCCCTGGTGGCCTTTAGTACGGTCCCCAACAATACACAAATGGGAAAACACTCCCCATGATCATCATCATCGTGCTGTCAATCCCCAATGGTGTCAAAAATGTGGCGGTCCTCACAATGATGATGCCTTATCGGCGAAACTGCCCCCCCCCCTCTGAAAATTAGTGAAGAACACTGTCCCTCGGCTCATGGACCGTGATTTATATTGGTGATCACCAATAATTTACCAGACAGGAGATGGCAGTGTCGAGTGTCGCCACTTCGAATATTGTGCACGCAATTCACGGGGCAGACATTCCAGTGAAGACCCTCAAGACCAAGCGAGGCTGGCTCCTTGGTAAATAATGTCAATCATGAGCATTCGATACAAAATGCGCCCATGGTTTCCGATTCACGGGTCGCACACAGTACGCGATACGGCAACGTTTGACAGCGACGATTATCATGGAACCGAAAGATCCAACACGGATTCATATTCTTAGGTTTTTTCGGTAAAGTCACGTAGGTAAAACATTCATCTCTTGAGGAAGGCCAGCGTCTCGAGAAGCTGTGATTTCTTGTCTCGTTGTCTGTTAAAAACTCTAACAGATAGGTGGAATTCCTCCCCGTAGAGGGCATTAATTCTAGATTTGAAACCTAAGAATAAGAATCCTTGCAGTCACGAAAGCTTCAAATCTAGAATCCAACACGGATGCAGCGCCCTGGCGATTTATTTTTGGAATTGCGTGGACGACAACTCGCATAATTAACAGTGCGCTTGGGAAACAACCACTACAGCTAGAAGGGATGATGGCCAATGACGGAATGGCAGTCCAAGGATGGAACGCGTCCACCAGGGGGTAACACATACCGTGGGGATGGAGCAATGAGAATCTGCTGGTGGGCAGGTTTCTACGTGAAGCGTCCACATCGCAGGATGGCGAGAGAGATTGCGACGGCTTTGGGGTGAACCTTCATCCAGCAGTGGCTCGAGCATGAATGCCGATGAGTGGATTTGGCCAAATACGATACCCCCCCCCCCCCCCCAAAATGAGGATCTTCTCTAAAAAGTCTCGAGACTGTCAGGGTTAATAAAGTCCTGTATTTAGTGCTACAGTGTTTATTATGATTATTATTATTAAGTGGGGTGGAGCGTTGCCGATGCCCCCATGCCACGTGGCGGATTTGGGCCCCATCCTGCACCGACACCCCCCCCCCCACACAACTGTGACCAACACAACACACAAATACCCCCCCCCCCGTGACCAACACAACACACAAACACCCCCCCCCGTGACCAACACAACACACAAATACCCCCCCCCCCGTGACCAACACAACACACAAACACCCCCCCCCGTGACCAACACAACACACAAATACCCCCCCCGTATAACCTTATATCATACTGTTGGGGCAAGTGCTGTGAGCGAACACCTTTGAAGGCTGGCACGGTACACAAAAGGATCGGGTGGCAAGCACCACGCCCGACCGCCTTTGTCTCCCCAGTGGCGATGTTTTTTTTATTTTACACACACCGCACCAATGAGTCATTTGAGGCCGAGCCGACCTTGGGGTGGCCCAGGACCGGATCAGCTTATATCGACACCGGTCGCGGATTGAGCAGTTGTGCAATTGTAGCCGCCGCAACAATATAACAAAGTCTACGCGTGGCAGCGCCATCATCATCCTCCTCACCTTGTTGGCGAGCTTTTTATTGAGCTCCGAAGTCACGGCCTCGTTCAGTTTCACCCCGAAGTTCCATGGCGGGATGCGGACAGTGTCGCTCATCTCTACCAGCAGGAACATGGCCAAAGCAAAGGACACGCACGCAGCAGCAGCAGCAGCAATCGCGAAACAAACGCCGGCCTCAGTCAACCAGGGCCTGCAACTAACAACGCCACCACCACCGCCACCACCGCCGCTAACCCGACTATGACCAGGCACGGGGCTGTTACGGGAGTCTCATCTGGCACGAGAGTGAAAATGAAACCCTCCGCGTCGGCTTGTCAAGTAAGAGAAGATACACCGCGGCTCGATTGATAATTCTCTTAACACGTGCGGAGAGCGGGAAGGGGGGAGAAGTGGGTCTTACGAGCGGCCCAAACACGTGGGAGGTGGGGGGAGGGGGTGGGGGGAGGAGGTGGGGGGAGGTGGTGGGGGGAAGAGGTGGGGGGAGAGGGAAGGTGGGGGGAGGGGGTGGGGGGAGGAGGTGGGGGGAGGTGGTGGGGGGAAGAGGTGGGGGGAGAGGGAAGGTGGGGGGAGGGGGTGGGGGGAGGTGGAGGGGATGGTGGGGGGTGGAGGGAGGAGGTGGTGGGGGGAAGAGGTGGGGGGAGGAGGTGAGGGGAGGGGGGAGGTGGGGGGGTGGAGGGAGGGGGTGGGGGGAAGAGGTGGGGGGAGAGGGAAGGTGGGGGGTGGAGGTGGGGGGTGGAGGGAGGAGGTTGGAGGTGGAGGGAGGAGGTGGGGGGTGGAGGAGGTGGGGGGTGGAGGAGGTGGGGGGTGGAGGAGGTGGGGGGAGGAGGAGGTGGGGGGTGGAGGAGGTGGGGGGAGGAGGAGGTGGGGGGAGGAGGAGGTGGGGGGACGAGGGAGGAGGTGGGGGGTGGAGGGAGGAGGTGGGGGGTGGAGGGAGGAGGTGGGGGTCGCGAGCTCACCACCCCCCACCCCGATATCCGGTGACGTCACGCCGCCCCGGCCGATGACGTCAGAGGGGGACCGCGGATCTCCGCCCCGGCGTTGTTGGTGAGGCCGCCTCCTCCTCCTCTTCGTCGCGACCCCTCTCCGCCTCCTCCTCGCCCTCCTCCTCGCCCTCCTCCTCATCCTCCTCGCCGCGCCGCCGCGTCTCCCGGCACTCTTCGTCGTCTCCCGCACGCTCCGTCGTCCCGCGTGTGGCCTCGGGTCGTGGCACAGGTGAGGGATCTGCGGCCGACTCTCGGGGGTGGTGGTTGGGCCGAGCCGGGTTCCCCTACCGGAAACGGTGCGCCTATCGCGGCAGAGCTCGCTAGCACCACGGCGTGTTGCGCGTCCGACTAGGCCGCATTCGCCGGCGTTCTCGGCGGCTCTCCGCTGGGGTTCGCCTCGCGTTGAGCGGCGTCCGGAGAGACTGTCGGGGGGTCAGGGCTTGTGAATCGCGGGCTCGTGGATGGATGGTTTGAGCCCGGCTGAGCCGAGCCGGCTACCCCTACCACGACCAACACGCGCTGGCGACAAAGCGCTTTGTCTGCCCTGAGCCTCTTGTGCTGAACAATAGGGGGGCACCCGAGGGCGCGTGGACGGTCACTTTGCCGTGCGTGCTGTTGTGTGCGTCCTGTGTGTGTGTGGCCGAGTATGACCCGGAGCTTCGCATGGAGCGATAGGCAAAGGTAGCTTCCAACTGCGTTACGCAGCTGACGAAATTTAAAAAGCTGCTTGTTTGGTCGGATAGAGTGGGCTTAACAGGCGCGGCGCGGACTAGGGGAGAGGTGGGCTGATGTGGCATGGGGGATATGGAGGTGAGAGGACTTGGCGATGAACTGGTACCAGCGGTGTGAAGATCGATCTCTGCGGAGGAGGTTCGTGCGGGACGCTGCTGAGCAGTTGAGAAGCTACAGCCCTCAACAAGGGAGGGCGGTAAAAGTGTAGCAAATTGGCACAGTGAGAAGCACAGATGGTGCATCTGTAATCTCGGCCGGTCATCCCATAAAACCTGGGTCTGCTCCGTGGCCTGCCAGCGGGCCTTCGACACTTCATGTGGATCTAAAGTGCACCTAGCCTGGCACGAGTTTTGTGGTGATGCCCCCGTCACTTCGTGGCGAATGGCGGCTGGTCTGGTTGTCTGTACCGGTCCGCGCGAGTTTTATTTTGTCGTCTTTGTGTGCTTGTTTATACGGCTGTGTGCATGTGTGAATTTGTGTTGTCTTTTTATGTCTTGCTGTGTCAATTTGTCGTCTGTTTTTCGTCTTTTGTATGTACGAGTGTCTTTGTTTTTCTGTGTGCATGCGTGTGTATTGGCTTTTGTGTGGTTCTCTGTGAACGTGTCTTTTGTACGTATAAGTGCCTTTGTCTTATGTTTGCGTCTTAAGTTGTTTTCGGTGCGCGTGTAAATTGTCCTTTTGTATGTTTGAGTGTCTTCTCGTAGACATTACTGCATGTGTATTGTATCTGAGTGTGAATTTGTTGTTTGGGTGCATGTCTTTTTTGTATGTGTATTTGTGTGGCGTTATGGCTGCAAGTGTGCGGGGGTTGTCTTTGTATCCGGTCTATTGTGTACGTTTGAAGTCATGTGGGTGTGTATTAAAGTACATAGGTGTTGTATTAACATATGCGTCTCACGGCTGTAACAGGAGCTCGCTCACAATATTTGCCCCCACTGTGTCTGGCTTTTATGGGGCAGCTTTGACCGTATGCAGATGTCTGGAGAGTTGTTGGCACACTGCTCTGTGATCTTCGCTTCCCCAGGTTCGAGTCGCGGGCTTGTGTTGGCATCACTACGCCGGTGGTATTAAAATATGTTCTGGGTTTGCCCGAGTTCCACTCAGCCATAAATACGAATCTGGTGTGGTGTGTCCATTTATTTTCAGGGAGGAGACAAAAAGGTGGCCAAATGTAGTTGTCACACCACCACAGCCTCGTGAGCCGTGGCCAATTTATTAGATGCTCGCTAGCAGCGCTTGACTCAAAAGTTAAAATGGATTGAGCTGGGATCTGTGCAAGTGTGTTTATACAAGTCTGTCTCAGCGCTCATTAATCTGTGAAGTTCACTCAGGGGAGAGCAAAGCTGGCAACGTGGCACCCTCTCCAACATTGTATAGAGCACACAAACGTACACTACGTTTAATTTCTTCCAATGCGGTAAACATTGCTTGTACAGTATATGTATATATGGTTGCATTGCATAATGTTAAACAGGTTATTTTAGTTTTGATGACTTTTAATATTGCTTGTGAGCGTAGTCACCGGTGTTTGTGCTACTACTACTACATGGGTATTTACAGTTGCGCTGTATAGCTCGGATGTGTGTTTGGGTTGTGCTGTGTTATTCGGCATGAAGTCTTGACGTTACTCTCCACGTGCTCGAGACCTTGACGCTTTGAAAGCTGCCACCATTCGAGTAAGACGTCAGACATGCTGGGAGCTTGAAGATGCTAACATCACACGAAACTAAACGTCTGACATACTGCGCCTACAACCAGAAAACTCATCGGAGAGCTATATAATTGTTTTGTGTTAGATGGCATAACCTAGGTCTGTTTTATACCCTTCATTAAGATGCATTGTTTTTTTACCACTCTTTTAAAGGCAGGATGTGTCCACACCACCCGTTGGCGAGTACCCCCTCTCATTGTTCTGTTGCGCGCGATTGCAGGAAACCGATGCCGCACGGAAAACCTTAAGCGGCGCCAGCCCGACAGCTCGGGACGGAGGGAGGTGGAGGAGGTGGTGGAGGACGGGGAGAGAGCGGCATGGGGCAGTGCGTGGAGCGGTGCAGGCGGGACTCCCGTGATTCTCCACAGACGCGAGACAAAAATGGCAAGGGCGTTGGTGGTGGCGCGGTGTCGGGAGGCAAGCTGGCGTCACAGGGTGGTGGCGCTGCCAGCCCGGCGGAACGAGCGCCGTGCCCTGACAGAGGCGTGGGCACGGCGCCCTCGCGTGGAGTTCCGTCATGTAAAGATCCCGGAGAATATCCGACAACGGACACCAAAGATGGAGCAGAAAGCGTGGGGATTAAGGTATAACAATTGTTAGCAGTGATGATTTCATGATTGCGATAGTGTTGAATATTATGGTAAGCATGTTATCGTCCCTGAAGAAATAATGTAAACATGTAGCCATTTTGTCAATCCACTGCTGGATGATGGCTTGCCGACGCCTGTGTGGGTCGTGATAGTTATTTTACGACACTTCACATTGCTCAATACGGGTTGGAAGCCCTGCAACCCAACCCTGTGTGCATCGTGGTTGAATGGGTTGAGCAGATTCAGTATTTAGTAATTTCCTTCATCATGGATGGCCTAATTGAGTCTACATTCTCCTTTCTGAGGATTTAATGGGGTGAGGCAAATTCCATTTTTAATATTTTACATGCGAACGCAATCTAAAGTATCCTGAAAAAAATCCACAGCACGGATGTATCACAAACCCATTTCCTAAATTGCCATCTGGTAACCTTGCACCCGAGCAGGTGGAAGTGAGAGCACTTGATGAAATTTGCATGATCCACAAACCCTGCCTCCAGACAAAACCCTCTTGTGTCTTTTCCAAACACAAAGATCCCCTGTGTAGCCTTGAACAGACTGCTGGAGCAAGTGTTGTTACTATGTATGTTGAACTTCTTTCGCACCGTACATAGCCAACTGTGCTCATCGGAGGTGTTGGAAGTAAGCACCTACTGATGCCTGCACGGCGCAAGAGGAAGGGGTGGTGTGGCCAACACCACATGCAGTTGTCTTCGTCTATTACCATACCTTGTGCCATGCTAGGTGCATTGTATGCCAAGTGAAGGCATAGACCAAGATGTTATGACAAAAACAACCCATATTTCCTCGAAGTGTCAAATGTTAATACAGTGGTGTGTTGTGCTCACATCTACCACAGTGGCAAATGGAGGCTTTACTCTTGTGCGAGGTGTTCTTACATTTTACGACTAAAACATGGCAGGAAAAATATTTACAGATGCATACAAAGCCTCGAGCGACCATCATGTCGAAACAGGTTGTTATATATATAGTCAACTCGGAATCAGAATTTTTATCCTGGAGAAATCCAATGAGCTATGAAGCCCTTTTTTTACAGATGTCCAGTAGGAGTGGGCTTTGCAGCAAAATCAATCAATTTGATTGTACTTTTTTTGCTTCCGTGTCTGTGCTCCCTACCCCTTTAAAGTATTGTATTTCAGGCATGTGCCAACAGGACCAGCGATACAAGCCCACCCCCACCACATGATATTGGCCTTCATAAATACCCAGTTTCATTGCACATTCACTTGGTTTCGCGCAGGTCGAGTCGGGCGTTCTCATCTCTGCGCTGGAGGAGCAGGAGTACTCGGAGCAACGCATCGCCGAGATGTTCCTGCGCTACCGCGACGCCCGGGAGGACGCCGTGCTCGCCGATGGCATGGAGCGGTTCCTTGCCGATCTCCACGTGGAGCCCGCAGACTTCGTAGTGCTGGCGCTCGCGTGGAAGTTCCAGGCCGCCACCATGTGCCGCTTCTCCAGGTGCCGGCGCTGCCCAGCCATTGCCCTCCAGGCACTCGCAGTGACCTTTAAAGCTATGATGCTCTAGAGCAGTGGTTCTTAACCTGGGGTGCACGCACCCACGGGGGGTGCGAGACATGCCAAATTTTTTTAGGAGGTAAATAATAGAAACACAAATGAAGCACAGGGCACGTATGTTACATTAACATGCTAATTTTTACTTGGCAGCCCTTATTGGTGAACAACCCACCACCGCCACAGTCGCTGCCCATAACTTACATTATCATTGGCTGCTGACATTTGGGCTACGCCAATTTCAAACCTTTATAAACAGTTGTCTTTTGAAGCTAACCTCCCTTTTCCTGATGATGACCGCTTGTGTTGCGATCGAAACGTCGTAGTTTTTTTTAATTTTTTTATTTTCTTTGAACCTATCTATGTGACTTATTCTATTGTGTTTGCTGACACGCCAGATAATGGGTTTATTGCAGAGGTCGACAACCTGCAGCTCCGGAGCCACATGAGGCTTTTTAATGACTTCTTGGTGACATTATTTATTAAGCACCATCTCGTATTCACGTACATTGCGGCTCTTGAAATATCGATTTATTTTTTTCCCTTTACGGAATTTGAAAAAAACGACTCGTTATTTTGGTTGTCGATCCCTGGGTTCGCCTGTCTGCGGGGCCAAGTGACATTTTGTGACGGGTACGAACGTTTAATCACGCGGCGTCGTGGGGGTTATTTCACCGTACTGCACCCCACTGGTAGGTGCAGATTGGAGAAGGGGTGGGGATGGGCATGACTGGTTAAGATTTCGCTTGCTCACAGGTGTTAGCTATGGACGGAAATTGAACTAGTGTCACTGGGTTTGGAGCACGATGCGCGAACCGCTGCACCACTACTCCACTGCACTTTTGTATTTGTCATTGCATAATAGACCAAAGGTACAGATTAAATTAGTAACAGTGCAGTGGTCTTGAAAATGAGGTGTGCCTGTGCTCTTGTTTTCTCTCTAATCATCCTGCCCCCCCCCCCACCTCGGATCTCAGGGAGGAATTCGTGGGAGGTTGCCGAGCACTGCGTGCCGACAACACCAAAGCCATACAGACTCGCTTTCCCGAGCTCATGTCCGAGGTGCAGACGGAGGAGAACTTCAAGGAGCTCTACCGCTTCACCTTCAACTTTGGCTTGGATGCCGAGGAGGGTAATGACTGCACAACGCAAAATGTGAAACTTTGCTGTCGGGCAGTGCCGCGTCGTCCTGTGCCAGAATGGTCCTGGCAGGTGATGGCACAGAACTTCTGCTGAAGTCACTTTATTAGAACTCTGTATCCGCACTTGGAACGCACCTCTGAATGTACAACCTAAAGCACCACATTGGAGGGCTATACAGCACAATTCCAAAGACGTATGCATTCGTACCCCATTGGCTTTGTTTGTGCATGCCATGCAGTGGCTAACGAGCTTTTCTGCATGGTTGATGCGTTCCAGGACAGCGTGCGCTGCCATGCGAGATGGCGATCGCGCTGTGGCGGCTGGTGTTCTCCCAGGATCCACCTCACATCCTGAGCCGCTGGCTCGAGTTTCTGTCGGAGAACCCAGCGGGCATTCGTGGAGTGTCGCGCGACACGTGGAACATGTTCCTCAACCTGGCGCAGACCGTCGGCTCGGACCTGAGCTCCTACAGCGAGGACGAGGCGTGGCCCAGCCTCTTCGACGCCTTTGTCGAGTGGGAGCTGGAGAGGAGGCGGCGAGAAGAGAGCGGCGGCGGGACGTTGCCCGGCGGGCTTGACGATGGGGGTGGCGATGACGAAGGCGACGACGAAAAGCGGGAAGATTGTGTCGTGGGCGGAAAAGCCGACCCTTCAGGCATTGGCCTGCAGCAGGGATGAGCTGCATCAGGGAAGGTCTGTTATTCCATTGGTTGTCCTCGATTGCGGAAATTACACGCGGAGGAGAGGAAGTTAAAAACAACCGTCCCTTTACACAAACGTGGCGCTGTCGCACAGGTTACACTACACACGGTGGGTTTTCAGTGGCGACGGTACCATCGGGGCAAGGCGTAAGGCCGCCCCTTTGGCACCGCCGGGTTCCCCCGTGTGTCCTTGCACTGCCCATGTGGCCACGATGTCCGAATTCCCGGGTAGACGCCCTTCACCGCAGAAGCGCAGACGTGTCTCGTCCCTGTGCTCACAAATGCAGTTCCACCACTTGGTGCTAAGTGACCAATTTGGACAAAGGCATGAGGATAATACAAACGAAATTGTCCTTTGTAATTCTTTAACGAGACGTCCGGCTTGCAATGGCAGCCGCAGGCGCAGACCGCATGTCTGTATAAGTAACAAACATTTTGCGAAGAACCGTTTGATTTTTATTTTTACTGTGTTGCGAGACGATGTTGCATCGGAGTTAATTTTTCTTGAAACCTCAAAATACCAAAAGTGGCCATCAGGAACTAAAAGTGCTCGCCGAAAGGAATCTGTCCACAAATCACTTGCGTTTGATGGAATTTGAACGCAGTAAAGTGACATGCAGTTGATTGCAATTTTTCCCCTTTCCTTTTAAAAAACACTTGGCTTGTGGCATTTTTGCCGAAGCCACGCACTAGAGTGGGGGACATTTTTACCCACGAGTGATTCTCTCTCACTGCAAATGTGAAGTTGCACATATGCCTTCGAAGGTATGCAGGTTGACAGCTTTTGTTTTTCGTAGCATAAATGTACATTGGCTGGATGTTGATAGTGCACATTGGAGGAGAGTTTGTGCTTCGCAGTTGGCGCATGGTGGCGAGTGTTAAGGGTTTTTGACCGTTTTTTGCTGGATTTTGTTGTGCACGCCACGAGTGGCGATCTGGGCTTGCAGAGTGTGGCCGGGGCTGGGTGCCGAATCGGCCACACAGTTTACGATTTTTATGTCCCCAGGTGCGTTTCTAAACCTGAATGCACATGTTTTGTATGCGAGACTGTTTTGCTGTTGCTGGTGTGTTGGTGGCGGCGGATGCTGCCGTGTTAAACTTGAACTTTGTATTGACGTTAAGCATTCTTTTTTTTTGTGTCGCTTAACGTCGCTGTTGGCTTGTGTAGAATTCACGTCCCAAATTGAGTTCGAGAATTAAACAAGAAAAAAAAAAAAAACCTTGAGTAAAAGTCCAGCCGCACTGTTCTTTCATAGGTTTTTGTATTTATATTTATTTTTTAATATATTTCACGTTGTTTGAAATTCTGATTGACCTAACGAGTCCATTGTCTTTCTTGCCTCTGCAAAAAAAACCATCAGCACATTTGTACTTTCCCTACTTGTAGCTCTGAGGCTTCCACAGAGGCAGGTTTGAGGTCAGGTTAAAATTCCTCATGCGATTTTGTTAAGCGATTTTTGTTGTTGTTGTTGACAACACATTATAGTGGGGTCGGCAATGTCCTCAGTTGGTCTCCCTCTGACTTGATGTTCAGTGCTTCTCACGAACATCCGATTGCAGAACCAACAAATTAACTGCAAAAGTAATTGAGTACCACTCACTGTGCTGTCCAAGAGGACTTCTAATTTGCCCAGTTCTCTCCTAGATGCTGCTAGCCTCTCACTGACCCTGCCTTTGTCCAGCCTTTTCCCCTCTTACTCTCCTTTTATTTTTCAAGCAATACTTTGTGTCCTGTGGGCCCTTTCTTTTATTGCCTGTCCAGTGACCTCAGCGGTTCATGCCCAGTTGTGTTTTTTTGGCTTCTGTTCCATCGTGCGTCACGGACGAGATGGGGGCATGATATGAAGGGATTGCGCAGTTTTTTTGTACAGATGATATTTTGTTGCCAAGGAAGATCACTTTATACCATTAAATGTTTGTATTTTATATACCTGTTTCTCGTGTGGATTCTTTCATCGTTCCAAATGTGTTTTTGGTGGTATTTGCCACAGGGGTGCACCTCCATGCTGAGACATCTGTCCTGTCAGCTTCTTTTATCAGCCTTTTACAGATATTATTTTTCCACTTTGTCTTATTCACATTTTATCCTACTTGTGTTGCCATTTTCATGTCAGTGAGACAGAGTACGTTCGAATCTCTTGAGTGCATCGCACCAAATTGGAGGACCGTTGGACCTATCTCTGAGATCAATTCAAGTGACTTCTGGTCCATGACGTAGGGAGGGCAGCACTTTCTCACCTGCCCTGCCATCGGGAATAGGCTTCATTGCACGACCATAAACATAGAAATTATTATAGCTGGAATGTAATAGTCAGTTGGTGACGACCTATCTCCGCTTGAGAACCCTTTTAAATCGCAGGTCGCTGTCCGGATGTGAAATCATGATTTCAGTGGTGCCAGCTCCATTGCGGTGACCTCTTGCGACGAGTAAAGGGATTTTAACATCGGCAAACACTCGGTAAATCGCAGGGTTCATTTTTCCAGACACGGTCTTAAAAAATAATTTGAGTCCATAACGGTGGATACTGTTTTATTTAGGTTCTGTATTCCATAGAACCAACATTCAAATGCTTTTGTAAAAAAAAAAACTGCATAATGTTCGGGGCTCTGGTGTGCAGCTCTCCAATGTGTTTTTGGGTTGATCAGCAGGCGGTAAAACCCAAAAACACTTCGCTTATGTATGCATTTTTCGATTTTAAGCTTTCGTGACTGCAGGGATTCATCTTCTTAGGTTCTTTTGGTAAAGTCACGTAGAATAGGAATAATAAAATAATAAAAATAAAACATAATAAAATAATTCTCACGACGTTTTGGCCACAACGCAAGCAGCCGTCCTCAGGTGAAGAACAGGTCTGTCGAGAAGACAGACTCTGTCATCAGACTCTATCACAGAGTCTCTGTTTTCTCGACAGACCTGTTCTTCACCTGAGGACGGCTGCTTGCGTTGTGGCCGAAACGTCGTGAGAATTATTTTATTATGTTTTATTTTATTATGTATGTATGTTGAACTTCTTTCACACCATACATAGCCAACCATGATAACAGCAGGTGCGGAGGAAGGACAAACTAAAACAACAAAAAAGCATTTCTAAAAAAATGCGTTTTCAATCTAGATTAAAAGTGCATAGCTCCAGTGGCTTCCTAATATCTGAAGGAAGAGCGTTACAGACGGCCGCAGAACCGCATCTCTCCCACGGAATTGGCGACACGATTAAATACAGCGCGCGGGGGGGTTAAAATTGCAAGGGTTAAATCTTCGATTGTCGATGCTCGGCCCGCTTCGTGCCGCCACGCAGCCTGTCACAAGCAGTCCCGGCACAGCGCTACCTGGCCCCGTCGAAAGTCGCGGCAGGGGCACACCCGGGTCTCACCGGCACCGGCGCAGCTGAAGAGGAGCGTCTCCTCCTGGAGCAGGCAGTGGCTCCCGTTGCGGGTGAATGCGGGCACCAGGTGGCTCGCTCGCCTCTCCACCGTGCCGCACCGCAGGCCCAACCTGTGTGCACGCGCGTCGCAAGTGGCATGCTGTTGCCGTGGCAAGTTGCCACGTGCTTAGCAGCATCGCGGATGGTGTAACGGTGAGAGCGCTGCATTTGCAATGCAGAGGTCTGCCGGTTACATTTGATCGCCTGCTGTGGCAGTTGAAGCAATCTGCAAGGTTTTGTTGTTGAATAATTGGACACAAGTGCCTTTTGGTGATCGGCAGGTATGGTGGGGTAAAGTGCAGGCACCGCTCACCCCCTTTACATGACGTCTATCTTGGGGGAAGAGTAGGCCAAATACCCTCCAGAGCGCTCGCTTTATTTGGAGGCCCTTCTGCCAGCAGTGGTGTAACCAAGCACTTGCAGGTCTTCATACCTTTACCTCTCCTTTAACAGGAAGTATTTTGATGCGGTCTCCCACCTGGTAAAGACCTCCTGCGTGTTGACGAGGGGGAAGAAGGACGGCTCGCAAACGAGGCCACGTGCCCAGCACGCGTCCTGGCACGAGACGCCGCCCTCCGACGCCACCGCTTGCATCGCGCTGCTGGGAGGCCATCTCCGTGGCCCCGGCGAGCAGAAGTCCTTCACGAACAAACGACAATAGTTGGACGTGTCGCGGCTTGATTTAAACCCGGTGATTTAAACTAAATTTAATTATTCCATTAGGTAAATTTTAATGTAGCTGTGTGTGTCTGTGTGTTTTTTTTTCTGTTTGTGCAGTCATTTGTGGCAATCACTTTCTAAGTGAGCAGAGACCATCAACTCGCTCCACCACGGGCGGTTGAAACCTGGATTGGAGCTCAGAGTTCAGAGATGCAGAGCTTGTGCCATCTCAGTTTTTCTGACCTCTGACTTCCGTGCCACCTTGTTCGTGAGCCAGTTCAGCTCACGAGCACGTGAGTTAGTGGGCAGGTTAACGAGTGACAGAGCGATTGCCCAAGGGAGCGAGTACGAGCGAGTGAGCGAGCAGTCCCACCTGGTGAGTGAGGTAAGCGTACACCCTCTCGAGCATCCCTTGGGCTGTGAACTCGTACGGGAGGAACGGCTCCATGGCCGGCAACGATTTGATGGCGATCACGGCCGCCTCCACCTCCGACAGGTTTCGCACGTCCACCGTCCACACGTGTGGTCTACCGATGAAGCGCTCCGCGTACGGGTGCTGCGACGTTACCTGCGCCAGCGTGCCCAGCACACCACATCAGGTATACGAGAAAGATTTTCTTTTTCCACTCAATCGGTGACCCGGAGAATATTCGACGAGGAGATAAACCCTGAAAACAGTCCACAGACTCACACAGAACCCACAAGCTGTGAATAGAGACCCATAGACTTGCACAGAGATGTACACGGTTACATTCAGTGAGAACCTATGGACTGGCATTGATTCTCGGACTCATAAACCAGTCATAATTTTTTCCACCTAACTCATCGAGGCCACAATGGCTCCACGAGGAACTATGCGACAGAGCGCAGTGGACTAGCTATCGAGTGTGCAGGCGGTGCAACCGCACCGGAACCCAACGGGGCTGAATGGGGCCCTAGCTGGTGGCTATTGCTCCGGAGCCCGCAGCGACCACGCTACGCCACGTTACGGGAGAAGAAATCTCGTCTCGCGACGATGGCTGTGCCGCAAGCCTCCGAGCCGCCTCGCTCACCAGGCGAGACGTGGGCTTGCCCTTGAAGAAGGCGGTGCTGTGGGATGAGTGCGGCGGGTCGAAGCGCGGCATCAGGAAGACGCAACCGCTGGCGATGGCCTCCAGCGGCGCCGGACCCTCGTACGGGAAGCCCAGCCCCACAAACATCTGCGGCCATCATCGATCACACGGTGGGGGGGATGGGGCGGAGGGGGGTTATAAAGCCTAGGTTACATGGTTAAAGCGACTACATTTCTGGGCAGGCTCAACCGGGGCACGTGGTGTACCTGGCAGCCCCCCCTCTCTCCGTCAGCTCCGCCAACTATTGCATAGCCGTGCCCACTCAACCGCTAGAATTTCCTGACCTGTTGCTCAACTCGTGATATGGGGCAAAGGGCAGGACTACCTGAGTCGTGGGCAGGGTTGGCAGAGGAATTGGCAGGGCTACCTGATGAGCAGGTGGGGGGGGTCTTTGAGAAGTTGGTGGGGCCAATGTCAGAGCACGGAGGCCGCCACTCACTGATTTGGGTGGTGCATGCGGTTGAGTGGCTTCAGCTATCCAAAAGTGGACACAGGGCTGCCTGATGTGACAGCTGCCAGCTCATCCTGTGTCCCGGTTGAGCCTTGGGGCCGTCCATAAATGACGTCACGCGATATTTAATTAAGTAGAGCGTGTTGTCTATATTTATTTAAAGTTGCGCATTTTTAAGTGAGGTCACATTTCTCAAATCCCACCCGCCCCGCCCTTGTCACACATCGTCAAAATTGTCTGACCCCCCCCCCCCCAGGTGCGTGACGTCATTTATGGACGGCCCGCTCCCAGAAGTTTGGTAAACTTTAGATCCATACCCCCTGGCGACCTGCGGGATTGCAGCAAGCACCTTGGCCCTGCGGAGGAGGAGTTGGATGTCACGCTGGGAGAGGAGGCCATGGTTGAGCACAAAATTCGGTAATGATGTCAGGCTGCCCCCCACCGTGCCGTGCACGGCCATGTGGCGAGAGATCACCTTCAGGTACTGCTCCTTTCCCTGTGCCAGAAAAGCACACGTGATCATCGTTATAACATGACGAGGGCACTTCATTCACGATGTGTTTGTGGCTCGGCGGTAGAGCGAGAGGCTCGCAATCACAAGGTCGTGAGTTCAATTCCTGGTGGGGTGCTGATTCAACCCCATCGTTCCCTTCAGGGTAAATAAAATAGGTACCACTTTGTGTCCGATGGAGAGACTCGTCCCTGCCATAGGATGATGGAATTTCTACCACTGGCTCAAGGCTTTAAGCCTCAATGCCCAGGATGTCTGACGTCCTCCACGTGCTGGGGGCTTTTTGAGTGGTGATGCAGCCAAGAGGGTAGCACGTTCACCACGTGTTACGGAGGTTCACGTGTTCGAATCCAGTGGGCACCCTGGAAATTTAACACGTAGGCGAATCATCAAATAATACATTATTTAAATGCATGCATAGGGCAGCGTAGTTCAATAGGGTTTACCGTTGGTAGGGCTATTTTAATAAACACAATAGATAGGAAGGACAAGTTCAAAGTGCTCGCATAATGTACATTACCTTAGTAATCCCCCCCCCCTCCCACATTGTGCAAGAGCGCAGAAGGGTGGTCAACACATCTACGCCTCTATATAAGGAACAAAACAGTTAGACTTCTCCACAAATCTGGCTGTCGCCTGATGAAGCTAGTTGTAATTACTGGCGAAATGTCGTACTCCGATTGTAAATGTTGTGACTTGGCTCTCCAACACACTGGTGTGCTGTTCTCGTGACGAATTGGCCACGTTTTGTTTACGTGACAACCCTTACTAGTTGGCCGTGTTGGGTGGTGGCGGGTTTTAACGACACATTTATATATTTAAGCGATCTAACCCAAAAACCTCCATTATGGACCCTGATAATTATTACTGCCGATGTAACAACTACAACACTATACTCTTTGTTTTTTTTGGTAAAGTCACGTAGGTATAAAATAAAATAAATCACGACGTTTTTGTTATTTATGGGTCCTATTACAATGCATAGGTCTTGTGCCCATTGGTTGGACAGGACGCCTGAGTTAAAACCGCAGTGTAGACAAATGGTACAAAGCACCTTAACGATGGAGCATTTTTGAAACAATTTCCCTGCAGGAGGTCAGCCTGCGTCACTCGATGTCGCGACGCAACGCTTCGCCCCTACTCAACTACCTTCCACATCTCCTCTTTCTTGCCGTACACCATCGCCATGCGTTCGTCCTTGGGGATCGTGACCTTTTGCTTCTCGCTGATGACTTCGCTCATGAAGCCCAGGAACGAGTTGTCCGGAGTGTGCGCTGCCGATCCACAAACATCGTCACCACCACCAGCCGTTATTTAACCTCCACCGCTGGGGATTTGTGCCCACCACCTTTGTCCCCTCGGTGCTAATGTTTACACGCCGCACCAGCTGCTTATTGTTAAGCTGAGTTGACCTAGGTGAGGCACAGGACCGGTTGGGATATCACTCGGCACTGATGTTAGCTGTGGCCGAGGAACAACTTGATTGCCAGTTCGATAGCGCTGTGCGCTAACTGCTGCGCCACTATAGAACATTTGTTTAATGCAGAAAAGTGCATAAACCAAGCAGCACTGCATGTATTTACTGTACAGTAAATCCCCGTTTAACGTGCGGTCACACTACGCGTTTTCACTTTAACGCGGTTTTTCGTTTATGGAACGTTTTTCACTTAACGCGCACCACGCCCGCTGTAACACGAGCCTACCGCGTCATGGACTACTCGCTATAAGGCAAGTCTAGCATGTGACGGACGACTCGCTATAACAGAGTCTAGCGCATGACGGACTACCTGCTATAACGCGGACACATCTGACCAATGTCGGATATGGGAACATCTATAGAAAATTAACAGTTACACGTTAGACAAATAGATTACTGGGGGAAAAAAACTTAAACACAAACAATTGTACAGTATTTCAAATATCAGAATATGATGGTCGTGTTCTGCCGAGTCTTGAGGCCCCAGTTAACACATCAACCCTTCTTGCACCTCGCTGGCTCTAATAGGTGCTCGTGAACAGCAATTGCCCCAGGCGAAACGGGGGATATTTTGTCCTTTTTTAGATAATATTCGTGATGTGTTCCTGATTTTCGGATGAATCTGACAAAAAAAATCCGAAAATTTATCCGAGACTCTAAATTTTGGACGATTGGAAAAGAAAAAAAGTTTGTTTCGTATTGAATCCAAAAGTATGACCTCGTGGCAAATGACGTCACTTGTTTGGCATCACTCCTTGCTTTTCCCGAGAAAACTGGTGTCACGTGGCATCAGGTGACGCCACTTTTGTTCGCACAAATGCATGTTGAATTATGGCAAAATTTTAACGCTACGAAAACTTGACTAAAAGATTTTCGGTCTTGTCCTTGAAAACACAAAAAATGGCAAAAAATGTTGAACCAGAAACTCATGCCCGGATGAAGTGTGTCGAGCGAGGACGTACGGAACATGGTCATGTACTGCTGGGGCTGCAGGTTCCAGTGGCCCCATCCGGACTTGAAGCCGTTCTTGGTGGCGTAGGCCTCGTGGTTGAAAGCCGGCTCCGTGCCGAAAGTGTCCACCACGCGGTAGCGACACCTGCACCGCCACAGATGGACAACACAGGGTGATTAATACATGTGTTGAGTTTGTATTACGTATGCCTATTAATAATACAAATTTTAATTATCCATTTATACTCTTTGGTTCTGTCGGTAAAGTCACGTAGGTATAATTTTATTGTATACCTACGTGACTTTACCGAAAGAACAAAAGAGTATGGATTCCTGCAGTCGCGAAAGCTTCAAATATCCATTCATAATCTGTGTTTAATATTATCCCCCTTGTCAAGTCCTTGATGAACAAAGCCTTCCACCCATACCATGTCGGTCATAGGGGTTGTTTGACCATACTGTACTTGACTACAATGATCAGTGCGGGTTGGTGAAGTCGTGGAGTAGCATCCAGGACCACTTCAGATAACGCTCGCCACTCGGCTGGGTGTCGAACTCGGGTTTTGATGGGTTCATAGCAGTGTGTCCCTCCACTCCAATCAGCATTACTAGTGTTTGCATTTATCAATTACACTGGTCAACAACAAAAAAACTTTTTTTCTGGCCTGGACTTTTGCAGCTGTTCTAGACTAATTTCAGGGTGCTGATTCCAAATCTGATCTCAGATTTGCTCTATCACATCTCATTTTTATGCTATCGGCATACCCCATTTTCATTGATTTTACCCGAAATTAACTCTGTCACTTATGATTACAAGTTGTTGCGAGTCAGTGACTGCTTTAATGTTAAAATATGGTGCTGTATTTTTAGGATAGTGTGTTTATAATATCATTTTATGTAGATATCCACATTTATTTAATATTTTTCTTCTGCAGTTTTTATTGAAAATGCAATATTTGATATCTCAAAAACCCTGATGTGATAGACAAAAACTGATGCCAGATTTGGAATCAGCACCCCAAAATTACCGTAAAGCCGTTGGAATAACTTATGCCAGAAAAAGTGTATTGACCAGTGTTATTAGTTAGTGCTATCTGTGAAATTAAGAATTAATCAGTGCTGTTAGTGGTATCAATTATTACATAGTGTTATGAATTACTAATGAGCGCTATTAGTGTTACTAATTAGTGTTATTTCGACTGCATTCGACTCACGCGTACTCCCGGAAAGACAAGCCCATGCTCTTGCTCATTTGCTCGATGCCCAAGTAGTCGGTGAAGATGAGGTCAAAGGGCAAAGCCTTCTCGATGGGACAGGCACCATTGCCTGGGGGCACGCCGAGCAACCTGGAGGGCACAGAATGGGTCCGAGTTCACTCAGAGAAACATGGCACTTTTTGGGGCTCAAGGAGATTCTGATAAGGCGACCAAATTCATGGGGGGCTCAGCCTGGGCACGTGGGTGTGACTGACAGCTCCCCCCTCTGTCAGGCCGCTCACTTTGCATAGCGAGGGGAGGCTGAGCTCGTCGCTGCCTCACCTCTCGTCTCTTCCTGTATTTGCAGCCGAGCTCCGCAAATTCGGCGATTTTGACTATAAAAATTATTGGAATCGTACAGAAATTACATTTATAACACAAAATCTTTAAATTTATTTGATTCGATTATTCTTTTTTATTTATTTTCGTAACAGCTATTTTCATTGGAGCATGATAGATGAGGCTCTGCCTCCCCTGCCTCCCTGCTACATACAATAGAGTCAGTAGTATCGATATGCCTACACACCCTACATACAATAGTCAGTAGTACCTGTACACATGGGGGGGGGGAGAAGAGGACATCAGTGGGGACGACGGGCGAGGCAGGCCGCCGAAATTCTGGCTTCGCGAATTGCGTTGTTGAAAGCCCTCGTTGTTAACTATGAAATAAAGGTCTCACCCAGTGCCGGATTCTCCTAGTAGCAAACATATGCTACGGGCCCCGCACTTTCAAGGGCCCCGCGCTAAATGCTTTCAAGCTATCAAGTCCGGTTCAGTGATTCTGCACTTGCTCTATTACTATAGCACTATACTGCCTTCAACTTTTATGAACGACTTGGTATTTAAGGTAAGCGATTTGTCGTATTATTTGGCTGCATAGCAAATGAAAAATACAATTACTTTGCTATGCAAGTTAAAAAGTTGTTTTTTAATATTTACGTGTTTTTATTTATTTAGGGCCCCGTTATGGCATATGCTACAGGCCCTGCACTAGCTTAATCCGGCATTGGTCTCACCTCCCTCTCTTTCTACACCTCGTCGGAGCTCCTTTATACAACGACTCGCACAGTGTCAGCGCCCTTGCCAAGGAAAATGGGATCGATGAAAACTATCTGGCTTTGACTAGTTTAACACGTAGCAATATTATTCATATTAAAGGTTTGTGGGTTAGATCGCGTAAGTATAAATGTGTCGTAATCCTCCACCACCCCACACAGCCAATTAGTAAGGGGTTTGTCACGTAAACAAAACGCCAATTAGTTACTACTTCTGCACACCGGTGTGTTGGAGAGTAAATCTACAACATTTACAATTTGAGTAGTCCGACGTTTCGCTGGCTTTGACCACCCGAATGTGAAATTGTAGTTGTCGCTCTGCGTCTACATCAGCTGTACGAAAAAAGAGGAACAGCAAGCGTTGTACATCAACTGGTCCTGGCTTCTCCTAAGTCAACTCGGGAAAAATGTTGCCAGACGTGGCATGCTCGCCACACGGGGCTTACCTCCCAACGGGTGCCTCGGAGGGGTGATGTGGGGGGGGGCGGAATTGAAGAGGGGATAGGGCCCCATTTAATTCCTTGCTTGGGGGGCCCATGCCAACCGTGAGCATTGCGCAACCGTTGTTTATTTTGTCCCCCCCCCTTCCGCGTACGCGAGGGAGGCAGGGTGAGAGGCCCCGGCGGTCACCTGTGCAGGTCGGGCAGCGTGGCGGCGATCGAGAGCGAGTGGCCGAGGGCGTGCAGGGCGGCCAGCGCGTCGGCCCACTGCACCAGCTCCCCGAGGGGACCGCCCCGACCCGTGCCCGAGTTGAACCACCGCCCGCTGGCCCCAGTCAGCAGGCCCAGGTGCACGAGGATCTGTTGAGGGGCGATCGATGGTGGGAGATCAGAGCAGCCTCCGAAACGTTTGTCAAGAAAGGTGGGTAAGATTGCGTGTTTATGAATCACGGTCCCCAATTGGTTGACTCGCTATGCCCAAGCGTAGCGAGTCCAAGCGTAGCGAGTTAACCGATACTTGGGCATTTATTGAGCGGAGCGGGCGCGCGTGCCTTCATGCGGGCACGCGAAGTCCCGTTCGTCCGAGCCGCGAGGTCGTGCGCCGCAGTCGACCACGTCCGCTCGGTCTGCTGGAGCCGCCGCTCCATGAAGCGCACCGCTTCCATGGCTCTGTACCGCTCCGTGAGCGCGAGCAGAGCGCTCACGCTGCGTCGCATCGCCGCCTGCAGACGCCACTGACGCGGGGCAGAGCGCACGCACGGGATGAGGACGACGAGGATGGAACAAAGAGGAGACAGGTGGGTGGGGTGGGTAGATGGATGGACAGAGAGTGGGGACAGAGGGACAAAGAGACAGACAAGTAGAGAGACAGAGAAGCAGACATCCAGATGGACAGGAGATCGATAAAGATATGATCTTAAAACCGGATAAGAGTATAAGCATGCATCTCTTTGACAGGGAACGCCGTTTTTACATATACTGTATCTAAAAAATTCCCCCAAATATATTCCGTTTATTTTCTAAATATTGTATTCTGAAGTCATAGTTTAAGCTCGTGCGAGGTAGCTCCATTTGTGACGGCTACGACTTGGGGCGCCGCATCAAGCAGTGTATTGACTCTGGCTGATGTCCGCAACCATGATGATGGACGGACGAAAACAGGTTAGAGCTATACTCTCAGTTTTTTCAGTAAAGTCACGTAGGTAAAAAATGAAATTAAAATTAATAAAAATAAAATAATAATAAATAAAAAATCACGACGTTTCGGAGGCAACACAAGTCTCCGTCATCAGGTGGGACCGTCACAGCCATATTTGCTGCATCAAGTGACGGAGACTTGTGTTGCCTCCGAAACGTCGTGATTTTTTATTTTTTATTATTTAATTTTTATTAATTTTAATTTCATATTTTACCTACGTGACTTTACCGAAAAAACTAAGAGTATGAATCCTTGCAGTCACGAAAGTTTCAAATCTAGAACAGGTTGGAGCCCTTTTGGAAAGCTGAACATCTTTGTTGAACTTCTTTCGCCCTCGACGTAGCCAAACGCGGTAATCGGAGGTGCTGTGGTGGTGAGAGCTGAGACAGAACCTCTGTGTCCTTCGGGGGCTTGGGGGGAATCCCAGTTGTGTTGGGTCCTGCTTGACGACGAGGAGGGCAGAAGCTCTCCACCTGGCCCAGGTAGGAGATGATGGAGCACGTGGAGCCGTTCACTCCGTAGTGCGAGTAGCACGGGTCGCTGGTCCACCTGTTCTGCAGGTACTGGTGGACAATAACGACGACGACGATGATGATGGCACACATCATGATGGTGATGACACACATTATCATCAATATTTATCGTCACTTGGCAGTTACCATACAATATATAAACATGTTGTTATCATCAGCAATTCATCATCATCACCACCACCTATTCACATCATGGCATTCTGTGTCATAGTCATAATCGTTAAGTTATTGTCAATTTTGACATCGTCACAATTATCACTTACGATCGTTAAAGATCACACGTTTGTTGATAACACTGCCCAAAACAGAAAGGTTGATTGTTCTTTTGTGCACCACTGCCAACGCAGCATCATATTTAAAATATAAATATATTTAATTATTATCATCAAGTCATTCCCATCAGCATTATCAAAACCATAACTTCTCCGCACCATTAGCATCCAATAAAGTTGTTTTCATCCGGCTATAATCATCACTATCATCATCGTCATCATGTTGAGGATCATAACCATCGTTATTCCTCGTTATCATCATCATCATGGCAGTAATCACCACGAGACTTGTAATCATCGTTGCCTTGACGATATTAATAGTAATCCTCGAGTTTTTAAAGCCTTGCATGGGCTGGCACCACCATATATTGACGAGTCAATTCATCCGTACGTCCCCTCAAGGTCGTTAAGATCTGCAGACTCCGTCCTTCTCTGCGTACCTCGATCCCGGCTGCGTTCCTGGGGTGAGCGGGCAGCTTGCCGTGGTTGTGCCGCCACGGTTGTGGAATTCCAGACCGATGGAAATTCGTTTTTCCGACAATGTAGACACTTCTAAATCTCGTCTAAAAACACATCTTCTTAAGTCCGTTTATTCTATTTATCTTCTCTGTCTATCTTGGCCTTTCCTTATTCTTAGAAGGCGCCTTGAGACATTAGTGGAATTTCGATTTAAAGCTTTCGTGACTGCAGGGATTCATCTTCTTGGTTCTTTCGGTAAAGTCACGTAGAAGGGAAATAATAAAATAATAAAAATAAAACATAATAAAATACAATTCTCACGACGTTTCGGCTACAACACGGCTGCTTGCGTTGTGGCCGAAACGTCGTGAGAATTGTATTTTATTATTTTATTTTATTATTTCCCTTCTATGTGACTGTACCGAAAAAACCAAGAACATTAGTGGAAGGCGCCTTACAAATAAATGTAAATGATTATTATATTATAATTATTCTCATAATTTCAACAACATTCTACCGGCAAACATTTTCAACGCAGCCTTGTTTAAAAAAAAAAAACACGATCACAAGCGTCACGAACGTTTTCTAACGAGCGCCGTTGGCGACGTACGGCGCGAAAGAAGTTCACCATGCACGTGCACAGCGAATACGCGTCGATGCGTCCTGACCCACGTGGCACACCTCCGCCCGCCGGCGTGAAACCTGAAGCCCGTGGCGGGCGGGCGGGCGAAGCGAAGACGCGAGACGGACGCACCTTCACTTTCTCGCCGCACAGCGGGAAGCCGGGGTCCCGTGGAACTTCGCAGTCCTGTGAAGCTACAGGACACATTGCGACTTTCATGGCTTTTTGTTGCTGTTGTTGTTTTACAATGAGCCAGGAGACTCAACATATTATTCATTTAGCAGAAATCTGCATTTGTCTTTCTTTCATGCAAAAAACAGCGTACCAATGCACTAAAATGTCTTAACAGTTAAGTTGTGTCTGGACTACGTATTGGTTTGCTTCGAGGGTTAATTGTCTGATCTTGCAACTGGGGGGAGGGGGTCAGTTTAAGGCAGTGTCCTTCACTCATTTTCAGAGGGGGGGGGGGCACTTTCGCCGATAAGACATGATCAGTGTGAGGTGCTGTCACACATTTGACACCAATTGGGGGTTTGACAGCAGCACGGCAATGATGATGTTGGGATGTTTTCACATTTGTGTATTGTCGGCGGCCGCGCTAAAGGCCACAAGGGGGCCGTCAGTGGCCCGCGGGCCTTACAATGACGAGCAATGGCTTAAGGGGACGGGTGTTCCCTCCCCTGTGCAGAGAGCTCTTGTCCTAGGCCCTATAATTATTTACGATTTGGGGGGGGGGGGCGGGGTCGGGGAGGTGAATTTGACAGGGTGAGAGGGTTGCCTCTGAAGGGATGCCGGAGATTTTGGACGTCCAGTTTGTATCCGAGGTACTCCAAGTAGGCTCGTCGAACTTAACTCATACTTCGGGAGTCTCTTTGAAGGCCTTGAGAGATCCGGTGACCTACGAGCACTTTCCGCCGTGATTGTCCCAATCGGGATTCCAAATTTGCCGTGAGGTGACGTGATTTCTATTCAGAGCTGCCGCGGGTAAGCAGTGCACTGCCGTGTGTAGGAGAACGACTTCCGAAACGTGACATCACAAAGCGACTTACATAAATTTGAAATGGCTAGTAGAGTCTATCCGCGGTGTGAGTGGACTAGTGGCCACGGGAGGTACTGGCAGGGGAGTCAGCCGACAGTATGAGTGCACTAGTGGCTACGGGAGGTACTGACAGGGGAGTCAGTCGACAGTATGAGTGCACTAGTGGCCACGGGATGTAATGACAGGGGAGTCAGCCTGCAGTACAAGTGCACTAGTGGCCACGGGAAGTAATGACAGGGGAGTCAGCCGACAGTTCGAGTGGACTAGTGGCCACGGGAGGTAATGAACGGGGAGTCAGCTGTGAGTGCGAAGGGACTGATGGCTACGGGAATGATCGAGAAGGGAGCGTGGTCAGGCGACGGAAGAGGACGGTGGAGTCTGCCGGTGGAGCGAGCGTCCAGAGTCAGCGAGAAGGTTCGGGAAGGGGGGCGTGGCCTCGGTCGGTATATAAGGGGGAGATGCGCGGGAGACTCGGGGCCGTTGCAGTGGAGTCTCCGCCTGTTCAAGTGAACGTGTCTTCAATAAAGAAATTGTCTCAAGAAAAGTGTGTCAAGTCGTGTTAACAAATGTAATCGGATGTTGTGATATTTTGCGTCATTCAAATCGTATTTGTTGCACATCTGTGTCAAATTAACAACATACTCATCTTTCAGAGGTGGGATAAGCTGAACTTCACAATCGTGCTATCGGTGTCGTGCCAAGAGACAAATACTTAATTCGGATCTATTGCAGAAAATTTTAACCATGCTAGGGAATGCCCGTGAAAGTGGATATCAAAGAACTACTTCTGATCTATGCTCAGCACTTTCCCATCCACCATGCTTCAGACTGTGACTATCACATGTCAGTCAAACTCATCTGCTTCATTCTCAGAGTTATAAGTGTGCCGAATTAAGCGCAGAATCGTACGCACTGAGATTGTTTCTTTTACAGCCATCGGTGACCAGGCTGAAGCCATCAACTCGCTATACTTGAGAACCCGGTTTAAGCACAGGTGGCTGAAACCCAGACTTGAACCCAGGCACTCAATGGTGCCGGCTCAGTGTTCAGACCTCTGAGCCATATGACCACCTCTAACCTGGCAGTGCTCTCATTTGTCAGATTTTTACTTTCCACAGTGCTCAACTCCTCCCACCTCAACCCAAGAATCGATGACTGTGTATCGGTCCAAGGAATAATCCACATTCACTTGATCGGGAATTGGTAGCAGTAGACACCAGCACAAAGAGCTGACCAGGCCTGCTCGTGTCTGTCAGGCGCTCCTCCATAATAGCCCACTACGCGTACAGCCTTCTGCCGATCCACTGCTGGATGAGGGCCTCCCCCATCCTGTGCGCGTCATTTGATCGAACTCCACCACGTGTAGTCAGTGCGGGTTGGGTGAAGGCTGTGGAGCGTAGACACGGGAGCATAGAGGTACAGTACAACAGGTTGAATTTGCTGCACTGCCCTCCGCCGACAACGTAAACCCCGCGGGCGCCTGCAACAGCTGTTGCGTGCATGGTAATCGACCATCCAAGCTCTATCCAGGCTCAAGCCTGCTTAGCTTCCGAGATCTGAGCAGATCCGGTGCATTCTGTGTGATTTGTTCGAAGGGCGCTCCCTCGAGGCACAGACACAAATGGAGAGACACGGACTCCGCAGACTCTTGTCACTTTATTAGAACTCGAATATTTGTTTCGAGGTTCTAATGACGACCCGGCTCATTTTCCAAGCCACTACCCACCCTGGTGATGTTAGTGACGTCACCGGAGCACTCATGATGATTTTTTTTACGTTGTGATTCATAAAATCTTTGTTCTCACAGATCAAGCAGCCTGGGACGCACAAGTGTAGCTTTAAGTGGCGTTTGTTTTTGGGTTGGGCCATACCTTAAGTTTTTTATCGACTGCGATGAAATGTTACTATCTAGCTCGTGTCTTTACTTCAATGGGAACCAGTTTATTACATGCTGGCGTGACCACACTACATTATTTATTATAACTGTGTAGTGCTTTATGTTTTCCACGGTTCTGCTGCGCAGCGTTCCAACGTGTTTTCAGGTCAAACAGCGTGTTGTTCAGCGCCAAGTCCGACGTTTCGCTCCGCGTTCTGGGAGCTTGGACAGAGGCCAGGGGATTTCTGAATTCTGAAAAATCTTCCGGTACGCGGAGCAGCGAAATATCGGACAATGAGGGACAGCAGTGCTGAATTCAGTTCCCGAAGGAGCTCCCCAGCATATGGAGCAAAATGTCGGAAATCATGCTGAACAACACTTGGTACATCCTGAAAACGCATCGAACTGCTCAACAGTTTTTATGATTTGATAAACCCGGGGACTGTGTTCACGTTGTTATATTCGTCCCGTTTGTTGCAGCCGCGAATGTCCATGTCACTGTTTTCAGCTTGAATGTTGCTACCCCTATTGTGTTGCCATCCAACCATCAATTCAATTGCGGAGATCTCGTCTATTCACGAAACCGTGGCCACGTGATTCGTCCGCACCAACCTCTTCATGTGCCGCTCCGGCCGTAATAGGTCCCCACTAACAGAACTCGCCCCCAAGAGTCTATAAGGCGACACGAGGGTTATCTTTGTTCAGCGCGTGGTGTGGCTGTGTGGTCTCACCGCGAGGCACCTCTGCAGGCTGTTTCAGTGGCAGCTGAGGCGCTAATTGGACCGGGGCCTCCGGCCGTTGATCTGGCTGACAGGGGCGGCACCTGGTGGCACAGAGATCGCATCAGCACCAAGGCTTTAGATTGGGCCAGGTAAGCGCTAGCATGCCCACCGGCGGTGAATGATTTTAATCAATCTTGAAATATCACTGTGTGAGGGTTGCGTTCGGGTTTATCGCGTCTCAAAGGTGAAATTGCAAAAAAACTCAATGTCCCGAAACCCAAACGTCCTCGAAAGAAGGTCCACGGCTGCAAACAACTCAACCCCCCCCCCCCCCCCCCCCCCCGCTGAACACCAGACGGGCTATGGTCACGTCGTGGTTTTCTCGACATTTATCCTCACCTTCCAATTTGGTCAAGGTCCAATATGCAAAACAAACCGCAGTGCAAATGACACAAACTGTCGCAATTATAACGTCTCAGTAAATGTTTTATTGTTGTCTAGAACGACAGGCCGAACCGGATAACTCCATTCCATGAACAAGGGTTAAGAGAAAGTAGGACACAACCGCGTTGCCGGATTATCCTAGTAGCAAAAGTAGCTACTACATATGTAGTAGCTACATATGTAGTAGCTACATATGCTACTGGCCCCGCACTTTCAAGGGCCCCGCGCTAAATACTTTCAAGCTATCAATTCCGGTTCAGTAATTCTGCGCTTGCTCTATTACTATAGTACTATACCGCCTTCAACTTTTATGAACGACTGGGTGTTTAAGGTTAGCGATTTGTTGTATTATATGGCTGTATAGCAAATGAAAAAATATAATTACTTTACTATGCAAGTTAAAAATTTGTCTTCAAGCTTTCGTGACTACAGGAGTTCATATTCTTTGGGTCTTTTGGTAAAGCCACGTAGATATAACAAATAATAAAAATAATACAAAAATATTCTCAGCAGCTCTCCCGCGATAGTTTTCACCTGATGACGATTGCTTGTGTTGCAATAGAAACGTCGTGATATTGTTATTATTTGTTCTATCTACGTCACTTTACCGAAAGACCCAAATAATTTAGAAAAATGTGTGTTGAAATATTTAGGTTTTTTTATACTTAAGGCCCCTTTATAACATATGCTACAGGCCCCGCACAAGCTTAATTCGGCACTGCACAACCGGTGTTTGTAGAGAACAACGCCGCGAAATGTATAGGGATTTCCGTGGGTTAGAGGGATACGACACAATGCAGGTCACATAAACAAGAACGACGTCAACGGCAGGAGAAAGTACTTGGCATATTACAAACGTGATCAACACGGTCCTAATAGCTGTTGATGCCAGACTCAAGGTGCTCGGCCAAGAAATGGGGAGTGTGAGCCTTAGCTCACGAGCCTCACAGTGTCGTAGAAGGCGCGGGTTGCAAGCTCGCGGGGGGGGTGGGGGGAGCTGCCAAAGGTCTTGGGAACAAACCGAGCGGCAGGGTGCCACAGATCGCCGGGTTTGAATACGAAGCGAGCAGAGGTGCTGCGGTGTGCAAGGTTGAAAAGCAAAGAGTTGCACTGGGGGTAAACTCGCAGGTGTCTCCTGCCCATGTGTAACTCTGTACCACTGAACAGATCTCAGCCATCTCCCGTCACCGACACTGCAACATGCTGCTGAGATCGATTCTCAGGGCATTTTTCAGTCACTGACGCGGTAACGTTGTACCGAGATTTCGTCTTCGCCATTTACAATCATGGCACTGTTGTCCACTACCGAGAGGCATTTTCCAGCATTTGAACCCCCTCCTCCCCACCCTGCCCTCACCTGTCGAGCGATCCGTTGAGGTCACGCAAGGATTGTACGATGCTCTCCAGCCCGTCCAGTCTCTGCAGCTTCGTATCCATAGATGCCAAGAGATTCTTCAGGCTGCTTAGACTGGAGTCTAGGCTCTCTAAAAGATGAAGACACAAACAGGGAAAGACAATGAAGCCACACGCAGAAAGTCAAACAGGCAGGTAAACGGACATAGTACATAGCCACATATGCTTGCACATACAGGTTAGATGCACACACATACTTACAAAGACAAACATCCTCATTGTAGCCTTTTACAGGCTTGGGGAAGTGCTGTGAGCGAGCGCCTGTAAAGTTCGGCACGGCGCATGAGTTGGTGGTGTGGCGAAGACAACGCCTGGCCCTCCGTCTCCCCAGTGATTGTGTCTACACACCACACCAGGAACTCATTTAAGGCTATGTTGACCGGGGGGATGCCCAGGATCGGTTCAGATGCATTCATCACCGATGTTGGCTGTGAGTGGTAATCAACCTCAGGTGTCATTGGGTTCAAAACGTGATCACCCCCATCGCCCCTGCCTCCTTGTATCTGCCACTGCCTCCACGCAACTACAAATTGCAGAGAACACCCAAATGCACGGAAATACGTATACAAACACTTGATGGGTTGATTACTGTTGATCGCATTGTACAAACCCTTTGTCAAAAGTGATAAGTCGTCATTTGCTTTTGTGTTCATGAGATCTTAAGCACCAGGTGGGCAGGTGGAGCATTTGTGGGAGCATTGGCGCCACCGCCGCTGAGGTCAAGGGTTTTAATACCACGGGTTTCAGCCGCGAACGATTAAACCAGGTTCTCAACTGTAGCTGCTCAGCCCGGTCACCAATTATTGACCAAAAATAATAATCAATGATTGTGAAATTGAAGTGTGGTGTTCTAGTTTGGGGTGCGTGTTCAGGATTTTTGGGGAAAAAACATGTGTGGAATTCAAGCGGCTGTGAAAATGTACGAGTTAATATGGTCAAACAGTTGTTTGATTTTAAATTAGGATAATTCCTAGCTCTGAGAATTACAAATCCTTAGTTTGACATGCCATTAACATTTCTCAGTTGCAGGCATGTGGAAAAGTGCAGCCCTCACGAGTGGATATAAAAGGTCAAGCTCGAAGGGATTTTGGAAGTAGATCTGTTATGTCTACTTCTGCGGACCCTACTCTTATACAGGGTGATACGAGACAAGGTGAGGTTGTGTACTCGAGCCAGATGTATAGTTGCAAATGGCTTGGGAGGTATTTATTCAGCAGGGGACACATCACAGTTGATGCTGATAAATATAGACAACGCTCTAAAATGAACTGCACTATGATCATCCATGTTAAGGTCAGACTTGTGTAAATATACATTGTGGATTTTATAATGAAAATAAATGCACGAATGGCGTCATCCGATTGACTCTCAGCTTCGTAACGGTCACGGGTTTTTAAAAGAGCAAGCCCGTAAAGCCAACATCGTACGTGAAGGCTGCTGCCGAGAAACACATCACGTTTGAAGGAATGGAACCTTCATGACTCATCAAGGGGCTGCTGTCTGCATCAACGATACAATACTTAAAGCAGCAGATGTCCACTCAGTTCTATGTAGGTGTCCATCAGTCATATTGACTTGCATCCCACTGGGATATTTGCACAGGGTTGGTGTACGGTGATTTTTCTGCAATATTTTGCTGTCTTTTCTTGGATTTTCTGTTTGCACATAGTCACTTTAAGATGTTTTCTTGTTCATGTTTTTGTTTTGTGTTTGTTGCGGTTGCACCCGATGCAAGAGCCGATTGGCTCACAGGGCTATACCTAATAAATAAACTTTGAACTTTGAACTTTATATGGAGTTGTCCACCTGTCCAATGGAGGTGTATGTTTGTAAGTGTCCACCTAAACCTATACAGGTTCAATACAGGTGTCCTATACAGGTGTACTTGTCAGATGTCTACCTGTCTTACGCAGGCTTCCACCTATCCTGTACAGGTGTCTGCCTAAACCTATACAGTTGAGCACCTGGTCAACACAGCTGCCTACTAGTATTATCAAGTTATTGGCTGTTCAAGTTAATTCGGATATTAAATCAACGCGATATTTGGTGTGTCCCTTTTTTCAGTTTCAGTTTAATTTATTGGGTATAACCCTGTGAGCCGTGCGGCTCTTGACTCGGGTGCAACCGCAACAAAACAAAAACATGAACAAGAAACGTCTTAAAGTGACTACACACAACAGAAAAATCCTGGAAAAAACAGCAAAGTCTTCCAGAAAAAACACCGCATTTAATGAAACTGAGGCCTCTTGGGCTCCTTGGAGTCCTAAGATTTGGCATTGTGAACCACGTGAGCAACCATCTCACCTGGGTCACGTGAGCAACCATCTCACCTGGGTCACGTGAGCAACCATCTCACCTGGACCAGGCACGGCCGTTCTCGCCGCCCGCTCTATTAGATGAGCCTGCAGGAGCAGCAGCACCAGACCCGCAGACATGAAGACGGCAAGGCAGAGCCGCAGGCTTATCCTGATGGGGTTTGGGTGCGAAGGAATGAAAATTACACGAGGATTTCAATGTAGACGTTGCTTAAACGCTTCAGGAGCTCCAAGCACCGTACAAAACACCTCATCTCAACCGTTCCTGCAATGCCCTGCCACAGTCTAGTAGAGTCGAGGATCTGTGGAACAAGGTGTACTCACCACCGGGCCTGTGAATGGGCATGAGTGTACCCATTTTCGGCCCAGTTTTGTGCATGCTTTTTTTGTATGGGCGTTCATATTTTTTTGATAATTTTCGGCAATTTCAAAAATGTCATCAGTTTGAATGAAGGCACATCAACCAGTATGATGCCAGTGGAAGATCTTACAACGCTGTTAATTAACACACCACTTTAAAAAATAATAATTTACACTTATAAAGCGCCATTAAACAACCGTTATGATGGTGCTGACATCCTTTTGAAATGTACTGGATACAATTGTAATACGATGCATATTGTATGGGTAAGCTTATTAAGATAATATTAGAGAGCAGCCCGTGCTATCTTTCCCATCGGCTCAGTCCACTTCTCTCAACGACTCTGCCCTTACTGGTTTCTCCACCATCTGCTCCACCCCGCCTGTGTTGACGACTCCCGACACGACCCACGAGATAACCACCCTGGCCTATCATGGGATCTCCTTTGCCAGTACCAAAATATACTAATAGGGTTTATCCCCTTTTTTTCTGGCAACAAAACTGACACCTTTTGCAAGGAATCATGTTTACATTAACCACAATACTTGCAGTCAAATGCAAACAAAAAACAATACTAACTTATGCATTGTCCTTGAAACAGATGACGCCGAAAGGCGCCTTTTGGTGTCATCTGGTCGAACACCATATGAGACTAGGCTCTAAAGAAAGCTGTCTCTGGTGTGGACCAATCAGTTTCAAGGACAATGCATAAATTATCAGAGTATTGTTTTTTGTTTGCACTTGACTTCCTCTTATTCATTCACATTACCTAATTCAATCACACATTCCCATATTAAAGCAGTGCACTAATTGTATTATTGATGCTGTCTAGTTATTTCGTGCCTATATAAAGCCACAACATCAGATCATTCTTTCTCAATTGATAACGGACGCTTGTGTTGCGACCAAAACGTCGTGTTCTTTTATTTATTTTTTTATACTTATGTAATAAAAGGGACTCAGACGCTTCTCTCTGACTCCGTGTCCTTTATTTGGGGTTCGCGTTCTCCTTCCCACACGGCACTCCTCCTGAGACTCTCTCCCTGGCAGCCCCACATCTGCCTTCGCTCCCGTAGCCTTCCACGCTCCTGCAGCTCCGCTGCAGGCTCTTGGTGCAGCCCTCTGGCTGCTCTCACAGCAGCTCCATCGCTGCTCCCTGTTCCTCCGTGCGTGGCGATCTCGCCACCTCCCAACGTCAGCCCTTCGTGGCCTCTGTGGCTATCTCGCCATCTCCTACCTCAGCCCTTCGTGGCCTCTGTGACTATCTCGCCATCTCCTACCTCAGCCCTTCGTGGCCTCTGTGGCTATCTCGCCATCTCCAACCTCAATCCTCCACTCTCTCTTCCACCCCGCTGGCTGGCGCCGTCATGAGCCCCTCAGCCACCAGGCTGAGGCACGGCGACCACCCAACGTGTTCACCACCCTTCACTCCCCCGACTGACCCAGATAGCTTCCTGTCTCCCCGCTATAACTTCTCCCCCACGTGACCCTGACTCCTCCCTCTCGGATCGTCATATCCGCCCCGCCCATTTACGCCCGCATTACACTTACATGACTTTACCGAAAGAACCAAAGAGTATGGATTCCTGCAGTCACGAAAGCTTCAAATCAAGATTGTATTATTCATTCTCATCCTTACCTCATTCAATCAATCATTCCTTCCAGTACCAGAAACCATGCTCCCTGTGATGCTCTGCCTGGTCCAGTAGTTGCTAGGGACACCGTTGCTATGGATGCCTGTTGCTAGGCTGACTCCTGGTACTGGCGGACAGCAGATAAACATTTTATTTTTCTGAGTTTTGTGGTTTTTGTTTTGTATTTTATAGTCCACATACGGCGTTGTTTTTGTCTTTCGCACATTCTCAGGCGACGTTCTTTCAAATCTATTATAAAAGTCCGGCGTTCCGTTTGTCTGCTCGACTAAATTATAAGAGCCTTTCAGAAGAAAGTTATAGAAAGTGGACCCCCGTCCCCCGAGATGTGGGGGTACAAAGTTGATAGAACATACTCAGTATCTACATGCCTACACACCCTACACACAATAGTCAGTAGTATCTACATGCCTACACACCCTACACACAATAGAGTAAGTAGTATCTGCACACATGGGGGGGGGGGGGGAGAGGACATCAGTGGGGGCAATGGGAGAGGTGCGTTGCATTGAGAAGCCTTCCGCAAGAATTAGAATTTCGGTGGCCGTCAGCAAGCCGCCGAAATCCCAGCGATACCAAATTTGTGCAGGTAGCTATACAATTGCGGATTTGTAAAACGCTTTAAGAAAAGTTCGTGCGAACAGAAAAACAAACAGGGTAAAGTTGTGGACAAACGAGAAGGCAACCATCGAACAAAGACGGTGGCCACCTGCATCGCGCGCTTTAACAGACGCGCTTCTGCGGCCGTCTGGAACGTTCTTTGTTCCGATATGAGGAAGCCACTGGAGCCATGCACTTCTAAATCATCACCGAGATTGAAAAACAAGTATAACCCGTAAAAACTAAGTTTTTCACTATAAATCCTTTATATGTGTGGCGGCTAGAGTCCTCTCGTCCTCTGGCTTGAGATGGCTGCCACCTATGGGTCAGATGATTGTCTGCCAGTATTAAGCAATTGGTAATTAAATATTTAATTTGTTTTCCCTAAACAGTGTAAAATTTAGGAAAAAATTTTTCACGAACATTAATTGTCTCGCACGAGTCTGTGTGCAAAATGTCAGCTCGATTGGATCACGGGAAGTGGGTTAAAAAACGACCGAAAGATTTGCACGGTCGTAAGCAAGCAAGCAAGCACACAAGCACGCAAGCAAGCAAGCAAACGAACCTAATATAAAGGATTTAATAACCCAACGCTGCCGATAACATATGCACTCCAGCAAGGAAGCGCAGCCAACGGATTGTGTAAAATATGCTTTGATTGAGTTCACGTGGAGACACAAACATTGGATGGAGACGGGTTATTCATGTATTACATCTATAATCTTATTTTATAGGACGCAAAGAAAAGACTTCACTGTAATGGGACATCCAGTTGAGCGATCCACTCAATGCGAAATAGAGTAATACATACTGTGATGTCGAAAAGTGTTTGATACTCACTTCATGTAGCAGGGTGGTCTGCAGACACGCATGGTGTGTGCCCTGACGTGGAGATGGAGTCGCGGGCAGCTCGACACGAATTAATATTCGCTCTGAATTCGCTCCATCGGCGTGTCTTCTCTTCCGATGGCTATCTCAAGATCCTCGCTCACGGATGTTGATGATGAGTCTCGATCTGTTCGCACCTGGATGAAGAGGCTACCTGCTCACACCCACAACGCCTCGATGCCCTTTGTCACGTGCGGCGACTGATTTCTTAGAGCAGAACTTGTCCCGAATCAAGTGTCTCTCGCCTGCGAAACTGACACCTGTTGCAACGAATGTCAACACGAACGCTTCTCCTCCTCCACCAAACAGGCAAGTCCGCCCACTACCTTCCACCTGTTCTACCCGGACCACTGCCACTTGCGCCCCTCCCCTTTCCATTGTTCCCCCCCGACTTGACTACCAGAACGTCACCCCCCCCCCATCCTTTGTGCTCTTCGCCGTTGCTCTCCCAACTCGCCTGTGCCCTTCTCTCCCGCCCCCTTCTCTCAACTGCGGTTTGCCACGTGTGCCTCGCCCACTATTCTGCTCCTAACCGATGCCCACCTCACTCACCTATGCCCAGTTCACTCACCCATGCCACGCATCTTTCCCACATGTGACCTCTCTCCCCTCAATGATGTCCCGTCATCTCTCAAGTGACACCATGCTCACTGACCAATGCCACGAACACCTATATCCCGCCTCCTCGTTTCGAACGGGCGCTTGGATTTAACATCGAGAACTTCATCATTGATTCGAGCAAGCCCGACTCTGACGATGAGACACCGCATGTCGAAATCTGTCCAGTTTGTTCGTGCCGATTCAGATCCTGCAACAACAAAAAAATCTGCACGAAAAAAGGCAGCGCGGCCGATGGGTTGGAAAGAGATCAAGGGGCACATTGTCTTCTTGATCTGTTTTATTCTCTGCCCACTCAAATGTGCACCTTACTGTTGCCTCGCTCAATCAATGCCATCACCTGTCCACGTGTGCTCCTAGCCCTCACCTGCGCCCCGCCCACCGGCTCATAAATCCGCGTCACTCCCTCAATGAAATCCTGAGTTTCAACTCTTTTTTTTCAAGAGGCTACTACATTCAGATGTTTGGCCGGTTCCGTTAATGTTCGACTTTGGTAGGAAACCGGGAGTACGCAAAGCAAATCCATCACGCATGATGCCATCAAAATGGACATTCCGTACAATCGGGGTTAACGAACCAACGACCAATATCCTGACCACCTCGTAGCAGGCGGGTTTGGGAAGATTCACAAATCTGTGTGACCCACCATCCCTTGCTGCCATAGCCATGATCACTGGTGTGCCACCACTCCGTGACCTTATGCCATTAAGCTGTCGCATAACATTTGAACATCTGTGATCAATGATGCCAGCCCACGCCCGCTGACGCTGTCTATCACAGGATTATAACAAATGTACCGTGTCTTGCTGGGTCTGGATGCAGTCAACCAAGCTGCCGAAGGCGTACAGTCGGAGACACAACTTTGCGAAGCGAAGATACACGTGAAAAAGTTGTGCGTTCAGCACACGTGGTTTTCAACTACACTTGACTTGCATTGATGATGAGGATGTATATAATACACACGTCCTTTGATTTTGCAATTGACACGTGCTTCTTCAGCCTCATTTACTGGGAGTGTCGTGCTGCCAGCTATGGCTGCAGGTTTGGTCGTACGTGCTATGTACTATTGTTAAATTTTAAATCAGTTCTTATGATTACTGTTGTTACATTGTTTTTATAGCTTTATTTTGGTGATTCGAAAACATTTGGTTAATCTAAATTGTCTTATGGTTGTTGTTGTTGGTTTGCACCACTGATTTTTGCACACAGCGTTATAATACTTTTTTTTGGAATATTTGCTGGTTTATTCCAGAATGTTTCTGTTGGGCGTCGTCGTTTTAAGATGTTCTGTGTTCACATTGTTTGTTGCGGTTGCACCCGACTCAAGAGCCGCATGGCTCACAGGGTTATACCTAATAAATGAAACTTGAACTTCACAGCAAATAATCAAGTGACCACGTTAACAATCTGCGAGTGATGGCTGAACTACTGAGGGCCATAGTGGGCTTTGTGGTTTTGTACATGTTGAGCGCATCACCAATTCACAGATTCGAATTCTAATCTTGAAGCCATCATGTATCGTATTGGTTCGTTGGGAACGTCTGAACGTCGAGATCGTCCACGATGCACCAGGAAAGGGGCCGTCCATAAATGACGTCACGCGATTTTGGACGATTTTTGACCCCCCCCCCCCCGTCACAAAAAGTCAGAACCCCCCCTCAAATATGACATCAGAAAACTCTGACACCCTCCCCAAAAAAAGTAAACATGCTTCAAATCGCTTTAAACTATTTTCATTGTAGTGCGTATTTAACGTGGCGCTGCACTCTGATGTTGTAGGAGAAAACATTTAAAAGTATATTTAATTAAGTAGAACGTGTTGTCTATATTTAAAGTTGCGCATTTTGATGTGACGTCACATTTCTAACCCCCCCCTCGTCACAAATGTCTGACCCCCCCCCCTTTAGGTGCGTGACGTCATTTATGGACGGCCCCAAAGGTCGCACTCGAAATATGTGCCCAGTGTGCCCAACCAAGTAACAAACTGGTCACACGTACCCACCGGATAATTTACACACTTTTACTTTAAAATACAGGGGTAAAAAAAAAAGTTTATTATAATCCGAAGAATATGGTGCATGACCCAAGAAGCTCAAATGGTTATATCCATACCTGTCTACATACACTACAGTACATCACAATATAAACTGAAAAATCACAATTCAAGGAAGCTCTGAAAACCATCACTTTAAGAACATTTCATGACAACGACGGCCTCTTCCGCAATTCCTTTATTTTGAAAGAGATGGGAGCGCCCTATAGGAAGCAATGGGCTACATTCTGTGGGCCAGCTATGTACAAAACATTGGAAGTCAGATTTTTCAGTTTCACCACATATACATCAGACATTCAGAAAACAACAGCGAACACACCGCCGCTTTACCTTATTGGTAAGATGCGAATTCTTTGCAGCATGTGCAGCTTGTGCACATGCTGCACACAACACTGGTACACGGCTAGGAAGCATGTACGAAAAATGTAACTTACTTTCCTTGTGTGTTGCAAAGGGTGGCGTATATAATGTGCACACATCTATGTGGTGGTTATTATCTAGGAACATGTTGTACATGGGTCAGGTGGGCTAACAGCACAGCAGAAGCCCTGGGTTTGAATTAAAGCCACCACCCATGAATAAACTTGTTTCTAAAGTGTATTGCCTCAGCTAAGTCACCGATAGCTAACTGCACACACTATGTCATATCATAAGTTCAGTTTTCCATGATATTCCAGCTCTGAAAGGTAAAACAAGTTTTCACATGTCATGAACATTATTTGCAGAGCATTAAGAGGCCTATTGAAGTGATTCAGAAGGAGTTGTGACATCTTCTGGGGCTGTTGTGGAGTTACGAATGAAAATGTCTCTTAGCGATAATCGCTTTTTGCATATAATTGTACAAAAATTAAGCAAATAAAATTTGGTACTATTTCCGTAGCTCGATGTCTTGTCACACTACTGTTGTTTAGGGCTTGCGCGCTTTGGTTTTCACAACCACAGCTGAAGAGCCACGTGGAATGAAATACATTGTACTGAATACCTGCGATATTGAGTGCAGATAATTATCACCAATATCGATGCAAAAAAGTGTACACGTTAAATTGAATCTGAAATACTTAAAAAGGAAATAAAAATCACTTGCTTTCACACATTTCCATTATCCATCTGCTCTAAGTTCAAGTGGTATTAACTTTAAATATCATGTTGAATACATAGTCTGTTGTAGATGCACTGTGTGCATTGCCAACTCTTTGTCTGAAGTAATGTGGATGTAGGGGTGGGCCAGATACAAAAAAGCACGGATGCTACAAAACATACCTAAGTTATGCCAAACATGTATTTATTGCTTACCTGTGTAGAATGGGGGGCAAAGGTGTAACATGTGTTTTCTGCTTTTCATTGTTTAAGGTTATTGATTTACTTGCCAACAAATTTGGGGGGGGCACCGAGATACGATTGAGGAGCAGCTAGCAAATAAACCAGCGGTGCACGAGAAACATTTCATTTATTTATTCACAAGCGCGGTTAATCCATAACCCACCGATGGGATAATCGAGATAACTGTACAATTGTCTGGGCGCTATTGAATGCGTGTGCACTCTGTCATGTACAAGTTTTGAGGATTTTTTTCACTCACGCAAAATGCACTTTGCGAACACAATCATGAATGCGCCATGTATCCACGTTTAGTGAATGCTCTTAACAGACAACCGTGGCATGTGTAGCCCTTCATCATCTGATCCAATACCCAACTCATCTTCCGATCAGCCAGACAAACCGGCCAATCTTAAGTGCACGAAGCCCTGCAGTGAGACGCTAAAGATCCTCCTTACTTGGTCCGGCGGCCTCATTTGGGCCACACGGCCACCACTATGATGGCAATGAGTAGCAGCACGATGACCACCAGCATACCTGTCCAGTGACACACACAAAGTCACCGCACAAGGTCAATGTCAGCACCAGCATGTAAGTCCAGGCAACACCAAGGCACAATGACCACCTGCATGTGTGTCCACAGCTACACAGTCAACCACACACACATATTGGTATTCAGACGCTGTCTCCCCAACAGACCTGGTCTTCACCTGAGGACGGCTGCTTGCGTTGTGGCCGAAACGTCGTGAGAATTATTTTATTATGTTTTATTTTTATTATTTTATTATTTCCCTTCTACGTGACTTTACCGAAAGAACCAAGAAGATGAATCCCTGCAGTCACGAAAGCTTTAAATCGAAACATATTGGTAGTTGCAATCCTGTCATGCCCCTGGGGCAGTACAGCTATGGTGACATCACAGACTAGGGTATTTTAGGGCTGGAAAGGTGAGTCGATTAATTGACAAAATACTATAATCGATTACTTTTTTTTTAACCGATTACTCAGACCCCTTTAAAAATGTCCACCACCCGACCGACATCCTGTGTCTCAAAGGCTGGAAACCCTCTCCAAATCACACCAAACGTGACGTGCCCGATTATGTCAATGACGTCACCAAGCCCCGCCCAACACCTCCCATCGAGCAGGACAAGTGGGAAGACATTTATTTCCCAACTATATTGTCGTTGTCCGATTGAGTAATCTAAACAATAATCGGTAGAGGAATATGTTACTTAAATAATTGGACAGCCCAGCTCTAAGGCAAAACGGTGCCGAGATGTTAACTACATTGCCTGGTATACAGGAGGTCATGGATTAGATCCCAACCCCTGTACATTTGTAGTTTGCATGTTATCCCCGTGGTCACGTGGATTTTCCTCCAGGTCCTCCGGTTTTTCCCTCCACATTTAGAAACATGCGTTTAAAGAGTAATTGGCTGCTATATAATTTTCACGTGATAAGCCACTTCGTTGAGCTATCATTTGTGGCCAGGTCACTTCTGAAAAAAGAGCTACATGAATTTCGATTTAAAGCTTTCGTGACTGCAGGGATTCATCTTCTTGGTTCTTTCGGTAAAGTCACGTAGAAGGGAATTAATAAAATGATAAAAATAAAACATAATAAAATACAATTCTCACGACGTTTCGACCACAACGCAAGCAAGACAGCGTCTGAAATTCAGACACTGTCTTTCCAACAGACCTGTTCTTCACCTGAGGACGGCTGCTTGCGTTGTGGCTAAAACGTCGTGAGAATTGTATTTTATTATGTTTATTTTTATTATTTTATTATTTCCCTTCTACGTGAATTTACTGAAAGAACCAAGAAGAAGAGCTACATAGTCCAGTGGGCCTGACCTGATCAAATAAAAAATACTTTTAGTCAGTAGTTTTTACTGCAGATGTACAAGGCTGCTAGTAAATTCACGATGTTGGTCACCGCGTAACATTATCACTTGTTGGCTCTTACCGCAGTTCGCTGACTTTGTTTGCACAACAGAGACGCTTTTGGTGGTTCGACGAATCCGCCCATCGGTATCTTCCACCAGGTTGGTCAAATCGTCGATGATCTCTGCAGCACAGGGGACAGCTCGATATTTAAAAGCCATTTCAATTCATAACACGTGTCTTTCTTGAATAATAATTAATAATTATATAATGCAGCGCTTTTCATCAAGTATCTTAAAGCGCTGTACAGGATACAACAGCAGCAGACACTCAGCATAAAAACAATATTATAAATACATATTAAAATAATTTACTAAATTAACTAAACGTTTAATAAGCGGAAGCATATACATAGGTATTAAGGCGCATTTTAAAAATGTCCACAGACTCAGAGATCCTGATATCTCGTGGAAGAGCGTTCCATAGCCTGGGTCAGCCTACACGGGAAAAAGCTCGGTCACCCATAGACCGAAGCCTCGACCTGGGAATGCAGATATCTGCATCCCCAGATCTTAGCAACCTTGAGGGGACATATGGGCGCAGCATGTCAATGACGTAGGCTGGGGCAAGATGGTTCACTGCTTTGTAAGGTACCAATAAGGATGTTAAACTGTATTCTATGTGAAACTGGAAGCCAATGCAGGGAGGTCAAGACGAGTGTAATATGATGTGAAGGTGGTGTTCCGGTTATTTTTGAACCAGAAAAGTGCCACATGTTTAATCAAACATACAATTTACTTGACTTTACGATTATAAGTCTCATTAACAGGGATGCTCACCCCCCCAAAAACTAAAATGTGTTATTCTTGCCTAATTATAACATCCAGGTTCATACATTTTCAGTAGCTACACTTGGGCACACTGGATCTGCTCCAGCAAAACACGTAATTTTACGTAGATGGTGCAGGTTTGCTAATTCTCCTGCACAAATCACCATGCAGCTGTAGGAATCAAATGACACATTTGCAAAATATCAAAAAATACAACTAATATAAAAAAGACTGAATACTTACCATTCTGTGTTTCCAGCTCATTTCCAATGGCATGGCCCATCTGCTTTTGCCTCGCTATGATGGAAGAGAGCACCTCCAGCCCAGCATCCTGCTCTGTTCCACGCACGATCTGGGTTAGCAGAGCAAGCACAGGATTTTAAACATCAGACTTGCTGTTGTTACTGATTGGGTGACGCTGCCTTACCCTGGATGATGCTTTTCTGTTGCTGTCGCAGATCGGCAAAGCTGCGCCCCCTAGTGTCCTCTGGCTCCTCCTCCAGCCAGGAGCTGGCTCCAGTGGCACCACCACCCAAGAGCCCCATCCTGGGAGCACCCACACAGGCAAAAATGGTGATGAAACGAACTTAATCAGGCGAATTTGCGAATGCAACCAAATTAGCAATGTACTCTTTGCTACGATATATCATAATAATCCTAACAAGTATGGTGTGTGGTCATACATAAGTTAATAGATCGCAATGAATTGAAAATTTTGAGGCTAAACTGGTTCATGTGTGACTGCTTAGCAGCCAACCTATAGATTAAGAAATCATACGGTATTCAACATAATACCATCTCCGTCCCCAAATTCTCACCAACCTCCTCTCCCCTCCAATATTTATTCCTCCATCACCGCTACCAGTATAAATAAATGTTTGATTTACATTCGTGCTGCCTGTAACTGGTGAGTGAAGGACTCTCCACAAGGAGGCATGCTCTACCAGCTATGCCACACACCAGTATTTTTCATTGCAAGGCCCTCGGGCCACTGGGGGCCCCTGGTGGCCTTTAGTGCAGTCCCTGACGTGCTGCTCCCAACAATACACAAATGTAAAAGAAACCTTAATGAAGGTTTTTGGGTTAGATCGCGTAAATATATAAATGTGTCGTCAATATCCGCCACCACCCGACACAGCCAACTAGTAAGGGTTGTCACGTAAACAGAACATGCCAATTTGTCACTAGTACAGCACTAGTGTATAGTGTAGTGTATAGTGGAGTATACTAGTACAACACACCGGTGTGTTGGAGAGCCAAGCCACATTTACAAACCGAGTACGACGTTTCACTAGCCTACGTGTTAAACTAAAAAGACCCTCATCATCGTGCTGTCAAACCCAAACTCCAATGGTTTCCAATGTGTTGCGGCCCTCATACTGATGATGTCTTATTGGCGAAAGTGCTCCCCCCTCCTCTGAAAATTAGTGAAGAACACTGCCATAAACCAAACTTCAAACGGTGGGCTATGAGCCACAAGGCATTGCTGAACTATTAATCGACCTAATTGACTAATAGTCCCCCCTGTCTTTCGTGAGATTTCCCTTTGTTGCACTTGAGCCGGTACCTGGCAGAGTCGGTGGTGCCTCCTCCGTTGCCACTGAACATGGTGTGCAGCTGCCGATCCTTGGTCTCAAGTTCGTCCAATAAGCTTTGCCTGCGCTCAGCCTCGCGCTGGGTACTGTTGATGATGACAACAATGAATCAAATTGGGAAAATTCAACACCTATAAATGAACACGTCTAAATTACTTTCTCAGATGCCACAAAAGAACAATGAACATCATTATAACACAGGGGAAAAAACAAACGCTTAAATAGTCTCAAGGAAACAGAAATGGCAGGGATTAATTTTTTAAAAGGGCTATGTGATGAGCAGCAGAGGGTAGTGCAGCAAATTCAATTTTTAACTGTACTTCTGTTCCCGCATATATGTTCCCCGCCTACACCAAACATGCACTGGGCAGTGTGTGCCAAAGTGTGGTCAAACACCCCCCATGACCCACATTGCGTGTGGAGACCCTCATCCAAGTCGTGGATTAACTAAATGCATCTACATGCGTTTCATAATTGCCCCTATTTCTCTCAACTAGACCACTTAAACATACATCACATAGGCAAGAACATGAGAACACAAAAAAAAACCCCAAGCATGCTATAGCCAAACACTGTGTACAGGATGAAACGTCTGCTAACCGGCTCAAACCAACGCACTTCAAAAATGACACCTAAATAAACTATTACACTGGAAAAATACTGCTCTGTTTGTAGACAGTTTATTTCTGTTTATTAAACAAGCGTAACCTCACCATCACGTGTCATTCAAGTCCTGACATTACATCTTCCTGGAATCAGCCCAGTGAAAAGAAATTAGATGAAACGTTGCGTTTCAGCGCGAGCTATCACAAGCACAAAGCAATCTCGGTGAATCCACGGGGAGCGCCTCTATACACACCAATTTAAGCCAATGTAAAAAAAAAAATGAATGTAATGTAATGACAAATTATTAAACACAGGACAAATCTAAACCCTCGCCCTGACATCGTATCTAGGCCCGACTCTTTTACCCAGTTCAAGCGCAGAATCGATACATGTCGAGATGTCAAATTGGCAACACCCAGCTGCCCATAAAGTCTAGGAAATATATCTGTACCCATGCCATGATGCTTTTGTTATCTGTGTTTGTGGCCGCAATGTTGGAGGACGTGTTTTTTCGTGTCACTGACAGCGAGAAGTGTTGTCAGCTAGCAATTCCCCTAACAAGTCACTTATTGAAGATCAAATTAAACAACTGCCTGGCTTTTTCTCATCTCAAAGACACTCGACTGCAGTTAACCGTGTTAAGTGAAGTACATGAGAGGAGCGAACACCTCCTCTATAAATGGAGATTCAAGGAGTTTCCTAATTGTGACTGCGATGAAGTCCGATCCATTACTCACATCACATTGTGTTGTATAGTATAGGTCTACATGCCAGTATGATGATCTCTAGGAGTCTCTATGTAAGTTTATGGGCCTTGATTCGAGTCTCCTCCATAAGTAGGGAATTAAGGTATTGCCTAATTGTGACTGTGGTGAAGTCCAATCCTTCACTCACATCACCAATCATTGCCACACACATGCTGTTGCAGGAGGTACAAACGGAATCCATCTGGTGGCCCCGGCCAGACACCATAGAATGCCTTCTCTAAACTCCACACAAAAAATTATAAACATGGTTCGTTTCTTTTCAAATGCCAAACAATAGAGAAAACTATTAAATTCAGACTCACGACGCTCATTCTCTTCTATGTCTATGACTTTCTCCTCGAGAATTACATTAAAAAACACCTTCTTAAAATGCCACCAGCTTCCTTATCTCGCCTTACCCCACCCCCCGATTGCCTCCTCCACCCCATAAACAAATCTATTCCCTGTTCCCCTTATTATGCAGGTCAGTCTTTTATTGTAACGCATTCTGATGTGCGACTGACTGCATTAGACGCTCTTTAAACACAAGCTGTAATTATAATTGCAACAATGCAGCAAATTGCTTGGTTAGTTATTTAGGAAGTAGCAGCACCAACGGTGCCAGTACCCCCTCTCTATAGTGGTCATCTCTTTCATAGACAGTATAAAGATGCAACAATTGCATTCTCTAGCAGTGCACGTGAGCACACCCTGGTGTACGAAAAAATAATCAAAATTGCACGCTTTGCAATCACAAAGTCATACGAGTCAGTGTTTGGCAGATATCAAACACAAGTTGGTCTCAGCCAGTTGAGGCGTTGTATCACTAAATGTTTTGTACTAAACGGTGGGGCTTTATCTTCTCTTTTAGACCATTACATTGCAATAACAAGGTGCTTTATCCAAGACAAACAACAGTGATTTTTTTTATTTCCATGTAAAGTTCTCCAATTCTTAAACGAGATGTCAGTCAAGGTTCTCTATCCGTATGCAGTTAATTGAGTACTCACTCATTTTTTCGGTAAAGTCACATAGGTAATTTTTTTTATATTTAATTTAATTAATTAAAATGAAAAATTTGTACCTACATGATTTTACCGAAAAAAACAAAGAGTATAAATCTTTGCAGTCACGAAAGCTTCAAATCTAGAGTGAATTGAGAATTTTTTTACGATAAAAACACATCTTGCTGTGGTTTTGTGAGCATGTGACTTCCATTGTTTAGAGTTCAGACCAACAACAGACACTCAGCGGGTGGCGTACATGAAGTTTGACGATGCGGCTCGAAGCAGACCGTCTCTCAGGCGCCCGATGTCTCGATTCAAGTTTTGCAGGGACAATCGGATGGTCACACTAACCTGCGAAACGTTAGAAAGAAAATCCACGCAAGTTATGAGCATAGCAAGGTGTCAAATAGAGGCTACACTTGCATCAAGGTGCAGTTGCATCTACACTCAATATAAAAGCAAATCATACCGTATTGGACAGCATTTGCCAACATTGCACTTAAGCTCTGGCAACCAAGAGCATATCACGCACCATGAAGATAACATTGATACGTACATAATTTCCTCAGCAAAAGGGACAGGAAGATAACGCTCAAGTTATGAGACTCGGCTTAAACTCGACATGAAAGCATGCAGATGCAATGACAATATTTCACCGAGTGACTTTTAATATCCAGTAAAACCTTGGATTGCAAGTAACTTGGTCTGCGAGTGTTTTGCAAGACGAGCAAATTTTTTTAATAAATATTAATTTGATAAACGAGCGAGGTCTTGCAATACGAGTAGTACGTACATGCTTTGTCTGCCGAGCGTCACGTGATCACAACTGATATACGAGTGCTTTGGATTACAAACACGTTTCCGGAACGAATTATTATCGCAATCCAAGGTTTTACTGTATATGATAAAAATGAAGCCTCGCAAAAGATATAAGTAAATTCAGACGGTTCCAGCTGAAGACGGAAGCTTGTGTGGCCTCCGAAACGTCGTGATTTTTATTTTATCTTACTTTTATTAATTTTTATGTTTTACCTACATGCCTTTACCGAAAAAACCTAAGAATATGAATCCTTGCAGTCACGAAATCTTCAAATCTAGAATTAAATTCAGAAGTTTGCCTTTAACAGTTAATAAAAAACACTCCCATTCACCCATATCTAAAAATACAATGCACAGAACATTAGTTTTTTTTTCCTTTCTGAAAACTATTTACACAATAATCATCCAGTGACATGGGCTGGAATAGCTTGTTGCCCCAAACTCTGTTAGGCTTAAAGGCATAATACAAAGCAACATTTTCCATTAAATCACCACAAACACAAGTTGACCTTTAATGTTAAGTGAAAAACTAAATGTTTAAGACAAACACGTGAGAGGGTTAATATTCATTGGGCCTTACTTAAAACTTGAAATCACATGCATAAACAATGGTAAGGGGTATGCAAATTACTTTTTTGGAACTTTAATTGCGTGGAGTTTGACCTCTAAGCCACCCAGCCACATCTAAAATACTTGCTAGAGTGCTGTGCTGGCACAGCTGAGAACCTGGATTCAACACCAGGCCACTGCCTGTGATTAAACTGGACTTTCATGTGTAGCGAGTTTATGGTCTCTGCCACGTTATCAAATAATTTCACAACAAAAAAACAAATCAAATAAATTTGGTTCTTCACTGGATTTTCCCAATGCTTTGAGAATTGAAACATCGGTTTGATGGGTGATGAGACAAAAATTACCATCATGGGGCATGGTGGAAAATGCTGTACCTGCTGTGTCGACCAGAGTTTTCTTAAAAATATCTTAAAGAGGTGGATTTGTGACATCAAATGATGTGGACAATTCTAGCTATGTTCTGCGATTGATCCCAATGTATACATTTACTTCTTTCTGATACCGATTACAAATTCTGGATAGACTTTAACAGTTAATCAAAAACAGTATGGTGCTAGCACATGTACCTTGGCAGGATTGCCTCCTGTTCTCTGCTGCCGGTTTCTCTCCTGTATATTCTCTGCGATGTCCTGGGTCATACGGCACGTGGCCTCATGCTGAGCCAACCTAACAGAGAATTGAAATGCATCACTTGTTTGTATGCGTAAAGTAACAACGCACGTATGAAGAAGATAAGTCAAACAAAACTACAATGACATAAAAAAAAGTTGGATTCGAATAATTTTTCTTAACAGATAAACAGTAAACATTACGGGGCCATGTTATTACAAAAAAAGAACGCATCACCCGCCCACCGACTCTTGTGACACGTAAGTCGTGGTGCGTAAACAGTTGCTTGCCTAAACTATTTCAAATAGTCTCTAGAAAACAAGACCATATCATACCTCATAATAAGAGAGCCTCACAATTCTGGCAAGTCGCCCGATAAAGCTGGATGTAATTACCAGCGAAACGTCGTACTTAAATTTTAAATGATTCGCTCTTCAACACACCGGTGGGCTAAAGAAGTGAATTATTTTGTCCTTTGTAAACGTGACATTTTTTTTACTGTTTAGCCGTGTCGGGTGGTGGAGGGTTACGACACATTTAAGAATAACGCGATCTAACCCAAAAACCTTTATTATGAATACTATTGGTCGCGAAAGCCTACGTGTTAAACCATGTCATACCTGTCAATCCCTTATCGGTGCCCTACCTTATTACAGACCAATTCAGACCATATTGATTATCCCGTGACCTTATAAATCGAAACGCTCATATCCTACAAAGTCCCATCACAAGGGATAAATACAAAGAAAGTGTTTGCCCGTCTTGAAACGGCTGTACTCCGTATGGACTTAAAACTAGATTTCCCTGTACAAGAATACGGGTAAACCGTATGGGTTGACAGGCACACCATATCGAGAAGTGACAAGGGTGTACAGGTGTACTGTAGTATACAATTGTAATTCTGGTGGCAATGGCTTTGTCGGCAGTGTATCCACTGCCAACGCTGAGCAATATTGAGAAGAGTTCTCCATGCAGGTACATAATACGTACAAATACTGTCACGTGCAGAACTGTACTTAACTCTATTTTAAATGAGACAGGCAAATGTTGTAAATTCCACATTCCGATGACAAGAACCAGTCTATCCACAGGGCCAAGCTTGAGTTACTTCCCACAGAGTGGTTGCCGATTGTATCGATCCTGCATGGACATGCAGAAGGGTTCTCCTAACCGTGGGATTTAACCTATCTGTTGTTTGGTAACGTGGTACTTTTAAACATCGGCGTTATAATTCATTAGCGCACTTACTTTTAACAAAAAAACACCCCGACCGTGGATTTACTTTCCTGTTCAGGATATTCTGTTTACGTCAAGCGTTTCATACTTGGCGTATGTTGTTGTGTTTTTTGTTTGTTAGTAGTTGACGCTTTAACTCGAGTTCTAGGCCTCAAGTTTCCCCGTTCCTTGTTCCGCATCGAATCGCGAAGGCCGCGTGTGGTGGTGGTGGTGGGGGCAATAGAAGTACGGTACAATAATTATACTACTTACCACTCCCCCCCGGCTGCTGTCCGCAACGTAAGCCCCCGGTAAGCCTATAAACAACTTTGCTATGCCCCGTGGCTATCCATGGCAAGGACCAAGCCAGCCTCGATCCCCCTTAGCCTGCCGATAACCTGACGCCGACATGCAAACGACACGAAACCCAATCGGAATCGATTCCAAGCGCCTCGGCACGACGTCGATTCCTGTGTGGTGCCAGATAGGAATCGATTCCGAACCGTTAATATTTGTTGTTGTTGAATCGATGCGAGCCGAGCAACTACAAGCGATGTCGCCACGATAATTCGTCTCGCAAGAGTTTCCTCGCGGGGAGCGGGCAGGGGGGGGGGCGACTCCCTTACCAACTGTCCGACGCCATCCTCGTCCTCAAAGCGTGGACATTTCCTTCTCAGAGAATCAAACGGAGCGGCTCTTCGCCTCCACCAAACCCCTTGCGGCCACACAGAACCGAGACGAAATCGAGATTAGAATTGGTGCCACGGATAAGCGCGGGGTGGGGGAGGGACGTCTCACTCGGGTTGTCGCTGATTGGTCGGGGGGTTGATCACGAGGTGTGTTGTTTTCGGTGGACCCGCGGGGGCGGTGCTTATACAGACTGGGGAATGTAACGCGTGGTGGCACGTGACTTTTTGTGACACCCACCCCCTCCTCCCCGTCTCGCCCCTTGGGTCTCCTAGCAACAAGGTCACGTGATTCGAGTCACATTTGTTTTTGTTGCGGATTATAAGACGCAGGGCCCATGAATAAAGTTGTACTGCACACGCACCGGATTATAAGACGCAGGGCCCATGAATAAAGTTGTACTGCACACGCACCGGATTATAAGACGCAGGGCCCATGAATAAAGTTGTACTGCACTCGCACCGGATTATAAGACGCAGTGCCCATGAATAAAGTTGTACTGCACAAGCACCGGATTATAAGACGCAGGGCACATGCATAAAGTTGTACTGCACATACACCGCATTATAAGACGCAGTGCCCATCAATGAAGTTGTACTGCACATACACCGGATTATAAGACGCAGTGCCCATCAATGAAGTTGTACTGCACATACACCGGATTATAAGACGCAGTGCCCATCAATGAAGTTGTACTGCACATACACCGGATTATAAGACGCAGTGCCTATGAATAAAGTTGTACTGCACATACACCGGATTATAAGACGCGAGGCCCATGAATAAACTTGTACTGCACATACACCGGATTATAAGACGCAGTACCTATGAATAAAGTTGTACTGCACATACACCGGATTATAAGAGGCAAGGCCCATGAATAAACTTGTACTGCACTCGCACCCGATTATAAGACGCAGTGCCCATGAATAAAGTTGTACTGCACTCGCACCGGATTATAAGACGCAGGGCCCATGAATAAAGTTGTACTGCACAAGCACCGGATTATAAGACGCAGTGCCCATTAATAAACTTGTACTGCACTAGCACCGGATTATAAGACGCAGTGCCCATTAATAAAGTTGTACTGCACATGCACCGGACTATAAATACTGTACGCACCAAACTGCGTAAAACGTGTTAGAATCTGACCATATCGACGATCTCCACATTTATTTTTTTTTATACAGGTGGGGGAAGTGCGTCTTATAATCTGGAAAATATGTCATTAGTGTGGGAGTATACAATAAACATTCATGATAGTGACTTCGGTAGTGGGTAATCCATACTTCAGATTTCTAAAGTTTGTATTCGTGCCGTCTGGAACGCTCTTTCGATATTAAGAAGCCACTGGAGCTAATGTACTTTTCAATCTAGATCCAAAACTCGTTTCTTTAGAACTGCTTTTGTGCGTGTTTAATTTGTTGTCCTACGATAAGCACGGTTTGGCCACGTACGGGGCGAAAGAAGTTCAACGTACATATATTTCATATCTAGGTTAGGCTACTGGAACGTCGGATCTCGGAAAAGCTAAGCAGGCAGCTGAGCCTGGACAGTGCTTGAATGGGCGACCTTCATGCCGAACGGATCGTTGCTCCATTGTTGCACTGTGCATCTATGCTCCCACGTCTGTGTTGCCCGCCTTCAACAAAACTGCACTGACCAGCGTGGTGAGGTATGGTCAAAGAGCCCCCACGTGGATGTCTTATTAATTCCGCGTCTTCATTCAGCAGAGCAAAGCGATTTCATGCATACAAATGACCCGGGTACACGAGACAAGCCTGTATTGTGCAGGCGCGTAGCAACGTGGAGAGGTTGTACTGGCAAGTTATACGGCTAATTAGAAGGATCCAGAAAAGGCAAATATGTTCATTAGGCACATTTCTCAATAGGTTCTAGTTCAGGTATATTTTCTTTGACCATGTGAAAACTCACGGGATCAGTCCCATTTAGAGAATGGTCTAAGCTAAGCAAACAAGAAATCAGAGCTAAAGCTAAAACATCTGTGCCACATGTGGAATTGAAAATATTGCAAACATATGAAAGTTTGGGAGGGTTAAGGATGTTGGGAAAGAGGGTGCGGTGACATACTGAAATTGGGATGTATCAATGAAGTGTGGAAGGAGTTTGAGCCAAAGAACTGCCATCGGGCAAGAACTTAAGGGAAAATATCCCTGGGGGGGTAATGTCAGATAGCCAAGAAAGCCCTTTAATGATATCGATTGAAGGGGGCAAAGAATGTGGCAAGCAGTCAATTTGCATGAATTCGGCGGGGGGGGAGGGGGGCAGTGCCCTTCGATAGCCACACGTGCATGTCATTTTGCGACCGCTCATGAGTGTTGGAGGTGTAATTACTGAACGAGTCAATGAATCGATCGGTAATTGCTCTTAAGCTCATGCCACGTGAATTGCTATGCGGTGTGAGTATGGATTGCTTTTTTTCCCGATTTGTGTATGTTGTACGTGCTGGAGTTGGTTCACGTGAACCTTCTCACATCTAGTGGCCGCGACGTTCACGGAAATGTAAATAAAAGTAATATACGTACATCTAACTGCAACGCTGAATCGTGACAATTCACTGAATCGCTACACTCTTAATGAGCCGAGTTATGACAACGCATTCCTATAGCAGGGCATCACCTATGTCAGGACGCTAGTAAAAAAACACATTGACACAATTAGTGACCCATTTAAGACCCGAATAAGAACAACAGCATAGGTACAATAATTAAAATAGGCAGGTGAGAGGCGACCGAGATCACATACTGCTTTGCAAGGGTAACCATGTGGTGAGGTTCATTAAACAACCAGACGTTCTACAGACAACACAACTCAACATATTCGTCAATAACACTGCCTAAAAGGGAACTATATATAGAACACGAATATACGACAAAGAAAGACCATTGCCAAAAACGTCACCTATTTTATACGTTCCCTTTTGAGGTCACAGTGTCATTGACGAATGTTTTAGGGTTTTCGTTGTTTGTGCCTGAGCCATTGCCAACGTCAGAAGCATTGCCATCATATTTGTTTACATTGGACAGCTTTAAATGGCAACGTGGAAAATTCCACCAGACATGTTCCAGACAACTGACAGCAGAATTTAAAATACATAAAAGTATGCAAAACCGTGTAATTTGAGACAAAAAATCAACTCCATCTTAACACGTATACACACCCAAACAACAACACATTAGCACAGATGATAAAAAAAGTAAAATAGCCGTATCTCGACAAAAAAATATGAAACGATTTGTGAAAAACAAAAGCCACACACGTTACGGATGCACGATAAGCCGTCACGTAAATATCACTTGAATTTATCAGTGTGACTCGGTGGATGTCTCACTGATCCGGCCCTGTCCAAACGCAGCTGGTCGGCACTCGGTAACCCCGACTTTTTTTCTTATAGAAATCAGTGACACCCGCATTTGCTTTAGCAGCTTACTAAGTGGCCCTGCAACTGAGCTCATCGTCGCCTCTGTTAAGGCAGTCAGCTTAGCGAGATGCATGCGAAGTATGGGCAACGATTGGATAAATGCACCGCGTGATCTGTTGTGCTTACTTATTATGGTCTAAGATTCTAATTTCTGGTAAGGACCATCACGTAATCCATGATATGCCACATTCTTGTTTTCGTCTTAATCTAGGCCACCAGGTTTCACGAACATTTTTTACTTGTTGTATATTACATGAAAACAGTGCACGTGACAAATACAGTTTTGATATATTTTGATAGAGGTTTAAAAAGAATGCTTTTATTTTTATACAAAACTTACATTTTTTTACTATGTCGCATTACACACCTGAGGAAACCTCACAAACTAATCAATGAAACCTCCAACGATTGGATAAACGTTGACTGTATTTTATTATTAGTGACAATACCGTCCTATCTTGTCATGTTTATCTCCCCAACTATTTTCATGTTGTCCAATTTAGTCGAATACTGCTATGGAACCGATGCACATATCAGCTTGGCGCCCTGCTGGTCGACGAAATCCGTCTGCGTTTCTTTTAAAAAATTTTATATTATTTTTGATTCCACATCTTCCCACACATCATACAGTGCCACATCCTGACGATCTGGATGGCATTACCAGGGGCATCGACGGTATCGGAGGCACGCCGGACTCATCAGAGCAGGCTGTGGGGGAGGCGATAAAGAAATGTTCTTTGGGGGAGGTTGGGGAGTTGGCCATGTCATTGCCGTTCCTGGACTCAGGTGTTTTAGACGGCGTATTCTTCTTCATTGTCTCTGAGCTTATAGCTTAGATGCTACGGTGCTGAGGTTGGGCCGAATTAATTCAGCCATTGAGTATGGGAGCGGGGGGGTTCGTGATTTTTTAACGCACTCAATATGGCTTTTCCTGGCCGCTATATTGAAAGTCCTTAACGAAACGTTGTCCGTCTGCCTTTCTAATTTTAGCGCACTCGCAATCACTTCTGTCGCTGCAATGGGCCTCATTTCCAGTCGTGCGACAAGGGACGAAGCTGTGTGTGTGTGTTAAAGTCTGACAACTATATTCTTAGGTTTTTTCGGTAAAGTCACGTAGGTAAAAAATTAAAATTTAAATTAATAAAAGTAAAATAAAAATCACGACGTTTCGGAGGCAACACAAGCTTCCGTCTTCAGTCACCTACGTGACTTTACAGAAAAAACCTAAGAATATGAATACTTGCAGTCACGAAAGCTTCAAATCTAGTCTGACAACTACTTGGCTTCCCAACATAGTAGTGCGCAGATACAATGAAAGTGTAGGGGAGCGGGGGTGCAGTGGTTAGCGCACTGCAGTGCGAACCCAGTGACCCGAGTTTCATTCCCTCTCGCAGGTAATATCGCTGACGAATATCTCAACCAGTCCCGGGCCACCCCTGGGTTGGCTCAGCACTAAATAGGTACCTGCAGGTGGGGTTGTGTAAACCTCAGCACCGAGGGGACAAAAGCGGCCTGGCGTGGTATTTGCCACGCACCTCTGTGTCCCATGCGGGCCTTAAAAGGTGCTCGCTCACAGTAATTCCCCCAACAGTCTGTTGAGGCTACTTAGATGATCATTGTCTTTATTTTGTGTTAAAGTGTGGACCGCCAAGTGTATTTGAATGGCCCTATATGGCCATCGTTCAGGCAAAGGTTCTTCCACACATCAGAATCGCAATATTTGTTTACACTGGAGGAATCCGATGAGCTATAAAGCTCATTTGTCGCACTGTTCCGATGCACCTCATTTTTCTCTCTCTCTCTCACGCGTTTACTAAACAATACAAAAAAAACACACCGTGTAAAAATGCCAACGTTACCGCACAGAACGCTACGCCTTGTCTAGCTCGCTTGGGTGTCAGTCAACCCGTGCAAGCCAGATTTGAGTGGGGGGGTCATGTCACGTCGCGGCCAGGGCGCCACAAACTCGCCCCGACGAGTCGAAGGTGGTTTCATGTTTAATAGACGTCCACGCGAATGAAGAGGAAATGCGGAGGTGACAGGTGGGGCCACGAGGGAGATTCGGCGATGTCATCCCGACTGTTTTTGCGTTCAATCTTGAATCTGAAGCTTTCGTGACTGCAAGGATCCATACTCTTTGGTTCTTTCGGTAAAGTCACGTAGGTAGTTTTTTTTCTTGCTGTGGTTGTCCCACCTGATGACGATTGTTTGTGTTGCGAACGAAACGTCGTGATGTATTATTTTTCTACCCACGTGACTTTACCGAAAGAACCAAAGAGTATGTTTTTGCGTTCTCTGATAATTATTTATGTAAATCGATTACCCTGTAAGATTGATCGGTTCGATGACTCGAACAATCGAGACCACGTGAAAATAATTAAAGGAACGGGGGGGGGGGGATAATTGTAAAGCGTTTTGTTAAAATGACACTGCTGCTGAAAACAACACATTTCGATGGTAGTGATGATTGATGGAGGCTGATGATGTAATTGTTAATATTAAACGATGCCGATGATTTGATTTATGATGATGGCTGGATGATGAACATGGATGACGACATTGATGACCGTCCAAAAGTGTGATCGTTGAACGATGGTGGCTTGAAGAGTATTTAATGATGATGACCTCATGTTGAAGATGGATGTGGATGATGATGGTAATCGATGACAGGGGAAAGGTACGGAATGAGGTCTGCTCACGACGTGCCGCGAGTGAACATCCCACAAGCCGTAGCAGCTATGATGAAAAGCGTGTTTGTGAGCAGACTCTGTTTGTGGCTGACAGCACGTCCACTGGAGGCGCGTTCCGATTGGCTGATGCTGCTGCTCTTGATCCGATTTGATTGGTCTCGGTGATGGTTAGTGATGGTGACAGCTGAGGTTTGGCCGGCCCGCATGCGGTGCTGGGGAGAAGGAGGGGAGTTTCGTCGAGGACATATATAAGACCCACTATCGCTTCGCGTGGGGTCTCAGAATAATCACGGCGCCACGTGAAGAGGGCACTCCAACCGCACCCTGCCCCTCCTGCAAGGCTCCCGCAGCGTCGAGGAAGATAAAGGAGTCGGCTGGACTTGGGAGAGCAGGGAGCGTGAGACGAAATGTCATCAAGCACCATGGACGGTGAGTCGATGCTTTCGCCGAGTCGGTCACGAGTAATTGCCAGCACTGGATACGAATTTCACAAACGCATCGTTTATTGTTCCACTGAGTAGTTTTTTTTTTGGGTTGGTGAATAAATGGGGCGAATTCTGATATTGTGTCTGCGCAATGCTATATGTTGTGCGGGCAGTGTCGGTTATTCCACGTGTCAGATTTTAACATGAATTTAGTTAAACTATCTACCGTATAAAGTAAACAATCTTTACGGACTCGTAGTTGAGTGATATATAATTTACACTCCGTATCCGTGACCGTGTGACACGACTGATCCTGACGTTTGAGCCTTTCGAGCTACAGAGAGTTTACGCAAAATCATTTACAATTCCAGAGTCGGGGTGTGGTAGCGCAACAAATGGATTTCTGACCCGTCCGTGGGGCCCTCTGAGCGCGCTTTCCTCGAATGTTATGTGCGGTGGGATGTCTTCAGGTTCCCCGATTTTGACCCTCCACGCGAAGAAAAAAAGAATATCCCCTGCAACAAGTCCCCAATGGTGACGAAGCATTCATAGTAAATCAATGTCGATATGGGATCACGCTCACGAGGATTATCGTGACAGACGGACCGAGCTAACAACGTGGATTCTTTCAACCGTAGTCGAGAAAGTAACAATGATGATCATCATCATTTACAGCCCTTTGTCAATGCACTGCGTATTGATCACGGGGGGTTGTTTAGCTATACTCCGCCAAGATGATTAGTTCGGCGAAGTCGTCGAAAATATATTAACCTGATTATCGGAACTTGTCACAAAACACGTTCACTCACCTCCCGCCCATCCAACTTGTATCGGTTGTTTGAATTGCTAAAAAGCCAACGCAATATGAGACAGTTCAATTAATGCGCGAACGCGTCAAACCTTGCTCCTGTAAACCGGCGGGGTTTGCCTGCTGCTGTGGGTATAATTAGGCCTCGGCAAGGTAAGGTAAAAGTTAAAAGGTAAAAACAACGAGCCTACTTTTACCCTACCTTTTACCCTTACCCCATACTAATGACCCGATTACAGGGTAATTACTAGGGAACTGCACATCAACAAGGTTTATAACGGTAAATGCCAGGTAGAGCGCTTTATTAATATAGAATACTTGCGATGATTCCAATTTTACACGCTTTCTATTAACTCACTGTCTGTCGTTGTCGTATCCTCAAATCTTGCAACTCAATTTTTACCCACTTCCTAATGTGGTATCGACTGCAAACTTCGTATACTTATACTGATGACAATACTATATTCTATCATTAAACAAATATATATTTCTTAACATTCTTTTTTATTTGTTATGTTTCGGCTTGGGTCTAATTGTCCACGGTCAACTTACGTTGGCTGTAAATCACCACGGCCCCCTTACGTTATGGCAAGATTCGGGGCCACTTCCTGGAGTCGTGGAGTTCTGCCATTACTAGTACATTTCATAAAAGCGTAGTTTTTTTTAAGTAAGTTTTTAAATATTACTTATTAGATGGAGGCCACGGACTGCGCCACGGAGCTTTTAGCGGTAAACAAGGAACCGTATTTACCGGGTAATACTTCGCGCTACCTTTACCCTACCCTTTACCTTACCCCTTGGCATGTCGACACCTTTACCCTTTTACCCGGTAAAAAGGGTAAATTACCTTACCTTGCCGAGGCCTAGGTATAATGGTAAGCAGACTGGGCGCGCGACCCAGCGCTCTTCGATTCGACCTCCTGTCGCACACATCTTCCAAGAAGTCTGGCCAGCGTGGAAGAGGAGGCCAAATACACCCTCCAGAGGCATAGGAGCTTTGTCTTGAGCTCACGCACGTGGAGAGGAAGGACCCTTCCGCCAGCAGTGGCATGAGTCGCTAACTGTGGAGCTGCACATTTACCTGCGTAAACAAGTACACGTACTGACGGGATTTACGCAATGCACCGGGAAAACTGCCAACCCACGTTTCGCACTATGAGCGGATCATATAATGATGATGATTACAACACCTGTATGCCGTTAATCCACTGCTGGATGAAGGCCTCCCCAAGGGATGGGAATTGTTTGACCGTACATCACACCCACGCTGGTCAGTGTGAGTTGGTGAAGACTGGGGGTGGGGGGCAAGGGAAATGTTTACGACCACTTCCAATATCCTACGGTCTACGCCAATGGTTTCAACCGTGAGCGGGACTCAAACTCAGGTTGCCAGGTTCGTAGCGCAATGTGCGAACCACTGCGCCACCGCTGCGCCCCATTTAAGCAGCGTGCTACAACCACAGCTCGTTCATTAGCCGAACAGAAAATCCATTAATCATTACACATTCTCTTCTTATGAACCTTTGGTCGAAATAGCCGTGTGGCCCAGTGCTGGGAGCGCACGGCTCAGCCCATCATCCCTCTGGGTTCGGTAAAGTGCATATCAATTTTGTGACACATCGACAGCAGGCCTCTATAGCTGTTGCTGCTGTATAGCGAGCATTCATTGCCGTGGTGGGAATGTGGAATTGCCACCGCTGCAGGAATGCCAACGAAGGCGAGCGACGCGACGTCGTTCTTTTGAGGAGTGAGAAACTCTCAGTTTTTTGACTCTCGACTCTCCACGGCACAATCCTCGCTGCTCTACCTGCTTGGCAATGAAATCATTGTGCCGTGTATATAGTCTACACGGCTGTGCGTATAATAAATCCAGGTGTGTACGCACACAGGTGTGTGTACACATACTGCCATAAATGTGTGGCTGCAGTGTAATGGCCATTATCGCGTTACACAAGTGAACTTGTATAGCCCTTTACCGATCCACTGCTGGATTAAGGCCTCCCCACACCGTGCGGGTCGCGGGGGCTGTTTGACCATGCTTCACACCACGTGCGTCAATGCGGGTGGGTGAAGGCGCGGAGCATAGATGTGGGAGCATGGAAGTGCATTACAACGGTGGGTCTCGCCGCACTGCCATCTGCTGCTTGAAACGAATACCGACGTGTTTTACGCATGGTGGGTCGCCCATCCAAGCACTATCCAGGCTCAATCCTGCTTAGCTTCCGAGTTCATTGCATTGACGAAAAAGGGGGCTGTATGCGTGTACACACAGGGGGGGGGGGGGGGGGGAGCGCAGTCACCATCAAAGCTCAATTCGTTGTGAGCACAGGGAGGCGTTGAAGGCGTCACAACGGCTCTCTGATCCACGATTAATGGCGATTTGACAAGCTGCCTTTCTGGGTGGCGTGACGAGTCGCTGTTATTATGCACGCACACCGAGGTCGAGTAGAGGTTCATAAGCTGAGAGTTGAGGCAGCAGAGGATCCAAGAGGGGGAGCGGTGAGAGGACATCAACGCCCCCCACCCCCCCTGGAATTATTAGCTTAGAGTTAGATTTAGAGCTTCAATGTTAATTCGACACGAGCAAAACTGATACACTGCGTTGGCTGTAGTGCATTAGCACAAAAAACAACACAGCCCTCAAGGAAGAACATTTATTTTAGACGAAGTTTCTGGGAATTGCCCTCCTCTCTGCTAAAAAAAAGGGTCATTGTCCAAAATTTTGCTTCAGGAGAAACATTTCAGCAGGCGATGTATTGGGAAACTTTCTTCTATCTGCCATGAATAAGAATCATTGCCCAAAATGTCGTCCTATTGTATATATCTGTTCGGGCAGTGTTATTGACAAGTTGTATTGACAAATGCGTTGCGCTTATGCTCATTTCATTGGGTGCTCTCTACGCCAGGGTCACACACACACACGATGAAATCAGCTCGTGCGGGAGCGAGACAGTACTGTGAGGGTTGGCGACGGTTTGCGGAATGCCTTCACCCAGCAGTGGATAGATCATGGCTGATGAAGATGCTGATGAAAAATGTAGAAGAAATAGGCTTGTGTCTTGCATAGAACCGTGGCCCTAAACCCCGAGTAATCATCGAGTCGCCGGGTTTGGGAGATGGAATGGTTTGTGTGCGTGCGTGAATTGTTATTCGTCCGCTGGGCATGGCGGTTTTGAGTTATGCGTGACCTCCAATAATTCTATAACACGGCTTATCGCAGCGTAGATCTCAAAACTATGCCAGTTGTACGAGGTAACTAAGATAAAGTTGCAACCCTGAAATTGCTTGCTCACGCCACTGCTGTCAGAAGGGCCTCCTCTAATGCGAGCACGAAGAGAGAGCCCCTTTATATCTAGCGGATGCTTTTGGCCGACCCTTCAATACTGGTCCAGCCGTCTTGGAAGTGGTTGGAGTACCCACGCTTTACCCCACCACACGCGATCTGACCGATCAATTAACTGTGCTGTACCCATTTAAATCAAAGGCAGGGGGGATGTTTTATTCTTGGTCAAAGGCGGGGCGGGGAGGGAGTATTTAATACATGCCGCGTCGGGAGATTGAATCGAACCAGCGTGCTAACCATTACACCACTGATGCGTCCGGTGTGTAAAGTACAGCGTTCGTGATTCTAAGTTCAGTGATACGAGGCCGCTGCTGAAAAAAGAATCAGATATTGGTGCGTGGCGGGATTAAAAGTCGTCAGGTGGTGGTGATGTTGTTTTAGTTCTATCTACGTGACTTTACCGAAAGAACCATCGAGAATAGAGGCGTGGAATTTTTGTTCTCTGTCGTCGCAGAAACGTGAAGTACGGTGGAGTGAACCCCCAGCGGGGTGGGGAGGCCTTCACTCAGCATTGGATTTTGTCAAGAAATGAGCAGTTTTTTTTGGGGGGGGGGTCAGAGGGGCACGGACCTGCCATTGCGTAGAAACACTAAAGAGGAGCGACTTAAAGCAGCAACAACAACATGAATTGACTCATTGGCAACTTAATGACCAACGGGGTGGGCCGGGTGGTCATAGACCCGTTAAATAATAATAACCACCCCCCGCCGCCAGCCCAAATATCCCGTTGCGCTCCGCTTGTTATTGCAAAAAAAAAACCCCAACAACCCACGAGAGTCGCTATGTTCATGATTTACCGACAATTTGGTGAAACATTTACCAATCGTAATGACGGGGCGAGCTTGGGAGGGCTGTGATATCCGTCTCGGGTTATTTTTGTTGTTTAATCGTTTTAGATGTATGACCCGGACTCGGCGGGACCGCTGGGGAGGAACCACGGCACTGTTTCACAATCCAGTCCGCATTGTCAACATTGACCTCGTCCGATATCGTCGTCATCATCATCGTCTGTGCCGTCGGCATTGCGGCTCAGATGGTTTGAGGAGCGCACTGATCGAGCTTGTGCCCCATTTTCAATAAAGTTGTACACATTCTGGTCACAATAACAACAACGAAAGACAAATAAGCAATCCGTCTGTGGGCAGACCGTCTCACCTTGATCACACGGACCGCTTTAGTGACCACCTGGGTGTTTTAAGTGCAGGACTTTACGAACCCCCTTAAGAAAAGTGGTTCTTGGCAAGGACGCGTCGCTGGGAGGGATGGTGGCCTGGATTGACAGGCAAGCCCGGCTACAGCGTGGGCCCCACCGGCACTGTGCAGTTGCACCGCCTGCACCCTCGATGGCAACGTCACGACGTTTCGGGCGCAACACAAGCGTCCGTCATCAGGTGGGACAACCACAGCAAGAAACGTAATGGCCTGCACTTAATTTATTTCATTTTATACCTACGTGACTTTACCGAAAGAACTAAAGAGTATGCATCCCTGCAGTCACGAAAACTTCAAATCTAGATTGAACGTCACAACAGTCTACCCCCACTCCACACTCTCCCCTCATCCCTACCCAAACTCTTCTCTCCGCACGCTGCTTCCTACCTCTCTCCGCTCCAAACCTTCCTCCAATCCACGCAACTCTCTCTCTCCCACACACACGCCTGCTTCAACCACCCCCCTGCCAAAGCCTCCCTCTCCCATCCCTCTCCCGCACCCTTGCATCTCTCTCTCTCTCTCCCTCCCGCACCCATCTCATTCCATCTCGCGTGAGTGCGCGTGTGTGGACGCGCTCCCACCCCTCCTCCTCCTACCTTTTTCCTTTCGCTCTCACGGAGGAGGCGACAGACACCCTCGGCCTCTCTCTCTCTCCTCCGCAACGGCACGGAGAGTTTCCCCGTCTCTCTCGCCAGGTGAGTTGATGGTGGTTCCTCCTGCAACTCGCAAACCTCGGCACACGCACACGCGCACACAAACGTTGCCGATCTGATATCCGCCACGTGGAACAAGTTGCACGTTCGAGAAAGACGAAAGCGAGGTGGTCTCGTCATACTGGATGTTGCTGGAGAGTGTTGCGGAAATATTCTATTGGGTCTGCCGGCCCGGAGAGCACCGTCTGAAGTTAAAGGCGAGGCCAATTGTGATTCGTGAGTATTATTATTTGGTAATGCATCGCAGAGTCTCGCGGCTGGCTTTTCCAGGAAGGTCCTGCCAAGTTTTCGAAGCAGGGGGCGATGTTTGCTTCTTAATGAACCCCAGTCGAGTTGTTAGCGATGGTGGTTGCGTTAGGGGGTGCTCTCTGATATTCTTATGTTTTTTCTGTAAAGTCACGTAGATAAAAAAATTTAAATTTATAAAAGTAAAATAAAAATAAAAATCACGACGTTTCGGAGGCAACACAAGCTTCCGTCTTCAGGTGGAACCGTCACAGCACTTGATACAGCCCCCCCACCCCCAACGTCAACCCCAGCGTGTCTCGAAGCTTGTGGGTCAAAAATTTACAGCTGCGTGTCGAACGGGTTTGTGAGAAGCCGGTAGAGACATGCGTGACTTTGTCGTGTATACATTACATACGTACGCGCGTGTGTGTGTGTGTACGTAAACAACTGTGAGCACAGCACACACCACACACAGATGCCCTTAGCCCACCGTCGTGTCGGTCATCGGGGTTATCTGACCATACTTCACCACGCTGGTCACTGCGGCATGGGTGTTAGTGGTGGTCAGATATTACTCGCTACTGATGTCTTCCATGGGGTGGAATTGGAACACCGAGTTTACCGCTTGCCAACTTAATCTCTACTATATTCCTATATTTAGCATTCTTATCTAATGTTAATTAAAATAGGTGTTTTTTTGCTGTCACTGGGACCAGAGGAAATGAGTAAATTAATAATATCTTCTATCAGTCATTGCAAATAACCCTGGCAGTGTTATTCCTCGTCTGCGTTTACTCAAGCAATATTTGCATATAATTTGTTAAATTATTTTACAATGACCGCATGTGTTTTTATTTTACCTATGACGTGGGTGTGGGAAGCTAAACGGTGTTGTACCTGGATGATGGTGCTCGGAGTGGCGGCCACAAGACGTAACAGGTGTTATAGGCTGCGGGCACTACGTTTGTGTGCTGCAGTTTTCCAGTATGAAAAAGAAAAACACTTCTTACCCTTTCTGGCAATACAACAGGAGGTGTTGAGATGTTGAAAACACCAAATAGAAATTTTGCAAGGGATCAACTCTGCATTGAACACACGTACTTGTAGTGAACATGCAAACAAACATGCTCTGATAATATATGCAGTGTTTGAACATCTTAACACCTCTTGTATTGCCAAGAAAGGGTAAAACCTAATATTTTTCATGTTTTTATACCGGGGAAAAAAGGTCCTATGATATAGAGCAGTTTTCCAGTTAAGCAAAAAACACCCGTGTACTGTACATCTGTGTTGCAACGTCTACACTGCTCGACTTCAAGCCACACTAACGCAGAGGGGGCCCTCATCCAGCAGTGAATTGACGCGTGCACGCACATTTTTGGGGTGCGTCTTACTACCCATTGATCTGAATTTTTTTTTATTCCGGTACAGGAACCTCGTTGAACATAAACAATCACGATTGAACAACTGATCATTATTTACGTTGGTACACAAATAAAACACCCCCCACTGGTTTCATTTACCGAATTGTTAAAATTCCAACTTCCAAGTGTCAAGGACGCGATTATTAATGAAATGCAGTTGTAAAAAAATATATATACTTCTCGTTACACAATAACTCGACAATGCCAGCACAGACAGCCCCGGACCAGCTCTGGGACTCGACATTTGTTTTTGGTGCAAGCACTGCAGTCACGCTTTGGTTTCGGTCCAAGTGTGTCCACTGCGATTCTCAGAGTTGGCAACAAGTTCGCCCCAAGCGGATTGCATGGATAAGGAACAAACACCCATTAATCCGGTGGAGCGAGTGGCGCGCAATGTGAGGGTTTTAAGTTAACACATTCCTGCGGAGGGAGCTGGTAGGAACGTTGGGTTGCTCGGTCAATGGACAGAGTCAACGGCGGCGTGGTGTATTCCGCAAATATGCCCGACTGTGAGGGTGGGCACAAGCCGGCGTGAGTAGGTTTAACGTTGAGTTTTATAAGGGCACCACGGGGTGACTAGCCCCTCTCCACCCAGCCCACCCCACACCCAGCCCCTCCCCACCCAGCCCCTCTCCACCCTCCCCTCCCCACCCAGCCCCTCCCCACTTTCCCCTCCCCACCCAGCCCCTCCCTCCCCAGCCAGCCCCTCCCTGCACGACGGACGGACACAATAATCCCCTGTGGGCTGGTTTAACCAGGAGGTTCCTACCAGTAAAATCCTGGTGTTGGGGGTTTACTCGGCCAAATCACGTGTCCACCAGGGTTAGTTGAGAGGAGTACAACTTTGCGTGGAAGGCAATCAATGGTGCTCGTCTTATGGAGTGACTCGGCTCAGTCGTAGAAATCCCTGGTCGACTGGGACGCCGTGGGATTTCTACCACTGGCTCAGAGCTGTTTAACAAGAGATGAGTGCCAGTCACCTCAACACAGTACTCATTTGAAAAGGGAATAACTGATTCTTAGTGTGAAATACGTATTAGAGGGAATGGCTAAACATTTCAATGCAGGTCACTCTTGAAAAAGTGTTCAAGACTCCTGGGTGAATCGTTGACATTATTGTTGTGTATTTGCAGCGGGGAGCGGTAGTGTAGCGGTTAGTGTGCTGCGCTACAAGCCGGGCGAACCGAGTTCTATTCCTGCTCACGGCCAACACAGTGAAGATTATCTGAACCGGTCCTGGGCCTCCCTTGGGTCGACTTATCCTCAAATGAGTACCTGGTACAGTGTGGTAACATCGCCACTGGGGAGACAAAGGCGGCCGGGCGTGGTGCTGGCCACCCACCCCATCGTGTACCATGCTGGCCTTCATAGGCGCTCACTAACAGAACTTGCCCTAACAGTCTGTTAAAGGCTATAGGGGGATCTTTGTCTGTTTTGTGTATGTGCATATACTGTAGTTGTTTATAAATGTGCTTGTGTTTATGTTTTAAGAGTCTACATGTAGAGGGTGGGTGGAGGGGAGTAATGTGAGATGGGAAAGGTATTGGTGAAACAATAAACATTTTAATTTTCCCATGTAAGGCTCAGAGCTATATAGCTATTATTCAGAAACGACCTGACCAAACATGATGTGGCTTATGTAGAAATATATAGTAGCCAAATACTCTAAACCCATGTTTCTAAATGTGGAGGAAAATCCACGCGAACACGGGGAGAACGTGCAAACTCCGAATATACAGGCGTATATTGACATGAGAGGGGAGAGGTAGGAGAGTGCATGGAGGGGATGCGGAGTGAGAGGAGACTCCACGCAGGATCCCAACGATGACGAGCGCAATCTCTCCACACGCTCGCACGCCCCACCCCTCCTTCGGCTCGCAGTGCAAGATACGGTGGTGCCCGTGCTGGTGGTGTCGGAGCCCGGCATGTCCCGGCACGCGGACGACCCCTCCACGTGGGGTGCCGAGGAGGCCACCGATTGGACGCCGAGCTCCCTGGTCGACTGGGACGCCGTCCTGTCGGAGGAACCGCCGCCGGACCCGGACGACGACGCCGGTGCCGCCGGTGCCATCTCCGCCGCCGCGGGGTTGATCGGCGCGCTGCCCTGGGACCCCACCGAGCTGAAGCGGCTGGCCCGGCGCGGCGCGTGGGCCGGCCGGCACGGGGCGCGGGCGCGTGTCTACGCGGCCGTGCTGGACAGGCTGCCGTGCCGGCCAGGGCTCCCGGACGAGGACTCGTACCGCGGGACGCTGGACGAGGCGGGCGGCGGTCTGGACGCAGGTGGGTGCGGTGCGGTGGCTCCGTGCGTGTGGCGCCCTGTGTGTGCGTGACCCCTGTGAATGTGACCCCTGTGCGTGTGGCCCCGAGCTTCTGATTGCGAGCTATACCGCTGAACCCTCCGGCTAGTTAGCTCCCCTCTCCCCTGCCTCCGATGGTGCATCTCTGCCCGCACCTCCGATTAGCGCGGTTGGCTACGTGCGGTTGAGAAAGAAGGTCAACACACATACATGCACCCACTTTATTTCAAGGACACGCACGCTACTACTGTGTACATTCCCTTTGCCGTGAAATCGCGACCCCATGACATTTATGCGCTCTCTCTCTGGCGCGCGTCGTCGCTTCCCCCCTCCAACTGCCCCCCCACCTCCACCGCCCCCCCCCCCCCCCCACCACAGAAAAGCTGCCGCTGTTCGCGCAGGGAATGCCGTGCCCCGTGTACCACCTCAACGCGAGCGGGCAGGCGGCGCTGTGCCGCGTGCTGGCCGCCACGGGCCGGCTCTTCCCGGCGCTCACGCACTGCCCCGCGCTGCCCGCCGTCACAGCCCTGCTGCTGCACTACGCGCGCGACGAAGCTCGCTGCTTCGCCGGGGTGGCGCGCCTCCTCTCCTGCTGCTCGGGGTCGGCGCGGTGCAACGTGAGCGACGCGCGCCGCTCGCGGTCGGTAGCCGGCGGTGACGGTGCCACCGCAAACGCAAACAGTGAAACCGCGGTTGAACAAGTGACGTCGTGTGCGGTCGGTGCAGGCCCTGGCGCAGGAAATTTTTAAGCTTCTTACTTTCTTTAACCTTTTGCATGCACGTATGTTGAACTTCTCTCGCACCGTACGCAGCCGACCGTGCTAATGGGAGGTTGAGAAACCAAGACTTCAAAGAAAACAGGATAGTCTCATTGGGCCCGCGTCACCAAAGTGACGAAAGAAATAATCTCATTTGGCCCGCGTCACCAAAGTGACGAAAGAAATGGCCGACGCCTTGTGTTCACCACGCCTCTTCCTCTCGCTGTCGGAATTGCACTCCGTTGCCCAACCCAGCAGCTCGAAGTGCTGGCCTGCTTCCCAGCTCGTTCCGGCTCTCCGTTTGTGACTTTCAAAGTCTAAATGTCCAATACTGGCTCATGACGCTCGTATCTGCGTCGCCGGTGGCGGTGGACATGTTTCGCGCCGATGTCTCTCTTTGTGTCTCAGTGTTTTCTGGATTTGAATGAAACCGATATTAACTGATAACTGAATAGAAATGAAGTGAAAAAAAGGAAAGTGGTGAAGTTTTACGCGATCTCAGTGATTTTAAAACGAAGGCCGTGATTGTCCCTGCTGATTCTTAATGCCAAACCCCTAAACCCTAACACACGACACTAAACAATATTCCTAACCAAAAAACCCAAACCCCTCGCCCTAAGCCATCACTCTGTACCCTAAACCACTAACCCTACGTAAAAAGTCAATAAGCAGAGTCCCTTCATATTTCTTAAACTGAATGCGAACGAAGCGGGACTTGGAAAGGAGTGCTGATGGGCAACCCAGGGAAGGTCTGGACAAAACCTGGCCTATGATTGGATAAGCGAAAGGAAATGTGGGGACAACAGTCATGAGCACAAGAGACCGGATTTCCCTCTCCCCATTTGCACGGACGGTGGTCACCCCCCTGCCAAGAGCGACGGCTACACCGCCCTCTCACCACGTCCGTTCGTCTCCCTCTCCCCTCTGCCACCCTTCCCCGCTCCCTTCAGAAGCACTTCCTGGACCAGACGCACGTGGCGAGCACCGCATCGGCGCTCACGTTCGGCGACCTGGCACGCCGGCACGCCCCCGGCGCGCACGCCCTGCTGTCGGCTCGCGGGAGCCCCTACGCCGATTGGCTGCACTGGCTGCTGGGCGACCTGCCCTTCCCCTACGCCGTGCGCCTGCTCGACAGCTACCTGCTCGAGGGAGACAAGGGTACAGCGGCGCACGTACCCGAGGAGTGGGGGGGGGGGGGGGCACGCCACGGTTTGGGGTCAGCGCCACAAAAAAACCTCCGTCGCGGGAGATTGCTCTTCGCTCGACCTTCAACTTCCGCTCTCGCTCTCTCCCCAGTGCTGTATCGTGCCTCGCTGGGCCTCCTCAAAGAGTACAAGTCGTGGCGAGCGTCCGCCGCGGCCGCAGCCGCGACCGCCGTTTCCGACCTCCCGGCGTGGTACGGAAGCGACGGCGGCGGCGGACCCGGGCCGGATCCGGACGGCGAGGACGCGACGGAGGCGCGGGCCGAGGTGCACACGTTTGCGCGCGGCCTCGCGGCCCACGGCTGCCCCCCTGAGCGCCTCATGGAGCGCGCCTTCAACATCCGCCTCTTCTCGCGCCGCGAGATGCGGCTCCTGCACGACGCCAACGAGCGGGTGCTGCGCGAGAGAGGAGTGCAGCGCATCAGCACCGGCCGGTGAGAGCCGGGCACCCATCCAGTGCCCCCCCTCCCCATCCCGTCCCCCCCCTCCCCTTCCCCCACGGACACATTAATGTGGGGGGCATTCAGGGCTGCAGCCTGGGGGCATGGGATTTTGAGGACACGTATCGCGCCCTCGAAATAAAATTCTCGCTTGGCTGACCAGATCCATCGATCATCGGTGGTTGTTTCGCCTGATTCAATCAGGATCATCCCAGAACAGCGATCAGCCCAATGGGTAACTTCCAGTGGCCAATTCAAATGGCTAACCCGATCACGTTTTGCTTCTGGTAATGAAATCAAACGCCTAAAATTAATTCGGTAATTTGTGTTCTACAGCACATCACGTTGCTCCACTAATTTCTAATTTAAATGCGTGCCTCTCCACCTCTTGCTGGCGTGCGCTTCTCCGCGTGTGCTGCGCCTCCGCTCACAGCGAGGAGCTGCCCGGCACCGTAGACGTGTCGAGCTTCTGCTCGGCAGTGGTGACGGCGGCTGAGATGCGCTCCGTGTGGTCGTGGATCCCCGAGCGCCACGCCCTCTACTCCCCGCGCCTCCTCTTCAGCACGCTCGAGCACGGCTGCTCGCTCACGCGGTGAGGCTACACAAGCATGGAGACAAGCGATCTCCACCCACCTCCAACCCACCCACCCACCCACTGCATAGCACTTGAACAGACTGTTGAGGCAAGTGCCAAACAGCGAACTCCCAACATCAACATCATCACCACCATCAACATCACCACCAACAACATCGCCAACATCACCCCCAAAATAATCAACATCATCAACATGACCAACATCACCATCATCAACATGACCAACATCACCATCATCAACATCGCTATCACGATCGTCGCAAGTCATCATCGTTGAATCACTGACACTTAGAAAAACAGGACAATTTGTTACAATGCCGCATCATTCGTCGTCATCAAATCATCATCACTCACACCCAGGCACAATGGCATCGCCATTGCCTTCGACTAATCATCACCACTCGCACAGAGGCATAATTCACCGTTGTTAGCTCCGGCTGTGAGTGAAATTCAGGTTTCTGGGTTCGCAGTGTGCTCACTGCTGCGCCACTCCTCCCCACAATGATGTTGCATCCAGGTACAGTAATTCAGACCAGACCTTTGTGGATTTTAAAATGCAATTATTGCGCCCTTAATCGTGGTCGCGTGTTTTTTGTTTTCATCCGGGATGCAGGTTTTACGCCAACTGCAAAGAGCACGAGCCGACGATTATACTCATCAAGACGATGGACAATGAGGTGTGCATCGTTTATGTCGTTTTTCACAGATGTCCAGTTGGGGCACGGGTCAGAACGTTACAACAATCAGTATAAAAACACGATCAGAGTGCAAAAACACTAAACTATTTTATATTTACACAGATAAAGGCCCACTGAGCTACTAGCTTCTTTTTCAGAGGCGACCTGACCACAAATGATAGCTCAAGGAAGTTGCTTATCACGTGGAAATTTATAGCAGCCAAATACTCTAAAGCGCACGTTAATAAATGTGGAGGAAAAAACTGGAGGACATTGATGACAAAAATCCACGCGATCACGGGGAGAACATGCAAACTCCAAATATACAGGTGTCAATGTCAGGGTCGACGCCCACGATTTACAGGCAAAGAAGATAACATCTTGCTCCAAATGTCCCGGCTGACCCAGTGCCCTGAATACATTTTTCGTAGTTCAAGATTTTGACCCGGTTTAGAAATGTTTTGATCTCATATTTGACGTACGATACGCTCACTTTTAGCATAGCCGCACCCACGTTGATGTTGCTGTAAGAGGCCCGAGCAGCGGTTGAAGCGACTGAGGGCACCACAGTTTAGAAACACAGGTGTTCGTTCAAGAGTATTCCCCCCCTAGTGCCCGATCAGTGCGGCCAAGATGCTTGCAGTGATGCGTTTAATGTCGTTCGCGAGTCGCTTCTCAGACGCAGGCCTCGCGTTGCCGTGGGCCACATGAAATTACGTTGTGAACTCTGTTAGGTTCCCCTGCTGCTGTTTACAGCGCCTGTTATGATTCGCACATTTATGATTGAAAAAAAAAATGCCCCGAGCTTATTCAAATGCAAAAAGTGTCATCTTCAATTTTTAAATTAACTAGCAATACCCGGCCTGTGGGCCGTAGTTGACCTCCATTTGTAACAGGAAGATCGGCGCAAGCAGGGACCGCACCAATGCACTGATACTCATGCAGGTACAAACTCTACTTTTAGCACCTCTCGTGTCTGCCCGATGATGTCACCACCATCCTTATTCCCCCCCACCACTCCCCTCACCCACATTCACCCATTCCCCCGGCCCCCTCCCCCCGGCCCCCCCTTTCAGGTGCTGGGAGCGTTTTTGAGCTCCGCCTGGTCGGAGCGTAACCGCGCGACAATGAAGGCCGGCTCGTTCTTTGGAACTGGGGAGTGCTTCGTCTTCACCGTGAGTCCGTCGCCCATCGTCGTCGTCGCCCGTCCGCCGCTGGCGGGCGGCCGTGTTAATTCATTCATCAGCGATGGCATGGGTTATTGTTATTTCTCCTTTTTTCTCTTATTTTCCCAACACATTTGTTTGGCGTAGGCCCAAGGCCCAAAAATGTAAAGCGGCCGCGGGCAACAAATGTTGTAAGTTGTAAGAGTTGAGAGTTGATATCTTTGCCTGAATTAAGAGAGAGGTTGCAAGTGCTTGGGAAAGGGGAACGTTGAATGCGCACTCGAAATAAAATTAGTAGTATGCATTGTTTAATTATACATACTGCAAATTAATTACGTGTGAAAAAGAGCTCATCGGATTCCTCCGGTAAAAATGACGATTCTAACTCTGACGTGTTTTTCCTCTTGCGTGCAAAGGTCCGCCCGGAGATACGGCGTCACCAGTGGGTCGTCATCCGCTCTCCGCAGGGCGGACTCGACTCTCCGCTCGCCTCTCCGATGCCGTCCCCTTACCCGTCCCCCCAGCCCTCTCCCTACCCGACGCCCCCCTCCACCCCTCCCTCCTCGCCCGTTCCTCCGCGCCGGCGCCTCTCCGACATGATGGAGGGCAATGCGTGCAGCGGCACCGGCGGCGCCGTCGTCGCTTCCTCCTCCTCCTCCCACGAGCGCTCGCTGCACCAGCGCGTCTCGCAGGCCTTCGCCAACTGCAGGCCGCGCTCCGGCTCCACCCGGGAGGTGGCGTCCCAGCCGGGAGACGGCTCCCCTAAGTCGTCCCGCCGCTCCATTGGCGACGCCCTGCGCCTCTCGCTGTCCGCGCTCGTCGGCTCGCCCGGCCGCTCGCCCGCCGCTTCACCCAACTTGCCCCGGCGCGGCCTCGGCGGCAACGGCGGCGGCAACGGCGGCGGCAACGGCGGCGTTGGTGACACCGCCGGCGCCTTGGCCTCTCAAGTCGCGTTCGCCAGCGCAGTCTCCTCCTCGCTGCTCTTCCCTCCAGCCGCCACCTCGAGGCCACGGTCGTTGTCCACCCCGACTCCGCTGTGCGCCCACGTCCCTTCTCGTCACCACCACCACCATCACGGCGGGAAGATCCGATTCAACCCGACGCCGTCGCCGCCCGCTCTGCTCTGCGTGCCGTCGCACTCCTCCTTCGCCCAGGAGATGCAAGCACGCGGCCTGGGCCCCAGCGCCGCGCCGCTGCAGGCCTCGCAGTCCTTCCAGATGCCGGCCAAGGCGGCCTCCATGTTCATGGCCGGCACGCCGGACTCCATCGTGATTGGTGAGCGCAGGTTGCGGACGATGTGCGTCATGGGAATACACACGCGCGCGTCCCCCGCGCACTCGCGCGTATGTACGTGCGAGCATGGGGAGCGGTCGCGTATTGGTTAGCGCGCTAAGATTCCCACAAAGGTGGCTGGGCACGGTACTACCCCCCCTCCTACTGAACATGAGTCCAATGCAGTTTGGATGACAGGTCGAGTTTTGAGTCGTGTTTTTTAATGTACGCTCCTACGCATGTGTGTGCGCATGTGTGTCCATGTGCGCATGTGCGTGCGTGTGCGTGTGCATCTCCACCAGGCGGGGGAGGGGGGTTCGCCCTGTGCCTGGACGCGGAGCTGCTGCACGGGCGCAGCGAGGCGTGCGACACGTTCGCCAACCCGCCGCTCAGCTCCACGCAGGACTTCATCGTGCAGGTGCTCGAGGTGTGGGCGCTGCAGCAGGAGGACGACCAACCCTGAGCGTACCGCCGCCGCCGCCGCCACCGCCACCGGAGATGGACAGACGGAACCCCCCCCCCTCGCACACCCACCCACCCTGCCGCAGTCGGCATGGGCGACTCTCGAGTCAAGCGAATCGTTGGGGGGGGGGGGGGGGCGGCAATATCGGAGACTGGGAGCAACCACGTTGGGATTAGACCAACGTGATTAGAGGGATCGCGTGTCAACTGTGCAGCTGCCGTGGAATCTGGCAGAGTGAGTGGCATCGGTGGCATTCCCTTGAACATTACTTCTACCCCAGCCTAGCGCAGAAAAGTGCCTTTGAATTGGGGGACACACAAAGCGGAACGGGGGGGGGGGGGGGGGGGGGGTACATGGGGGAAGCGGGACACTGGTAGGGAGAGTTTTTGACTAAAGAATAGCGTAAAGAATAGCAGGGGGAACACGGGGGGGGGGGGTGGGATCTGGCAGAAGGAGGAAGCGATGAGGAGGCGTGGTGGCCACCAAATGACACTGGCCGTGGTCACCCCCTCAACTTGAACGCGAGCGTCTCTCCAGTCACCCTGATGAGCGGCGCACCTGGGGTGTGGTGGGCACAGACCCAATCGTCACTCGGTCTCTACTGCTGGATGGCCACTCCCGTCGCACCGCACTCTGAGCTCATGGGCGCGTGGGGACTCGGGCGACGTTCCATACCCAGGCGATGGCTCACCCGGCGACGCAACCTGAGGCTTCGTCCGCCCGGGTGTGGAAGAGAAGGTTGTGGCAGGGGCAGAGCGCTGGCCTAAGGTCGGCTACCTACGGTGCAAAAGAAGTTCAACATACATACGTACATACGCAAGTGCGAGCACTGTCGCGCGCAATGTCACGGCAATCGAGAGGAGAGCCCGTGGCGTTGGACAACCACAGCTGTGAACGCTCGTCCGAGTTTGTCACACATTCACCTCCAGCACGCGTGGATTCCGATGGAATGTTCCTCGACGAAGAGAGAGGGGTGCGCATCCAGAGTTCAGATTGCAAACGCAATGTGCGCGGCTCCTGTCGGATGTCGAGTGTCGCTGGATGCATGCAACGTGCTGATCGGGTCCAGCGAGAGCGTCGTGAACTTTGCATTATCACCTATGTGGAGAGCTCCGTAGTGGTCAGTGGAGGACAATGCAGCGAAATCCATTGTTGTACAGTGCCAACATCTATGATGTCCACCGTCACGAACCTGTGCCTATCAAAGTGGTGAAGTCCGGTCAAAGGACCCCAACTACTCGCCCGGCACAGGGAGGCCATCGTCCAGCGGTGGATTGTGAAAGTACATTCCACCCGGCCCTCTGTTGTCAATGTTTATCAGCATCCTGGCTTTTAAGCACAGCGGATGTCTGGACAGATGCTTTGGATGGGGTGCAAAAGGTCACCAATGTGTTGGTGGCTGTTAACGCTTTCCTGTCCTGTTCACCGCTGAATCTCAGATTAATTTTATTTAGAGAAGCGTTGCGCCGTTGTTTTTAAAGACATTGTTCTCACCGCAGGGAACTGTAGGGACACGACCGTACTCTACGAAAGCTGTCGCCAAACTGTGCCACACGATACCGATAAAGTTATTTTATTTTTGAGTTTTTCCTTCCGGTTTTGTTTTGATGATGTACACGTACGTCATCGGAACGGGAAACGTTTAACAATAGTCAGTATGTATGCACCTCCGCTTTATTAGCGTCACAGCAATTACAAGGGCCAATTAAACTGCTATAACTACTAACTACAGCCGTGCGTGTACAGCTACTGATCTCTGGGATTGGCGAGTGGCACCATGGGGTGGGGGGGCGGTCCGTTAATTGAACACCGAGTACACGCTCACTCTGGCTGTGCAACTCCAAGATGGTATTTAAAAAATAAACATTGCCACCGAGATGAAAAATAACTGCTGGGGTAAAACCACAAAGCAACAACGCCTCCGCCTGGCAGACTGTGTACCCTTACGTGAAACTGCGGTGGCTTCACCGATATCCCCGTGCTTTAATAACGGCGTGGACACTGAATGGATCAACTGGGCGGTAGCACAGTGGTGCCACACGTGCCTCGCAGCCAGAAGGAACTGGGTGCAATTCCCGACTTGGGTGCCTTTCTGTGTTGATTTTGTATGTTCTCTCCCTGTTCTGCATGGGTTTCCTCATGCAGAACAGGGGTTTTGTTTCACTGCTTAGATAAAACCATACAATGTAGCTGGTATTGGCCAAAACATCTGATTGAGAAAAAAACTACCTGCAAATTACTCAATTGGGATTACACACTACTGTGAAAACTTGGCCAGGACCCTTCTGAAAAATTGTCTTGACTCTGCGAGGATTTCCTGCAGGATAAAAGAGCAATACACACAACCACCATTATTGCTGTGCTTTGTCATTTGACGTGGACAATTAGGTCCAATTGATTTCATTTGGGCCCATACGGTTGTTTTTTTTGGGTAATGTTAAAGTGTAATGGCATCAGTTGCATCAACGCATATCAGTTTTATCTTAAAAAAAAACATCGAGTGCCTTAATTAAACACCAAGCACCTGGACCTTAACTGAGAGGGCGAGCAGGCGGATGTAAACTTGAAATTGCACGCCATGTTCCATTTCATGAGCACAATAAAGTATTTTGAAGTGGCTATTGTCTTGAGAGTATATGCGCATGCCACCATTGAAAGGTCAACCGATCGATTCCGAGGGCCAATGTAATCGCCCGTGAACCCAGAGCAGAGACCACCACCTGCCGTTACCAGCTGGGGAGGTGGCGTAACAAACTTGCTTCGTTCCATTGTCTCTCTGCGCGGCCAGAGAACCACCTTTTTGTGATAACCGTTTGAAATGACGGCTTATGAACCGATTGACTCGTGTCGGGCATAGGAATCAATTGGTACTCAAGTTGTGTTGCTTTAGGGTGGCACGACTAATGTATGCTCTGGCGCATGGGCCGATTCAAGTGACCTCTCGTCCATGTGGGCAAGGGGGAGCACTTTTACACCCGCACTGCTACAGGGAGCCGTGGCCACCACGCAACTGTCACAGTGCTAGTCAATACAGAGCTGGAGTTTACCCAGATAAAATAAGTAGTATTTTAAAAACTTTCTTAAAAATACGCTTTTATGAAATGTACTAGTAATGGCAGAACTCCACGACTCCAGGAAGTGGTCCCGATGCTTGCCGCAACGTAAGGGACCGTGGCCAATTACAGCCAACGTCAGTTGACCGCGGACAATTAGACCCAAGCCGAAACGTCACATATAAAAAGAATGTACATTTTTTATTCTATTTTTTTCTGATAGAATATAGTATTGTCATCAGTATGACATAAGTATACCAAGTTTGCAGTCGATACCATATCGCGAAGTGGATTAAAATTGAGTTGCAAGATTTGAGGATACAACGACGACGACAACAACAGACAGAGTGAGTTAAAAGAAAGCGTGTAAAACAGAGGTGTGCTACCACATTTATTGTCATGGAGTTTTCTACTTTTTCTCGCCTTCATTTATTTTGCAATTGGTCTGGACCTCCGTCTTGCCGAAGTGGATATCTGACGTGCCCGATGTGTTGCCACTGCCGTTTCGCAAGACTGCGCAAGCACGAGTCGACAAGAGTGACGGCCAGCCACAACTGCAAGCGCCCATCTGATAACGCCGTCGGGGTAGCAAAACGACCGCGGGTTTTCAGGGGGTTGGTACTTCACCTCGGGGCAGACGCGGCATTTGAAAATACATCTCTGGAAACGCTGAATTTCAGCGAGTGACAACTCGTGTGTACTTGAGCTGCCACCCTCCCCCGGCGTTCTTTCCAATAGGTCACTTGGCCAGCCATGGGGCTAAACCTGTGTCATCACCGTCTCAAAAAGGTCCAAAAATGCCACAATGACTCCCAACATTGGGCTGTAGCCCCAAGTTCTCTGGGGACAATTTTACTTTAGGGGCTGTCCCTCATTCCCTAGGTTGTGGATGGCAGACAGTATTAATTATTATTAAACCTTTTTTTTACTCTTAAATATTTCTAGGAAAGTCCGAGACTTCTTGGAGAGACCTGCCAAACTTACATAATATCTTCAGAAACTCATAAAATCGTGGACTCACTATAACAACAGTTATTAAACCCAAGTTTTCGGCAACTCGCCAACTGACGTGTAGGAGTTGGCTCAGTAGAGCAGGACTCGGTTTCTACCTTGCTTAAAACAAGCAACGTGGTGCCGATCTGGTGTGGATTCACCATGGCATGTCATCAATAGAACCACGTTTACACTAATGCTACTTTATAGCAAATATCCCTTGAGCCAGGAAATTGACCATCTCATTTTTGGGCCGTTCTGCCTAAGGATATTTGGACAAATTCATTCACGGGCAGTTTTGGATGTGGGTGGAAAACTGGCTACCTCACAAAAAACCATCGCGCATGCTAAGGGAGCTAATGCAAATTTGCGGCGATTATTCAATCTCTGACTGTACTTCATCCTTGGCCACATTGGTTTAGTGGATTGAGTTTCATAAATTTATTCTGCCAACCCTGATTAGAAAGCCACAATCGTAACCCATTATTTTAAAAGTTATTTTAAACAAAGTTGAATCCATGGCACTTTTTACGTAAGACTGCACTTAGTAAAAAAATTGGACACGCCCTACAGTACTTATGTAGAACTTCTTTCGCACCGTACGTAGCCAACCGTGCTAATCGGAGGTGTGGGAAAGTATTGACGTCAACGTATGAACTTCAGAAACGCCCTTGCATGTTCAGCGCAAGTGTAAACATTGTAAAAAAAATGTTTATGGATCCGACTGGGAACATTTAGCTCCACTTGCATGCATGGCAATAAAACCCACGGGTTATCATGAGCAGGCGACTAAGGCCCCCATCGTGCCAACCGGTGTCCATGTTTCACCACAGAGAGGGAAGCTTGCTGCAAGGTCAGGCTGGTGTCGCGATAGATCGGAAGGACCCACGGGTCTGGAAGGTGCACTGATGGGAGGAAAGCAGAGATCTGCAATGCAAGGTGTGCGGGAGGAGAGTCGTCCTCTATTCTTGCAATGTGGAATGTGGCAAAACAGCTGGAGCAC